CCATGAATGTTCATAGTTCCAAAAACCTGTCTTTTAAAATGCCAGATAAAAAGAGATCTTGAAGATGTTCCTTTTCCTATTTGGAAAATAGTGGCTAATTTCATAGATGATTATGATCATTTACTGAAGTTAAATTAGCCTCAACCTTCCATAAATAAATGATGCAACAACAACAACAAAAAAGACTTACCATGTTTTAGTGCTTTATATTTTTCAAAAAAATAATTATATAACATAATTTTTAAAATTTCAGTGGCTACCATTGTGGCACAGTGGGTTCAGTTGCCACCTGCAGCACTGGCGTCCCATGAGTGCCTGCTTGTGTCCCAGCTCCACTTCTAATCCAACTTCCTGCAGCCATTTGGGGAGTGAACCAATGGATGGAAGATCTCCTTCTCTCTTTGTGTCTCTTTGTCTTTCTGTAACTTGGCCTTTCAAATAAATAAATAAATCTTAAAGAAAAAACTATTTCAGTGATAGGTTGATCTGCTAACAATGGTATCACTAGGGTGGAATAAACGGGATCCTTAGTATTTAAAAAACTTATAAAGAATATATGATTTTTTAATTATGTTGCTCTAAGAAGTAGTAATCAGAGACAGATACTCTGATTAATGGTTACCTTTATAATTGTATAGACAATGAACAATTGGGAAATATCATATCCAGTTAAACCTAACTTGCAATTTCATATGTAGCATTCTCATTTTAAAATATTATAACTTAATAGTGATATATTTCAAATGATCACTTATGAGAGCACTAGTAATTGCCCTTGTCATCTTTTTGTTCTTAAGTTTTTAGAAACTGATTTTAACATTGCTTTTCTTGGAAGATACCATTATATGGTCAGTATGAATATAGATACATCTCTTTTCTATGCTTTGAGAACAGCATAATTGAATTTTTCAGTGTATGAATCATAGTGGAAGAATACTGGGCCATTTAGTAGAGAGTAAACAATGTTAGTGCAGGTTCAAATCTTTTATCTTTCTTGTTTTTGGCTGCCAGTGTTGGCTCATTAGGTTGCTTGCCTATGCCTAGAATAGAAAAGGAGTCAAGAATAATGCCTTTTCTACAACTGCTCTTATAGAGGGGATTGTCTGCAGGCAATACATAAACAAATGGACATAGCCAATGAAGCTTTGTTTACCAAGATAAGCAGCAGCCATATTTGGCCTGCAGATGATAGTCCCCTGACCCCTATTGTCAACTGTTTTTTTTACTTTCCTTTTTTTTTCCCTAAAGATTTATTTATTTATTTGAAAGGCAGAGTTACAGAGAAGCAGAGGCAGAGGTAGAGGGAGGGAGGGAGGGAGGGAGGGAGGGAGGGAGGGAGGAAGGGAGCGAGGGAGAGAGAGTCTTCCATCCACTGGTTTACTCTCCAAGTGGCTACAACAGCCGGAGCTGAGCTGATCCGAATCCAGGAGCCAGGAGCTTCCTCCAGGTCTCCCTTGGGGGTGCAGGGTCCAAGCACTTGGGCCATCCTCCACTGCCTTCCTGGGCCACAGCAGAGAGCTGGACTGGAAGAGGAACAACTGGGACAGAATCCAGCGCCCCAACTGGGACTAGAACCTGGTGTGCTGGCCCCACAGGTGGAGGATTAGTCTATTGAGCCATGGCGCTGGCCATGCTTTTCCTGTTCTTACATTCAGTACAATACAGACCATTTCACCTGCAACCATCAAATTGTGTACAGGTTTTCTACTAACACCTGTTTCTTGAATGGATACCAACCGAGTGTCCTCTAATTCAATTCTGACACTATGCTTGGAGATAGTGTCCCAGCCTGGAGCTTAAGGGCTCAACCCAACAAGAAAGATTCCCCTTGAGATGCCAGCTGCAAGCCCCAGGTTGTGGCCTCTGCTTCTGACCAATGGGCAATAAGTCAGAGGTTCCCACAACTCCCTTCTTGGGTTGAATTAATTTGCTTGGGCAGTCCACAGAACTCAATATTTATCTTTACTTAATCGTTCTAACAGATAGGAGATACATGAGGATGACCAACCAGATGGAATAGGCACATAGGACAAGGTCTTTGGAGAGGGCTGTGGAGACTCCATGTCCTTCCTGGGTATACCACCCTTCTAGTACCTCTGTGTGTTCAGGATGCTGGAAGCTCACAAAGCCTTGTTGTTTGGGAATTAATAGAGGCTTCATTATGCAGGTGTGATTGATTTAATAATCATTGGCCATTGGTGACCAGATCAACCTTTAGCCCTTCTCCCCTCCCTGGTGTTCAAAATTCTAATCTTCTAGTCCCGTGGTTGATGCCTCTGGCAACCAGCCCTCATTCTGGGGCTCTCCAGGATCCAGATGATCAAAGGTCATTTCATTAAAACAAAATTTCCAACAGGAAATTTCAAGGGATTTAGAAATTCTGTGTCAGATGACATGATCACTGAGTTATAAAGGTCTTAAAAGCTCTAAGTCAGGAACTGAAGTGAGGGAGGTCAGAGACCAGATACACAGACCCCCTTCAGCCTTGCCTGGCTATTGACTTGGGGGCAGGTGTGACTCCAGGAGATGAGAATTGGAAGTTATTCAACTTTCTTTGGTTGTATGCTACCTTTTTAAAGCTTAAATACAAAAATGAAAGAATTCCTCCATGAGATCTGCATTAGCTCATGAGGGACATGATTTGGAGTTGAGATTTTGAAAAAAAAAAAAAAAAAACAGACAAAAAACAAAACAGAAATTGTGGATAATTACTTGGTTTGTGCACATCTTCTTCCATGGACCTTGCAGGAAAAAGGGTAGCTGTGATAAGGCAGGTTATTCCTGCTACCTCTTAATCTTTTTGCCTTTGGTATGATTGCATCTCAGAATACTTAGAGCAGACCAAGCAGTGTGTGGACAGGGGACTGGCTCTGGAAGACAAAAGCCCTGGATGGGGAGAGTGAATACCCTGCTTCTGATAAAAATGGATCCTTCTTCAAGTGCAGCCCCCAGGGTGAGAGGGTGCCAACCTATACTTAGCAAGTGGAATTTGAAATTGCCAAGGATTTTTGCAGAGCCAGTAGAATCCTCAACTGCTTCAGGCTGCATAAAGAAGTATAAAAATTGACAATGCTTGCATCTTACTTGTAGTTTCTGGTGCCTGGTGGTGCTAAGATTCATTACTAAAGAGCAAGATCACATTAAAATGAGCAAATCTCCAGGACAGTAATTTCTGGCTTCTGGATTATTGAGTTATATTGTGTCACATCTTTTTACATTAAGATAAAGCTGGCATGTCTCTATCCTTAAGTTACAGTTATGAATGTTACAACACAGCAGTATGATGGAGGGAATTAAGGGAATGAAAAAGAGGAAGAAGAATGTGACTTTTTCAGGAATATGTTGCCATTTGGAATTAAGGCTGGGGAAATCTTAGTGTTATCATTAAAATTCCAGTACTAAAATTAAAATAAAGACCTGTATCCAAAATACTATGGCTCTCCAAATGATCTTGCTTAGGGGCAAAGAAAAAGATAAGGCAGTGAGTAAAAGTACAGCATTTGATCTGTGAAATGTGCTAATTAGATTTCCTAAAGAGGCTTGGAGAAATATGAAAGAGGATCAACTCTAAAACCAAACCACGTAGAGTCAGCATAGGAAAATTTAAAAATTAAAATATTTAAACAGAACTTTAAGCACATAAAAAAAGCTTTGGAGAAGACTTAGAGCTTAGGGCTTCCCCTAATGCTGAAGTGGGGGAGTCGATTATTAATTTTTTTTTTTTTGGCTCTTGCCTTGTACCTAGAGAAGCATTCCAAGTACAAGTATGTTTCAGGTGTACAGAGTGATAAAGTTTTATTCAAAAGGTGAGAGTGAACACACTCACATGTGAGCATGGGTCACCCTACCAGAGAAGTCATCATGAGTGAGCAGTGAGCCCAAAGGGAGAAAGGGATGCGGGGAGGGAAACAGAGGAGCACTCCAGCACCTCCTTCATTGGTGGTCTCCAATGGAAGGGAGAGCTCCTACCAGTTGTTGGCCTCTTTAATGAGGTTGGAGGTAGGTGCCTCTATAGGAATTAAGCCACCTGGGAATTTTATGATACCTCCATAAAATTCCACGTTTCTTTATACACATATTTTCATGGTATCTTCCCCTCAAGTCCCAGATGAAACACACGAATCCCAGGAAAAGGGGCGTTTGATTAGTAGGACAGTATTACACATGGGACCAGGGCTTGTGACTTGCAGGTACCTCCGACTTCACAGAACCTAAACTGGCTGCTTGCCTGCCTGCCTATCCCATATCAATACCAGGCTTCTCTTATCTCTAGGATAGCGGTGTAGGACAGAGACTTAATGAAGCTTTTTCTCCCATTCCATAGACCCTTGTAAGCTAGAGTGGGCCAAATGGAGAACTCCTTTGTCCCTTTCTTTCTCACTGTTTATTTATTTATTTATACATTAATACATTTATTTATACATTAATTTTCAGCACATTAAAATAATAATTTATAAGTCTTAAAATCCAAATCTTAAGATTATGCTGGCCGGCGCCACGGCTCACTAGGCTAATCCTCCACCTAGCGGCGCCGGCACACCGGGTTCTAGTCCCGGTCGGGGTGCCAGATTCTGTCCTGGTTGCCCCTCTTGCAGGCCAGCTCTATGCTATGGGCCGGGAGTGCAGTGGAGGATGGCCCAAGTGCTTGGGCCCTGCACCCCATGGGAGACCAGGAGAAGCACCTGGCTCCTGCCTTCGGATCGGCGTGGTGCTGCGGCGGCCATTGGAGGGTGAACCAACAGCAAAGGAAGACCTTTCTCTCTGTCTCTCTCTCTCACTGTCCACTCTGCCTGTTAAAAAAAAAAAAAATTATGTTAAGACAGAAATTGACCAAGAAAATCACTGTTAAGTCCAAAAACAATTGTATGAAGTTTTAGTATTTGTAACATTTAGTGATATTGTGTTGATGGGGGGAAAACAATCCAGATGAAAGAATTAATGCCATGTGAGAAAATCATACAATTTACTTAATCCTCCCTTTCTTCTTCAAAACCATACAGGTGATATATGCTTTAAACACTAAAAATGATGAGCATGAATCTGCAATTCAAGCCCTCAAAGATGCTCATGAAGAAGAAATCCAACAAATTCTTGCAGAAACAAGAGAAAAAATATTGCAGTATAAAAGTAAAGTAACAGAAGAATTAGACCTAAAGAGGAAGATTCAAGTTTTGGAGGCATCCTTAGAAGATCACATCAAAATGAAGCAGCAGGCTTTGACAGAATTTGAAGCCTACAAGCATAGAGTTGAAGACATGCAACTGTGTGCCGAAGCCCAGCACGTGCAGCGCGTGGTGACCATGTCCCGAGAGGTTGAAGAGATTAGAAGGAAGTTTGAAGAACGATTACGGAGCTTTGGACAACTTCAGGTGCAGTTTGAAAAAGACAAACGCTTGGCCCTGGAAGGCTTGCGAACAGCTCACAGACGGGAGATCCAGGAGCTGCTGAAGTCACAGCAGGATCACAGTGCCTTGGTGAACAAAGGGCAGGAGGAGGCTGAGGAGCGGCACAGAGTGGAGGTGGAGGCCTTAAACAAAACCCTGGAAGAGCTAAGGCTTGAAAAGAAAAAGCTAATCGAGGATTATGAAGGCAAGTTGCATAAAGCTCAGTCCTTTTATGAACGGGAGCTTGATACCCTGAAACGGTCACAGCTCTTTACAGCAGAGAGCCTGCAGGCTAGCAAAGAGAAAGAGGCTGATCTTAGAAAAGAATTTCAGGGACAAGAAGCAGTTTTACGAAAAACCATAGGAAAATTAAAGACAGAGTTACAAATGGTGCAGGATGAAGCTGGGAGTCTCCTGAACAAATGCCAGAAGCTTCAGGTGGCTCTTGCTGCAGCCGAGAACAATGTCCAGGTAAGTACAGAACAGTGCATGCAGCAGCTGGGGCTTTTCCTCCAAGAGTTTCCTCTTCTCCGAAGGGTCTTCAAAAGGTTCATGAAAAATGCATATTATGACAAGGCCTATGCATGAGTTTCCAGATTTTTTGCACCAAAATAAAGTTACCTTTTAATTTAATTCCATGAACTCTTTCAGGTCCCTTCCTATCCATTCTGTAGACTGGAGAGCAGTCTTGTGGGCTTAAGATTAGCTTCCTTTCATTCCCAACATTTAAACTTTTCATTTTTCAATTTGCCTTTTGCTGCTTTTCCTTTATGAGAAAAAGCATTGAAGGGATCATTTTATTACCCTGTTCCTATTATTTCAGAATTTCAGATATTAAAATCCCCAAAATCTAATCTTAAATACCTTACTGATTACTTTGGAAAGAATTTTATTTAAATGAAATGTTAGTGTTTTTCATAACTGGTTTAAGAGAGTTAAAATATTGGGCTGAGGATCTAATTATGTGTTTTTTTCCTTTCCATTTATGAGTAATGGTCTACTCATTAGTAGATATTCAGACATTGAACAAAATATTGATTACCTTATAAACGACACTTTACTAGCTGTCTGGCACAGTTTGAGAAAAGAAAGGCAAGTCTCTCCAAGTTTTGCTTTATTGGCATAAATAATTTTTATAGCTATGTTTTAAAAATATGTGCATCACTAGAATGGATTTGAAAGGATAGACTAGTCTTTCCTCATTAGGTGATTTGACTTGTGAAAATATCAAGTTATAATTGTCACCAATACCTGGGGTCTTCAAAAAGTTCATGGGAAGTGCACATTATGAAAAAGTATGGCTTTCAAAATTTTTTGCAGCAAAGCAAGCATAATTTTAAAGTTCTATTTTCCACAAACTTTTGAAGTAACCCAGTACGTACAGATTTAAATCTCTGGTATAGTTGAATAGGAATTTTGAATAAGAGAAAGAAAGCTAATGCTTATACTTTTAATGAATTCTTTAGCTTGGTATCATTCCTGAATTTTAATAATGGCTATTCAATGTTTGTTAGGTTCTTCAAAAACAGCTTGATGATGCCAAGGAGGGAGAAATGGCCTTATTAAGCAAGCACAAGGAAGTGGAAAGTGAGCTAGCAGCTGCCAGAGAACGTTTGCAACAGCAAGCTTCAGATCTCGTCCTCAAAGCTAGTATGTCTGACCACAGTTTCTGTTACAGTGCTTACCTTAACCCCACACTTGTGCAGTCAAGACAAAATCGGTCTTTTTTTCCAAGATTTAAACAATTATTTGGACAGTAAATGTGTTCAAGGACTTGAGCTTTAAACTAATTAATCATAAGATAAGCAGATGATATTTTTGTTTTTAGGAATATACTTTTATATATTAAAGTTAACATGTAAAACCACAGTAATCAGTCACTAAAAGAAAAATGAATTTAAAAAGGAAGAAATTCTGTCATTTGTGACAAAATGGATGCCATTGGAGAATATTATACTAAAGTGAAATAAACCAAAGGTAGAAAAACAAGTACCACATGTTCTCCCTTATAAATGGAATAAAAAACAATTGAACTCACAGAAGCAAGAGGATAGAATGGTGGTTACCAGAGACTAGGGAGGTGTAGAGGGAATCAGAAGATAAAAACTCAAAGGATGCAAAGCCCAGATAAGATGGGAGTTGTAGGTGTGATTAAAAAAGAAAGACAAAAAAAAGCCTGTGTTGCCCAGCTAGGTGAGTGTGGCTGATAGTTGAGGACAGTACGCTTGAGTGTCAGCTGGAAGGGTGGATCTCACCATGAGATACATCAGATATTTGTGGTGAGGAATGAGTTGCTTGGCTTAATTCGTACATTGTACTCATATATCATAATGTGACTTTGTATTCCATACATATAAAGTTATATTTTTGTCAATGTGCAATTTAAAAAAGAAAAAAAGGAAATAAAAATGAAATAAAGGGGGTTTCTCCTTTGAAAACATGCATTTTGAGGGATTTCACTGTATATAAGATATAGCACCTCATTCCATTGGGCTTGATGAAGCTATTTTAAAGTTGAATTTGCTACTCTGAAGTGGTGGAGGAGGTGGATGCCTGTGTCAGTCTGGAGTTGTGTTTTGTCTGGGTGTTCAGTGGGCCAGCAGAGCTGTGTGAGCTGGTTCTTTGAGGACCTTATCTGATTTTGCTTGACTCCTCAGTGAATCCCAGATCACCCTTCCCTTAAGGTGGGGGCTTTTAATGTCCCTTAGCGCACATCAGAATCACTTACAGAGCTTGTGAAACCACAGGCGCTGGGTCCTATGCCCCGCATTCTGGGGTGGATGTGACGTGTATTGTGTTTCTGACAAGAGTTTCCAGAGGATGTTGGTGCTGGCACTTTGAGAGCCACTGCCCCAAACCATGCTTTCTGTGGGACCCTTTCTCACACATTTCTGCTATGTCTCCTCCTCATTTTCTGACACCTTCCCCACCCCTGTGGTTTCTTGTCATTTATTTTCTCATAACCTTGCTGTCCTTCTCTGTTTTTTATCTAGTCTCTTGTCTAAAGCAAATTCACATTCAACAAAATCAGTGTCTGCTATCTTTGTTCCCTGCATACATACTTCTTCTTCTTTATGTCAGAATTTGAAAAAAAAAGGAGAGATTAGAGCAGAGCAAAGTTCTCCTTTTGGCTCCACAGCATTAGTCAGTACATCCTCTCTTACCTTATGTTATTTCCAGTGGACTTTTGTGTGAATCCCCTGGGGATTTGCTTCTATTCATTTGTGTAGCCTTCAGTCTGCACAGAACAAAACAAGTGTAATGGTACCAGGTATTGGCACAGCATCAATGATGTGAAAATAGATTTTCTAATTTAAATTAATCTAGCTAGTAAGAAGTTTTCCCATGGCAAATATGGGTTCTTGTGAAAATGGGTACTTGTGGGCAATTTATTTTACTTAGAGATAAAGTACAATTGTGCATGCAAATGTAAGCTGTTTTGCATCACAGATATTCTAACTGAAGAAATTTTCTTGTGGGGGCAAAGGTCACATTGGAATGCTTCAAGCAACTCAAATGACCCAGGAGGTAACAATTAAAGATTTAGAATCAGAAAAATCAAGAGCCAATGAGAGATTATCTCAACTAGAAGAGGAAAGAGCTTTTTTGCAGAGCAAAACTCAAAGTCTGGATGAAGAGCAAAAGCAGCAGATTCTGGAACTGGAGAAGGTAAGGAATGATGTTTCATCTTCCCCAAAAAGAGAAGGAAGAGCAGTGCCATTTCCATATTTCAGATTTGATGTATTGGTGTGTTTACCCTTACTCTAAGGTAACAATACATTTCTTATAGCTGGTTTTTTTTGAGCAATAATCAGTGTACAGTTAGACTACTCCATATTGCATGTATGTGCAAAATATGTGGGTAATAATCTATGATTAAAAACTTAATTTCAACCTTTTCCAAATCAGAAATTCAATAAACTGCTAATCCAATGAAATGTACATTTATGGTCAAATGTGTTTTTCCTATAAATGAAATATACCTTGCACATTTCTATAAAACTGAAAAAGATATCAAACCTCAGCTTTCAAAATTTATAGGCCAATGCACTGAATTTCAGGATTAAGCAAATAAGACATTGTTGTACTATAATTGATGAAGATTAATTCCAGTTCTTCAGATCCTCACAATACCAAGTAGGAGCCCTCTTTGCTCAAGAATTCAGCATAGAAAAAGCATCTGCCCATCTTCTGTCTCTACTGCCCTGCAATATCTGCCTCACCCTAGCCCCCAGTGTTGTCCTAGTTACTGGACATGATGGCTCTTATTTTCTGACCTGCCCACCATGCACTGATTCCCAGCATCTCCCTTCTCCTAGGTTTCAGGTTCTCTCATGTGTCCCCTTTTTAGCCTTGGTCTTGCAGTCTTATTTGTGATTTCCCTTCCTCCATCTGTTTCCTTCCATTGGTGTTCCCAGGATTTTCCTCTCATTCCATACACTCATCCATCCCAGTAATGTCAGCTGTTCCCTCTTCAGTGATAGGTCCTGAATCGCTGGATACTGCTCAGATATTCCCCATGAACTTGACACCTATCCATCTCACTTTCCACCAAATACCTTCATTGTGATTTTGCACACACATAAAGTCAGCATGCCCAGAACTTTTCTCCCTGCAAAAGTACTGTATTTCTTTTACTCCTTATTTCAACCCATTATATCACAGTCTACCTAGTTTTGCCAGTGTTCTAAGCCCTTAGTATATTTTTATTCCATTCCCTTCCTCCCATGCCCATTCACAGGTGCTAGGTTTAGGCACCTGTCGTTGTTTCTGTGGCATATGGTTACAACCTCCTAAACTGCTCCCCCTACATTCAGTGAGTTTACTAGCCTGCTACCAAGTGATTGTTTTTAAAACCATGTCACTTACTTATATTTTAATTATTTTTCATTCCCTTCAAAATAAGGTCCAAAAACCTTAATAGAAAAGATCCCTTCTCATCATTTGACTCCTGCCCATCTCTCACCGTCTCTCTCCTATATTCTGTCCTCTGTATCCCTAAACTTCAGCACCTGGTTAGCTACCTCTCACTTTTCAAAGTGCTGGAAGACTATAGAAATGGTTAACATTGGACTCAGTTTTGACATTTTCTCATCCTTAGTTTCCTCCTTATGTGAGAATTAAATGAGAGGACAAGTCATCACCAGCTCAGATGTCTTCTCTTTTCTTCTTCTTCTTCTTCTTCTTTTTTTTTTTTTTTGACAGGCAGAGTTAGAGAGACAGAGAGAAAGGTCTTCCTTCCGTTGGTTCACCCCCCAAATGGCCACTACGGCTGGAGGGCTGTGCCGATCAGAAGCCAGGAGCCAGGTGTTTCTTCCTGGTCTCCCATGCAGGCACAGGGGCCCAAGCACTTGGGCCATCCTCCACTGCCTTCCTGGGCCACAGCAGAGAGCTAGACTGGAAAAGGAGCAACCGGGACAGAATCCGGCGCCCCAACCGGGACTAGAACCTGGGGTGCCGGTGCCGCAGGCAGAGGATTAGCCAAGTGAGCCATGGCACCAGCCTTCTATTCTCTTCTGAAAAGCCTTCCCTGACCCTGGTTTCCTCACTCCCTCCATTCCTCCTTCCCAGCTCTCACTCCTTATAGGTTAGGGCCTTCTCCTGTATATTCTCACAACTTGTGATTCAAACCCCTGGCATAGAACCTATAAAACCATATTACCACTGTCTTTTAAAGTTTTTTTTTTTTTTTTTTTTTTACTAGACTGTGATTGCTTTAAAAGATAGGTAATTGGCACTCAAAATTGTGTTGAATAACAGTTTGAGTGGGTTAATTAGTAAGCCATTGACACACAGGAAACATTTTTCTCTTCAGCTTGCAGATGAACAAACTCACTTTTGTTCTGACCTAATAATGATGTATTTTATCTGTTGGTTTAAAATTTTTGATTTTGGGGGCCAGCATTATAGCACAATGGATTAAACTGCCACTTGAAAAACTGGCATTCCTATATCAGAGCACTGCTTGGAGTCCTGGATACTCTACTTCCCATCCAGCTTCCTGCTCATGTGCCTGGGAAGGCAGCAAAAAATGGCCCAAGTCATGGGGTCCCTGCCATGTGGGAGACCTGGATTGAGTGCTTGGCTCCTGGCTTTGTCTTAGCTGTGGCATCTATTTGGGGAGTAAACCAGTAGGTGGAAGATTGATCTCTCTCTCTCTCTCTCTCTCCCCTTCTTTGTTGCTTGGCCTTTCAAATAAATAAATAAATTATTAAAATAAAATAAAATATAATTTTTGGTTTTGCCTATTCCTTTGTATTGCTTTCTGAACACACCAGTTACTTATTCTCATATTTTATAGTCCAGTTCCCAGCACTCCATTTGAGTTTGCATATTTATAGGATATTCAGAAATACTAATTGCAGTAATGAAAAAAGCAGGTGCCAATTATTGATCTTGTTTTAATTTTAGAAAGTAAATGAAGCAAAAAGAACTCAGCAAGAGTATTATGAAATGGAACTTAAAAACCTGCAAAATAGGTTGGAAGGCGAGGTGACTCAATTAAATGAGGCCCATTCTAAGACTTTGGAAGAATTAGCTTGGAAGCACCATATGGCAATTGAGGCTGTCCACAGTAATGCAATTAGGGATAAGAAAAAACTGCAAATGGTGAGTAAAAATTCAACTTACCACTGCTTTGTAAATTAATGGGATTTCTGCAATGGTCCAGTGTGACCTATAATGAAGTATAATGATTGAGTTAATTTTGATGGCTGCTATCTTGCAACTATTCTTTAAATCGTGATTTAGAGAGTAAAATACCCCAAAGTTCTTGACATGAGATGTAGTCTGCTGAGCTGATTGGAGCCACTGCCATTTGGTATAAGCTGTGATAGAAATACACTTTGATCTTAAGCTCTCTTTGTGAGACAGCCAAATAAGTGTGCTCTTCAGGAAACCTGAACTAGTTGAATACATCATCTGTTGTGGACAGTTACCTTCTCTTATGTTTTTTTGCTTGTTTTCCTTCTCAAATAATCGGCTCACTAATAGCAATACATGACAGACAGTACTGTGTAGTTGAAGGAGCGAAGAGATGGCAGACCTGGACCTTTCACTAAGCTCTTTGCTTTCCAGCCCCTAGAGCTCTGCTGAGGCTCCCCATCTGCCAGGAAGATTTGCTCCATCTTAGCGTGTTCCTGTGAGGGTTAGTTGGGAACAAGTGCTGTGTTCCCAGGCATGCACAATCATATGGTGATAAATAAATGTTGGGGATTGCCATCTCCTACTGTGTGCCGTACACTCCAGTAATGTTTTGCATATATTATATCATTCAGTCCTCAGAACCCTGCTACTGGTTTGATTGCTCTACCCATGTGCTGAAGAGGGCCGTGCTTAGGTGCACAAAGCTAGTGAAAAGCAGCCTTAAATTCATTTCTCAGTCCTTGCAAGCTGCAAGGCATTTAAACACCACATCATGTAGGCATTTATTAATGATGGTTGTTGTATGTTTCACATAATAACACTTTGCAGTTTACAAAGAGCTTTCTTATTATATTTCTTAATACTTCAGGCTTAGAGATTAGTATCATTATTATGTGGATGGTGACATAGGTTTAATAACCCAGATGATTTGCTCAGAATCACAGTTCTATTAAGTGGAAGAGACAGGATGTAAGTTGAGACCTTCTGCCTCATTATTTCTTCTTCTGATGGGACTAGTTGGAAAAAAATACTTAAAACTAAATTTACTTAATTTAAAATCAAAATAAAACTTCCTGTTTGTTACTAATTTCTAAACTTACAGTTGAATGTTTATGTAACCAGAGGCAAAATTTAATGACATAATTTCTCAAGATTGTGATTGCAGTTTTCTCTGTGTCAGCTCGTTATTCTAGGACCAATTTTTTTTTAACTTTTCAGCTTTTTATTCAGTGAGAAAAATGCATAGGAGAGTGAGAGCCCTATCTAAAAGAGAGAGGGAAATCTTGATTTTATACCAAGAACCAGGAGCCAGCCATGCGGTGGAGCATGTAGGCCAGGAAGCATGTGGGGCAAGTGACACTCTGAAGGCTCAGGAGCAGCAAGCTGGTCCAGGGGAGAAGGAAAAAGAGCCAAAAGGGGGCCAAAAAAAGGGCAAAAAAGACTTGGACCACTGTGTCCAAGGCCTTTAATCCACTTCTAAAGGGGAGTGGTTAATTAGTCTGATTGGCCGGTAGGCTCACAGATGTGGCCAGGTAGGGGCATGGGATCACACAGGGGCATGGTGAAGGCATGGCCTTCCAGCTCACAAACCTGATCAGTTTTATCCTGTATGCCTGCCTACATTATACCCCCTTCAGAGACTCCATTCCCTTAATCCCAAGGGATGATGAAGGGTGTAGAATCATCATATATTCTATAGCTGTTTCCTGCTTATGAGGGGTGTAGTGCAAGCCCTGCCTGTCCTGGGTCTGGAAGTCTCTGCCTATCTCATCTAACAAATTTGCTTTGTGAGCTAGAACAGTCTCAGTCACCACCAGTGTCTGAGTCCCCTGTGTGGTCAGTTATTGCCAGAAGTCAAGTCCTGAAACATATAAGTTTGTTAATTAGTAAAGGGAAACCTGGAAAAAAACCAGTTTTAAGTGGAGTGCTCCTTAAGATGAAAAGAATGTATCTTACAGACTCCCAGATAGTGGGTGGTGATTGGTTACCCTTATGTCGATTATAAGACCCATTTAGCTTGAGCATAGAGAATTATCATAGAAGAACCCATTAGGAGTTTTATTATCGGAAACAGTTCCCAGAGAGAATCCAAAGAGGCAGGTTCAGCATGTCTGTCTGAAGGTGCAGCAGTCTTGATGGGACGAAGTCAAAGGCTTTACTTATCCTTTTTGTTTTGAAGAGGTACTTAAGGTGTCCTATTGGCCTACAGGAATAGTCAGGTGTGTCTTTTGAAGACTTAAACGGTAGAAGTTTAATCCTAATTTCACTGAGGTAGTCGTGCTCAATAGCACCTGGTAAGGTCCCTGCCATTTAAGCTTCAACTGATCTGAAGAGGATCTTTCTATTTTGCTGTTTCCTGAAATCTCCTCAGCAGTCTTTTTAGTCATCTTGATGCTTTTAACCATTCTATACTCTGTATCTGACCTTATGTTAAAGCATACGAGATAGGAATTTCACAGAGACATGGATCCAAGAGTTCACGTTTGAGGCACTTAATAAACTTTAAAGAAATACCTAAAAATATAGGCAACGGGTTTGTCACTTAGACATAACTAAAACTTATGATGCCTAAGAATATCACACACTATGGGGCTGGCGCTATGGCTCACTTGGTTAATCCTCTGCCTGCGGTGCTGGCATCCCATATGGGCACTGGCTTCTAATCCCAGCTGCTCCTCTTCCAGTCCAGCTCTCTGTTGTGGCCCGGGAAGGCAGTGGAGGATGGCCCAAGTACTTGGGCCCTGCACCTGCATGGGAGACCAGGAGGAAGCACCTGGCTCCTGGCTTCGGATTGGCATAGTGCCGGCTGTAGTGGCCATTTTGGGGGTGAACCAATCAAGAAGACCTTTCTCTGTCTCTCTCTCACTGTCTAACTCTACCTGTCAAATAACTAAAAAAAATAAATAAATAAAAAAATCACACACTAGAACAAAGTAAATCTTTGGGATCAAGTTTTACCATTAATGCTAATACTGTAACTCTTTGAGGACGGGGTCCTGCATGGGAGGTTAGTACACAGTGACTCCTGTTGTTAATCTAACAATTAACATTCTTACGCATGATGTCAGTGATCACTTGAGGCTCTTGACATGAGCTGCTTAGGCTATGGAAGCCCTTTGAGTCCACAAACTCTGTCTGTATTTAGACAAGACCATAAGCAAAGTGGAAGTTCTCTCCTCCCTTCAGAGAAACGTACATCCTTCTTTGATGACCACTTCTTTCCACTGGGGTTTCACTCAGGGAGGTCCTCCTTATAGGTACAGTTTTTGCATGAATGTTCTGGCTTTCCATGCCTGAAATGTTCCTGTGGGCTTTTTAGGCAGACCAGAATGCCTTTAGGGCTGACTCAGGTCACTGAGTGCTACTTAAAGTAATTGCCATTCTATGAGTCTGCTGTATGGATTCCGTCCCATGTTGGAGCATTCACTCTTCTATAATTTTATTATTAGCAGTAAACACTTAATCCTATTGACATGATCATTTTAAAACTTAATCTATTACCATTATCAGCTATCCCAGGGGGAATAGGGATCCCATGACAAGTTTTAAAGTGAACCCTTATAAGTAAGTCTGTAGGAATGCATGCAGGGCTATAAAGCTTTTATAGTTTCTCTGTAGGACCTGAAAAGATAAAACAGACCCAGCTCTTCACAAGCTTAATTATTCTTAAGCACTTGACATGGATACATTGCATTAGTTATAATTCCTTAAGCATATGACTTGGATGTATGGTATTAGTTACAATTCTGACCCCTTAGAGTCTCTATTTGTGTACCAAATGGGGTGCAGGACCAATCTTACAACTTTAATTGCATGGTGCATGTGCATGTTTACAGACTCAAGATGCATGTATCCACCTTTCAAGGTGTTTTGTAGAGAACTATTGAATGGTAGCTGCTACTTCTGTAAACTCTTTCCTAGCTATTTTTAAATATTATTTTTCATTTTTACATCTTTTTTTCCACGTTGGCTGCCTTCTTTTTACTGGCATATTTAAAGTGCATTTTTGTTCTGCCTTTGCCTTTCTTTATTCCTCTATATTTTAAATGCTAGAATCAAGGCATCTTTTATCAGTCGTTATTGCCTTATCACTCCTAATCCTCCATTCATCTCATTAAATTTTAATTTTCAAGCAAGATAAAAACCTGCTTTAAGCCACTTAAATGTATTAAAATCTTTTTTCAAAGCATCGTTGTCAAAAGGCAGGTGACATGAAATGTCTCGTGTGTGGACATATTCAGAATCTCTATGACAGCATTACCATATCCTTCTCTTTCAGTAAGACAACTTGTTTATAAATTGCTGCTTCATTCCTGTCTAACCTGTTTAGCTCATGTCTGAGCTTAAGCTGAAACCAGTCTTTATCCAGAACAGTCTTTCTGTAACATCAGATTTGACTTCAGAGAACATTTAGCTGAAGATGGCTTACATGTACTTTATTATTTATCAATCACGCTGTATTTCCCATCCTAACTCTATCACCCACCCCATCCAAAAGCTGATATGCAGAGAACCTGTGCAAAAGAATTAATATAGAAGTAAACAAAGACTCATGGTGCCTAAACTGTTAATGCAAACAATGTGGTTTATGAGGCACACCTGCTTTCTTCCTGGGAGTCTGGAATTTTGGTACCAGGAAGAAAATACAATTAAAAACAAAAACAAAAACAAACAAAAAAACAAAAACAAACAAAAAAAAAAACCTGGGTACTAAGTGTCTCATGAGCTCTCCTGGCAGATAGCATTCCATGGGAGCTGTCATACTTGCTGGAAGAATTAAGCATGTCCTGTGTGCAAGGGCTCTCAGGGCTTGGGCCTGATGCCCTGCAGACTGCCCCAAATGCACTTTTCCTTTGCTGATTGTGCTTTGTATCTTTTTTGCTGGAATAAGTCACAGCCACAAGTGTGATTATACACTGAGTCCTGTGAGTCCTAGCAAGTCAGGAAGGTTGGGTTTGTCTCAGGGTCCCCTGACACAGGACTGTATTGTTACTATTCCCACCGTACACTATGGGAATACTGAACTGCTTAGAACCTGCTGAGCTCCCTTGGTACCCACATGGTGTTTGGTGTGGGCCTTTTCCTCTTCCAAGAGTGCTGCGCTCTCCTCCTGCTCCACCACCTTGTCTTTTTGGTGCGCTCCTTCAAACCATACCTAGGAATCGCTTTCTCTCTGAAGGTTTCCCCACCAAGCTAGACATTATTAATTCTTCATTATACTTCTGTACTCCATATATATGCCTAATCTTAGTTAATATTCTTTTATTATTTGGTACCATGAATTTATTACAGGGAGGCATATTTCTTGTTGCCTTAGTATCTCATGAATGAGTTAGCTTGTCTAGAAAATTGTAACTGGTCTTCAGTAAGGATCAGTTTTACAAGTTTAGCTCTTCAGATGCCTTAGCTTTATACTTAGTAGTTCTCTACTAGGTTCTAGTACTAGACCACTGAGTTCTAGAAATGATAGTACATTTTTCTATTTACATAGATATAAAGGAACTCTGAGGAGATAGACTTTTTTCTTTATCTCATCAAATTATCATTTGTATCACATTTCTATCTTTTAACTAAAACTTGTTCTAGACAAGTAATATATTCTCTCCACTTAAATAATTATCTGGCTATCTCATAAGATATTCAGAATGATAGACTCTAAAATGTTGAAATTAAATGAGCTACTATTAGCTCTGATATTATTAATTAATTACAGCCATGATGAAGTACAATGCAGCAAAATATAAAACAGGGCTGGAGATGTGGCGTAGTGGGTAAGCTGCTGCCTGTGATGCTGGTATCCCATATGGGTGCCAGTTTGAGTCCCAGCTACTTCACTTCTGATCCAGCTCCCTGCTAATGCACCCGGGAAAGCAGTGGAAGATAGCTAAATACTTGGGCCCTGTCACCCATGTGGGAGACCTAAATAGAGTTCTGGGCTCCTAGCTTCGGCCTGGTCCAGCCCCAGCCATTATTGCTAAGAGGGGAATAAGCCAGCAGATTGAAGATATCTCTGTCTCTTTTTTTCTCTCTCTCTCTTTCACTCTGCCTTTCAAATAAATAAGTGTCTTCTTAAAAAAATAAAACAGAATAGGGGCCAGTACTGTAGCATAGAGGGTAAAGCCACTGCCTACAGTGCTGGCATCCCATATGGGCATAGGTTCAAGTCCTAGATGCTCCACTTCCAATTCAGCTCCCTGATATGACCTAGGAAAGCAGTGGAAGATGGCTCAAGTCCTTGGGCTCTGCACCTGCATGGGATACCTGGAAGAAGCTCCTGGCTTCTGATAAGCACAGCTCCAGTTGTTGTGGCCATCTGGGGAAGTGAACCAATGGATAAATAAATAAATAAATCTTTAAAAAAACAAAACAGAATAGTCTTTTTCTTGGAACCTTCAAAGTATATAATATGTGCAATTTTGTTAATTTTTAAAAATTTCTCTTTCTAAGGAATTGGAAGAACAATATAAAAAGGAGAAACTACATCTAGAAGAGGATAGAAATCAGCTTCAACTTGAGCTAGAAAACCTGAAGGAAGTTCTGGAAGACAAGCTGAGTACAGCCAACCAAGAGGCAAGGATTCTTATGCCCTTCACCAGTATTATATGGATTAATGACAGTCACTTACTCCGAAGGCGTTGTGTACATGACCGAGCCCCTCAGGGAAAGCAGCACATCTGGAGTGAAAAAATAAAAACCCTGAATTGATGCCAAATTTTTCATAATATTTTATTATGTGCCACCAGGTAAAAACGTGCTGCCAAAAGCATTCAGCCTCTTGTCAACCCAGATGCTTCACAAGTTCTAGACAGTGATATCTAAATTACTCTTCAATTCTTGTGGAAGTCACAGTGTTCAGCCTGGAAAGAAAGGGAGAGGTTGAGAAAGTCATGTAATAGGAATGTTATAAGCCTTTGAAAAGTTGTGCATAACACAAATGTAAAAACGTTTCTAAAGTTATATTATCTGTTCCTTCACTTTCTCTTCCCTGGTTGAGGCCATGCCCTCAGGTGGCCTCTGCCGTCTGCTCTGCCTTCCTGTCCAGTTCGTGCTTGTTGCGTGTTGTGCCTCACACAGAGTTCTTGCCTCCAGACTTTGTCTCGTCGGCTGTTCCTCCCTCACCAGCCAGTAGCCTCTAACTCCTGCTTCTGCACACGGAGACCGCCCCCAAACACACACATGCCCTGGCAGCCTGACAGTCTGTCCTCCACGTTCTTTTGTGGTTTGAAACACTTATCCAAAGGAAGGCCCAGCGCTGCACTGGGAGTGATGGAGCGGGGCAGGATTGTGATTGGTGTCAGCCCAGCCTCTGGTCTGGTGTCTGAGATAATCCTGCACAGGCTTCACAGCCACACGCCTCTCTCGCAGCACCTGCCTCCTGTCCTTAGCACATCCTGCTCTCAATTAAAAGGCCTTTTTGTGACCATCTGTGTTGCTCAGGCAGGCCCCTCAGGGTTCTTCCTGGGGTTCCTCTCTCAGTTCCAAACGTTTATCTAAGCAGTTCTCTAACCCAGATACTGTCATCTCACTGAGAAGGCTTTTAGTAAATATGGAACTTGTTTTCCTTCTGGCTACATCGTTGTTTATTTTTCAGTAGCCTGGTGATACTTTGGTGCCACTTGAGAGTGGCTCCCCAAAAATTTCTGCGGCTCATCCCTCCGTCTGCGCCTGCCTTTCCTTAGTCTGGGCTGTCTGTTTCCTTGTCCTGCGTTGCTGACTAGGATCTTAAAGATAGCACTTTTTATTATTATATTCTTGCTCTTCACCCTAAGGATCTCAGCATTTCACAGTTAATTATGACTCTTCTCTAGAGTTCTACTTTGTAAAAGCCCTTTTTAATCCTAGGAGATTGCCAAATTAGAAAATACAAAACAAAACAAAAAATGAGTGGATGTTGATTTTTCTGCATCTATTAATATATGTTTTCTGTAGTTTGTTAATGTGGTGCCTTATATTAAGGAGATTTTTTATATTACAGATAGCCCTTTGGCCTAGTAGTTAAAATGACTGCGTCCTATATCACAGTGCCTTCTTCTGGCTCCTGACTCCAGCTTTCTTTCTTTTTCTTTTCTTTTTTTTTTTTTTTTTAAGATTTCTTTCTTTTATTTGAGTGTTACACACAGAGAAGCAGAGACAGGTCTTCCATCCACTGGTTCACTCCCCAAATAGCTGCAATGGCAGGAGCTGGGCTGATCCAAAGCCAGGAACCAGGAGCTTCTTCCAGGTCTCCCCTGAAGGTGCAGGGTCCCAAGCACTTGGGCCATCTACTGTTTTCCCAGGCACATTAGCAGGAAGCTGGATTGGAAGAGGAGAGCGAGACATGAACCAGATCCCATCTGTACCGGCTCCACAGGAAGATGCTTAGTGCTGGCCCGCCCAGCTTCTTGCTAATGCAGACCTGAGAGACATAGTGATGTCACAGATAACCAGATGCCTGCCACCCACATGGAAGACCTGGACTGAGTTCCCAGATCCCTGCATTGGTCCCAGCCAGGGACTATAGAGGACATTTGGGGAGGGAACCAGCAGATGGGATGGTCCATACTCTCTCTCTCACTCTTAGTCTCACTTTTCCTCTGTCTATACCTCTCAATTTTTTTTTTATTAAATTCTATTTGAATTTCTAAGATAATTCCTAGTTAGTCATGATAATGTTAGATTCAATTTGCTAATACTGGGTTTAGAATTTGGAGACCTGGGTTCGAGAAAGAGTGCTTTGTTTTTTTCCTTTTTCATACTATTCCATTTCTGGTTTAAAACCAACCTCATACTAGCTTAATAAAATTAAACAGGCTGTGTTCTCTCCTTTGTTGTCTGGAAGAGTTGTGTGAGATTGAGATTACTTTTTTTTTTAACTTTGATTTAATGAATATAAATTTCCAAAGTACAGCTTATGCATTACAATGGCTCCCCCCCCATAACTTCCCTCCCACCTGCAACCCTCCCCTTTCCTGCTCCCTCTCCCCTTCCATTCACATCAAGATTCATTTTCAATTCTCTTTATATACAGAAGATCAGTTTAGCATATATTAAGTAAAGATTTCAACAGTTTGCACCCACATAGAAACACAAAGTGAAAAATACTGTTTGAGTACTAGTTATAGCATTAAATCACAATGTACAGCACATTAAGGACAGAGATCCTACATGAAGAGTAAGTTCACAGTGACTCCTGTTGTTGATTTAACAAATTGACACTCTTGTTTATGGCATCAGTAATCACCCTAGGCTCTTGTCCTGAGTTGCCAAGGCTATGGAAGCCTTTTGAGTTCACCGACTCTGATCATATTTAGACAAGGTCTTAGTCAAAGTGGAAGTTCTCTCCTCCCTTCAGAGAAAGGTACCTCCTTCTTTGATGACCTGTTCTTTCCACTGGGTTCTCACTTGCGGAGATCTTTCATTTAGGTGTTTTGTTTTGTTTTGTTTTTTTGCCAGAGTGTCTTGGTTTTCCATGCCTGAAATACTCTTATGGGCTTTTCAGCCAGATCCGCATGCCTTACGGGCTGATTCTGAGGCCAGAGTGCTGTTTAGGACATCTGCCCATTCTATGAGTCTGCTGTGTATCTCGCTTCCCATGTTGGATCGTTCTCTCCCTTTTTTATTCTATCGGTTAGTATTTGCAGACACTAGTCTTGTTTATGTGATCCCTTTGGCTCTTAGTCCTATCAGTATGATCAATTGTGAACAGAAATTTATCACTTGGACTAGTGAGATGGCATTGGTAGAGATTACTTTTTAACCTCAGTTATGTTGTCCTTAGAAATTGTGGTGTGTCTAAAAAACAATTTGAAGCTTACTCAGATTTTGTTACCTAGTACATGAGAGAAATTTAATATTCTGATTTTATTCAGTTGTTTAGTGCAATGTTGTCTATAGGCATGTCCGTAAAATTGAGATTCAAAACTATTTTCTTCAAATCTGTATTCTTTATGACATCCATCTTTATCTGTTGATTTCTAAAATCTGATACTATGATGGTGGAATTATCTCTCTGTCAATTTTTGCTTTGTATATTTAGAGGCTTTGTGTTGTGCATACAAACATGAAATTGTTTCAGCTATTTAATAGATTATACATTTTGGCCTAGTGTGTGTTATTTGCTATTACATAACCAGCTTGCTTTTAGTTAGAGATGGCTGGTATGCCTTTCCCCATTCCTTGGCTTTTATGTGTGCCTCTTATAAGCTGCCTTAAAAGAATAGCTAGTCTGAAATATTTTCTTTTTAGATGGAGAGTTTGGTCTGTTTTCATTTATTGAATGGCTGCTAAATGTATCTTTGGTAATGGAGAAGGAAAGAATAAGGTGATACTTCATAAAGACTGAAAGCTATTGCTTTACAAAAAAATAAAGATCATAATATCATCATCAGTTTATGGATCTTGATTCCCTTATAAGTGGTACAGCCTAGTAAGTCAATTATGGTTTAGGTAATGAATTCACAAATGCCAGAATCATAATGTAACAGTAAGGAAAGCTAGGACTCAGAAAACTCAGATGGAGATTTTATTTGAGGTCAGCTTTAGAGACAAAATATTTGGCTCAATGGCCAATAAATCTGACCACTATGGTCATTTTCAGTGTTCTTTTAGAATTTACAGTCTGGAGTAGCCAGGGCTAAGCTAGGTCAAAACCTGGAGCCAGGAATGCTATTTGGTTCCTGTTGTAGGTAGCAAGAACCCAAGTTCTTGGGCTATCAATTGTTACTTCCCAGGCACATTGGCAAGAAGCTGGATCGGAAGCATAGAGTAGCCAGGACTCAAATCCAGGACTTTGATATGGGATGCAGGTGTCTCAAGTGGCAGCTTATCTTACGGTGCCATAATACCAACCTTCATTCCCCCATGAAAGATTTTGAATACTAGCCTAGGGGCATTGAGAAACAGTTGGAAGATGCTAAGTGCAAATATGTGGTTGATTACTTGGGAGATGAGGCTTACACCTGTGTCTGTGTTTATTATTTATAATTCACTCTAGGAGCAGGCACTGAGGTATAAAGGGTTAAGCAGCCACCTGAGGGGCTGGCATCCCTTATGGGCACCAGGTTGAGTCCTGGATGCCCCATTTCCAATCCAGCTCCCTGCAAGCAGTAGAGGATTGCTTAATTGCCTGGGCCCCTCTATCCGTGTGGGAAACCCAGAAGATGCTCCTGGCTCCTGGCTTCAGTCTGGCCCAGCTCCTGCTGTTGTGGCCATTTGGAGAGTGAACTAGCGGATAGAAAACTCTCTCTCGTTCTCTGTCTGTCTGTCTGTCTCTCTCTCTCTTTCTCTCCCCCCTCACCCTGTAACTCTTTCAAATGTTTTTAAAAAATTCACTCTAGAGTTGCAAGAAGAATGAATTAGAGAATAGCAAATGTGCATATTCCAGGAAGAAAGTTTGTATTTACTGTCCTCCTTCAGTGTGCATTTTTATTAGAAGAATCTGAGTATTGATCTGTATTTCAGATAACAGAAATCCCAGGTAAAATAGCCAAAAGAAAGAGGAAAGGTATTGACTCATGTGGCTAAAAAGTCTAAGGGTAGTGTTAGCATCAGGTGTGACTTGATTGATACATTAGAACTGAAATGTGCTACAGTGGGTCTTGGATTTGGTCTCCCCCTTTGACTTCATGCTTGGGTCATAGATTCCCTCACATGTTCAACACAGTTATTATTATTGTTATTTTTTTTTGCTGGCTTCATAAGCATTGGCTTAACCTGCTGCACCATGATGGGCCCCATGTATTGCAATTACACACCTAACTCTTACGCAGCTGAACATTTTCTGGAGTGTGAAGAATATTCATTTCTCTATTCAAAATTTGATTGTTTTTTCCTTATTGGTTGGTACCTAATGTTTACATGTTGCTTTCTAGTTAAATAATTTCTTATGTATTCTTGAATTTAATTATTATTGTAACTCTATGAGGTAGGTATTATTATTAGACATTGAACTTAAAACTAGATTTTCTGCTAAGTTCAATACTGTTTCAACTCTATGCAGCTGATTTCCTCACTGTCATTCATTCACTACTATTATGCACATTTAAGGCAAGCAAAATCAATCCAAAAAGTAGGGAATATACAAGTAAGCAATAAAATGCAGAGAAGCAGAATATAAATAATGTTACACACAAAATTTCAAAATATTATAAGAAAATCCTGTATACAAATATGCCAATAATTTTTTCAATTAGGTGGAGAGATATCTCTTTGTAAAAATGTATTATTTAATTTATTTAAGAAGCAGGGAAGGGGGATGGAAACAGAAAGAGGGAGAAAGAGCTTCCATTAACTGGTTTACTCCTCAAATGTCCACATGGCTAGGGAAAGGCCAAAGCCGTAGCCAAGAACCAGGAACTAAGTGCAAATCACTGATGTCAGTGGTAGGAACACAATTACTGATGCCATCACTGCTGCCTTTCAGGGTCCACTTTAGCAGGAGGATGGAGTAAGGAGCCAGATATTGAACCTGAGGACTCAAGTGTGGGACGAGGGCATCTTTTACTGTTAGTCTCAACACCCTTCCCGGCATGAAAATTTAGATTTTGAAATGACTCAAAGTAATGGAACTATGTGAGCAAACCAATTTTAACCATAAAGGAAAATGTTCTAACATATCTAGAAAGGCAGTTAGCCCAGAGGATGTAATGGGTAAGCTGTATCAAATATTCAAGAAACAATTCTTTTATTTTTAAAATATTTTAGAGCACAGAAAAAATAAAAAGCTTCACAGATCATTGTATGAGATTGACATCCCTTTAGAGATACAAGCAAGATAAAATCCCCCCCACACCCTGAATTAAGTGTATTCTGTTTCGGTCAGTCTGCATGAAAAGGGGGGTAGAAAATGTAGATGGAGAGGGTGTCCATGGAGAATCTTCATAGTCTTCTTGGTGGTGTCTGCATTTCCAAGGGGAAATGTTCAGGTATTATTTTCAAATTGCCAGTTTAAATTCTTGTAGACTTTTCACAGACATGGCTTTTTTTTTTTAATTGGGTTTTTGTTTCATACATTTTCCTAGGTTACGTAAAGTATCTTGTGTGTGGATCTTTGTTCTCAAAATAGGAGGGTAGTAGTCTGTTTAATCATCAAACTGCCTATTAGTTCATAATTTCAACAGTATATAAGTTCAACTCTTGAGGATATCATGGGATACTTTTTTTTAAGATTCATTTATTTGAAAGGCAGAGATATGAAAGAAGAGGGAGAGAGAATCTTCCGTCTGCTGGTTCACTCCCCAAATGGCCACAACACAGGAGCTGAGCCAGTCTGAAGGCAGGAGCTTCATTAGGGTCTCCCACTTGGGTGAAGGGGCCCTAGGACTTAGGTCATCCTCCACTGTTTTCCCAGGTGCATTAGCAGGGAGCTGGGTCAGAAGTGAATCAGCTGTATGGAATGCTGACACTGCAGGCAGAGGGTTAACCTTCTGCACCACAGCATTGGCCCCATTTATGGATGCATTTTGTCAGGAAACACAGCATTCATAACTGAATTCTAGTTAACACTACATTTACCAGCTTATCAATAAGATCTCAGTTTACCACCTTCATAAATAGAAGTGGACTCAAGTGAAATTATAATAAATGATTTAAAAGTATTTTTAAATGTCTTTCTGTCTTTGATACAATTATCTTGCTTCATTTCTTTTGTAAAGATATTTTATTATATGATAGAACCAGAAATTCTCTTTGTTAAACCTAGAGCTTGAAAGGTAAAGCCGTTCCATTGCATGGTTGTCATCAGAGGGGGAAATCATAAATATAAAAGTCCTTAAAACACAAATCGTGATGCAGGCTATCATGATGATTTGAGTGCATCTTAAATTTATCAATAAATGCTCTATTCCGTAAAATGACAACTGAAGAAAAGACTTTGAGAAGAAACTGTAAGACTTTTGCTGGTCTGTTACGATGAGATTTGTTGAGAGGACTCCATTTACTTACAGATTGGCCGCCTCCAAGATCTGGTAAGCAAAAGTGAGCAAGGCCTTGGCTCTGCTGAAGGACTCATAGTCAGCCTGCAGGACTCCCAGGAAAGGCTTCAGAACGAGCTTGATTTGACCAAAGGCAGGCTAAAGGAGACCAAGGATGCTCTGTTAAATGTCGAGGTAATTTCATAATCCCACTGCAAAAGAAAAGTGTTGTTGAGCCACTTTGCTTAAAGCTTATTTAAGTGTCACAGCATGTATAATTAGGATGTTGGTTCCTAGGACTACTATAACAAAGGACTACAAACTGGGTGATTTAGAACAAAAGAAATGTATTTTTTCACAGTTCCAGAGGCTAAAAATCAAGATGTTGGCAGGATCATGCTCCCAATAAACCCTTTCTTGCCTTTTCCAGCTTTTAGTAGCCCCACAAAGTCCTTGGCATTTGGCAGTATGATTTCAGTCTCTGCCAGTTTTCACATCATCATTTTAAAAGGCTATTAGTCACAGTGGATTCAGGGCCCACCCTACTCCAATATGACTTCATCTTAAATAAATGCATCTGCATATAACCTATTTCAAGTAAGGCCATGTTCTGAGCTTCTGAGGGAGTTAGGACTTTAACGTATCTTATGACTATAACTAAACTCACAGCACTTGGGATGTGCAATTCGTGTTACTGGTATGAGCTGAAACTTTCACATATAGTAACCACTTGCTTCTCCATGATCTGCAGATTTCAAACAGGCTCTGTCTCTCCCCTTCCATTCTCATGAAGCCTGGCAAAGAGTTAGGCTGCCTTAGATAATAGAGGAAAGAACCCAGCAAGCCAGAGGGCAGTAGCCAGGAAGTTATGTTCCTTCAAAGAGATATGCAGTGTAGGCTCTAAAGTCAGGGGGCGGGTCTGGCTCCACCACTTAATGTGTAACTTTGGGCAGTCTCAATTCTCTCATTGCGTGGTGAAAGAGGAGTAGGGGATAATACTATTTAGCAGTTACATAAAATAAACCATTTATAGCACAGTGCTTAGCAAAATAGTAAATATTAAATGCTGGCAGAGGCCCATGGTTGCCAGTGTTGTCCAAAGAGGTCATTTCCAGCCCCAGGCTTTAGAGAGCCACTTGGTTTATGCTAATCTATGAGGATTTCATTTGTGTTATATCACTATAACACTAAACACATGGGCCACTAGCTTGACGTTATGTAATAAAAACTCAGTACCCTAAATTTCACATAACCATTTTAATCATGTTAGTGGGAGAAAATTGTAATGTTTAACCTTTGAGCAGATAGCATACCTTTGGACAGAGTATGAATGAATTTGAATAGCATCTGTCTATGTAGTTTCTGTACATGGGAAGATAATAATCAGTTGGTTGTTAGGTAATCATGGTATGAAATGTTTAATTAAGATGATCAATACTGACTTTCAGTGAATCAAGTAATTTATGATATAACCCTTAATAAACCATAGTTTAAATACGGACATTTAAAATACGAAATGTGTTCTGTGTGCTTCCATTGTCCAGAAAATATGGATAGTATTATCACTTACTGTGCAGTAAGCATTTTAAAAAGTTATAGTGCAAGCAGTTCATGTATTTGAAATAACTGGCAGGATCCCCACTTTTGAAGACTAGTCTTCACTAGTAAGTTTTTGTTCTTCAGGCTGAGCTAGAACAAGAAAGGCAACAGCATGAAGAGACACTTGCTGCCATGAAAGAGGAAGAGAAACTCAGAGTGGACAGAATGGCCCATGACTTAGAAATAAAGTGGACTGAAAATCTGAGGTACACTCTTTATAATATGATCCTATCAGTACAGTTGTGCAGGGACATGCTTCTGTTACATGGCTCATGCTGTCATATTGCTAAGGATGTAGCAGCAGTATTTAAATGAATTAGTATTTTAAGTAATTAGGTGCAGAGAAATTGGAGTCCTTTTTTTTTTTTTTTTTTTAATTTAGATGTACTTTTTTCTGATTCTCTTTCCTTGAACATAAAATAGGCAGAGAACAAACCTGAAGTCAGGAGGCTTATTTGTTCTGGTACCTATTTTGCCATTGATAAAGAGGTAAATCAATGATCTTGAGTAAGTTACCAATTTACTGTATAACTGTCAAATAATGTAGTCTTACTCTGAATCACAAATTCTGAGGCAGATTAATTAAGCGCTAGAACCTGTAAACAGTTAAACTATAGTTATTGAGAGGAATGCCTCTTTACAAAGTAAAGGTATTTATTTTATTTTAGACAAGAGTGTTCTAAACTTCGTGAAGAATTAAGACTTCAACATGAAGAGGATAAGAAGTCAGCAATGTCTCAACTTTTGCAGTTAAAAGAGCGAGAGAAAAATGCAGCCAGGGATTCATGGCAGAAGAAAGTAGAAGATCTCTTAAACCAGGTAATTAATAATCTATACATTATGAAAATTCATTTTCTTTACATTCTCTAGTGATTGAAATTTTGTAGAACACTGTGTTAACTTACTATATTTTGTTACTTTTCATAGGGAAAAGTTAAATATTTTTCAAAGTGTATGAGATCAAAGAGACAGTCATAAATTTATGAAACATTGTGCTAAATCATTATTATATGAGCATTCCTAAATACTGAGAATATATATTTTAGCTTAATATTTGAAATGAATTCATGAGAAATTTTAAATAAGTTTTACCTGTTCTTTGAAAGGATAAAATCCTTTCTCAGGCATTTGGGCAATAGAAGATAAAATGTATTAAATTTATTAAATGTGTCCTGATTGCCCCAAATTGCTAATGGAGCAGTTTGCTTCTGTCTCAACAATGGAGTATTTATTGCCTGTCCTGTTTCAGAATGCTTTCAGTTCCTAAGAGAGATTATTACAAAAACAAAAGATAGCTGTGTTTCTAAATTTCTTCTTTTGTCATGCTAACCCCATCATTTATAATTATAATTGAAAGAACTTTCATACTTTTATCTCATTTCAACAACTTCTAACTGCATGAAGTTTTAGTATTCTCTTGAAAAGCCAGTAATTAAATGGGACGGACTGCATGAGTCACCAGTTGATAATCCACCATTATCTGTTTATTTGTGATCTTGGTAAGTTTCAAAATAAATGGAATGGGCTTCTTTTTTTTTAAGATTTATTTTATTTATTTGAAAGAGTTATATAGAGAGGTAGAGATGACAGAGAGAGAGGTCTTCCGTCTGCTGGTTCACTCCCCAGATGGCCACAACTGCTTTAACTATGCCAATCCGAAGCCTGGAGCCAAGAGCTTCTTCCAGTTCTCCCACATGGATGCAGGGGCCCAAGGACTTGGGCCATCTTCTACTATTTCCCCAGGCCATAGCAGAGAGCTGGATCGGAAGTGGAGCAGCTGGGACTAGAACTGGCGCCCATATGGAATGCTGGCGCTTCAGGACAGAGCTTTAACCGGCTGCGCCATAGCGCCGGCCCCAGGGTAGGCTTCTTTATTAAACATGCAAAGTCTGTCAGCAATGCTTAGAGCCTGCCAGTTTGTGTTTGGCATTTCATGGTAGTGAAATCGGAAAGACCCCCTAAAATTTACCCTGAAATGTGGCCCCTTAAAGTTCCCTAGAAATGCTATCCGGGGTGCCACATGCGCTACTGGAATTTGGGGTGCCTTATGATTTCACCACGGGCTTATTACTAAATCCCCAATATTAATAAGCCCGAGAGGGTTCTTGCCTAATATTTAGAGAAGAATTTTAAATACCGGCACAGATAAACGAGGCAGCATGGTACGTTTTAAGCTTTTATTTAGTAAGAAAGGTGCATAAGAGAGTGAGAGCTTATTTAGGGGAGAGAGGTGAATAGGGGTTCATACCAAGCACCAGGAACCAGCCACGTGGATGAGCATCTAGGCCAGGAAGCCTAGAGCGCAGGGCTACAGCCAGCCCTGTCCTGGCAAGAGGCCAGGGAAGAAGAGCAGGGGCCCGGAGCACACTGTGCCCTAGGCTTTTAACCCACTCCAAAGGGGAGTGGTTAATTAACCTGATTGGCTGGTGGGCACCCCTGTGTGGCAGGTAGGAGCATGAGGTCACACGGGCATGGTCTTCCAGTTCACAAATCTGACCAATTTTAACCTGTATGCCTGCCTACTTCAGTAGTTGTTTGTTTGTTTGTGAGATAGAGGAGAGGGACACAGCTCCCATTTTCGGGCTCACAGCTATTAGTAATATTACTCTGAAAAGGGAGAAGACATTTATTCATGTGTGAGTTTTTGTAAATCATTTGAAATCTCTGAAACTTAGGTGGAAATGAGAACAAGGAGCCCACTCTTGCTAAAAGTTGGTTAGCACTTTCGTGTCTACAGTTACTTTACCTTCCTACCCAGGGTCCAAGCAGCACAGATGATACTGGGCAGAGTGATGCTGATCCTCTATCACGTCCTATGTCCAGAAAGTTTCAATTCATTCAGTTACATAAAATGAAAACAACCCTAGAAGTCTGCCAGGTTTTTCAATGTTGAATATAGGTGTTTGTTTTGAGTGGGTTTATTTCACTGCTCAGAGGACACACCTCTCCTTCTACCTGTTTTCCATTAAATTGTTTTCCTTTAATCTCTTTTGAATTGTGAGATTTCTCCCATGTTTTCCTGGTTTTAATTTTTTCTTTCTGCCTTATGTCTGTCTTTATTTCTTTCCTTTTCTGATGTCTATTCTGCAGTGTTATTTCCTGAGAGGACCTAATGCTTTGCATCCTAGGTTCTGTGTATCATAAAATAATTTATCATATATTTACCCCATGTTTTGCCAGGTTTACAGAGAGAAATCTTTTAAAACAATTTTCAAAACAAATTAACCATAAATATGAAGGCAACTAGGAATTGAGAGGTGAAACTGTTCTGTGATGCCCCTTGCCATCAGCCCATATCCAAGGTTCCAATGTCTCCCTTCTTCCCCACTTCTGAGATGTGTGGGGCATACACACTACTGTAGATAAACTGGCAAACAGCTATGGTGCTGCAGAATCATCCATGCTGGAAGAAAGTTAAGAAAACACGAGAACAAAACAATGCCCCCGTTTAAGTAAAATTGGATGCTATGTTACCAAGATTTCACTTTCCAGATATATGAGATGGCGAAAACTTAATGCTTACTTATTTGAGAGAGAGGGAGGGAGGAAGGAGGGGGGAGAGATGGATCTTCCACCTGCTAGTTCACTTCCCAAATGCCCACAGTAATAAAGGCTGGGCCAAAATGAAGCCAGGAGTCTGGATCTCCCTTTGAGTCTCCCAGGTTGGTGGCAGGAACCTAAGGAGTTGGTCCATCATCTGCTCTCTCCCAGGCACATTAACAGAAAGCTTGATGGGAAGCAGAGTAGCCAGGAGGGGAATCTAGGACTCAAACAGGCACTCCAGTGTAGGATCTGGATATCCCATGAGTAGGTTAACCCACAGAGTCAAAAGGTCCACCATCCCCACCCCCACCCCCACCCAGTGATAGATTTTAATGAACCTTCCTAGTAGACGTAGGATCTTTCCTTCCTGGCCCTCTGGATCTTGTTCTCTTGACTCTTGGGTGGGTTCCTGGGCCTGTGCTCTGAAGCCTGCTCTGCCACTTTGCATCTGCATGATCCTGCTGTCAGCTGTGTTCCTCATACACTCTACTCACCTGCTCTAATCCATACGACCATTTCCCTGGGCTGCTTCTGGCCTTCCCTTTCATCCTAGCACTTGTCAGCACTGCTCAGCACTTAGGGAGACAGACACAGCTTAGGGTTGGTATATTAAAGAGAAGGGAGTGGGAAATAGAAGTGGAATGACCAGGACTTAGAAGCCGATACTGTGGAAAACTATCAGAGAAGCTGTGTTTTCATGTATTTAACTATTTCTGAGTAAACTGAGCACCAGACTTTTTTTTATCTTAGTGTACCTGTACTTCATTCTACTTACTGCAAAGAAGAAATAAAATAATTTGCCTTTCAAATGAATTTAAAATCTTGAGAATTAAATTTGTTTTAAACTAATCTTCCTGGCCTACCTCTCTAAAAATAGACATAGAAAAGCATTAGATTTTCACTTTGCTTTAATCAGGCATTTTTCATTTCTTGAAATTTACTAAAAGTGATTCTTTTCTCTCTGTGTTCCAGCTCAGACTCATTTTTGTAATCTTAATTTTCCTTTAATATTTCATTGTGTTCCCCCAGGCCAGTTATTTTTCGCAGTCTAATCAGTGTATATATTTGAATTCCTTTAAAGCAAAAAAAACAAACAAACAAACAAAAAAAAACCTACATATCTTTTCCTCAAACTCTAACTAAGAATGATTGTATAGAGTCTTCTATGATCATAATTCCCATTTGTGATCCTAAAATGTTACTACATATTCCTTTATTTCACCTTTTTTAAGATGGCTTTTATTTGGATTGTATGTGATAATGCATTTATTCAGCTTCATTCAGAACATTGAACTGAGAGGTCAGGAAGGCACTCAGATCATCAGAAAAAGAACTATAGATTTTAAAAATTGGGTCTGGATCTCTGTATTGTATGTATGAACTTTGACGCTCCAAAATCATTTAGCTAGTTATAGTCACATAGATAACATGATTTTTATACATCACAAATTTATAGTATAATAGGAGGAAGGTTAGTATACAGATAATTAAAATTCACTATGCAGTAAATGAGTTTATAAATAACCCAGTTTTTACTAAGGAAGTGTATTAGTATATTTTTTGTTACAGTAATGAAAGACCTTTTGTTACAGTAATGAAATAGCTTTGTAAAGAAAAGAGCTTTATTTTGACTCATGGGCCTAGAGGTGCAAGGTCAGCGTGTTACATGTGTAGTGATGGCCTCCTTGCTAGCAGGGTGCCGGGGAGACACAGAATTACATGAGAGATGGGCAGAGTGCTTGTATGTGTGTCTGTATGGTCTCTCTCCCACTTCCTATTAGCTGCCCGGATCCAATCTTGGGGCCCAACTTTGCGACTTTATCTAATCTTAATCACTTCCTGAAGGCCCCACCTCTAAACACATTGGTTGATTCATTTCCACCATCTTAACTAACAATGGTGATTACATTTCAACACACTGATGCCTTGGGGGACATGCAAACTATATCCATGCCATTAAGGAGGAGCAGTGTTTTGTTGGAGCTGGCTCCTGCCAGCTCATCATAGCCAATTGTGTGCCTTTCTTCCCAACACCACAGTCAGGGCCACCATTGTTGGTGACTTGCAGTCACCTGTGGTGGTCATTTATATTCCTCAGATACCAACAGATTCTGCAAATTGAGGTTTTGTTTTTCAAAAAGCTGTTAAACATTTATTGGTGTACTACTGAATGATAGAGAAACAGTAACATAGCCAGTACAAGTAGGAACACTTTCATTGAGACCAGCATTGACATGACAGAGTAATGGCCAAAATACAAGAGTTTTTATTCATTTAAAAAAGATTTTATTAAATAGACACTCTTATTTCCCAGGTACTATGAGAAATACAGTAATGAAAAAAACAAGATTGGATGGGAATGGTTTAGTGAGAGAGGTTATGATGGAACTCCTTGACTTTATCTTGGGAATTTAAAAGTTTACTTAAAGAACTATGAGATTGTGTCAGAAGTTTATGGAAAGGGGAATGACATGCTGAAAATTTTATCTTAGGAAGTTTAATACAGCTGTGATACTAAAGCGAGGATGAAGTAGAGACATCTTGCCTTAAATATCTAAATTAAAGTGCCTGAAACAGGGATACACTCCATGCCTCCTATCCTACCCCTCAGCTTAAGAGGCTGCTCCTCTCCTCCCTGCCCAGACCTCACTTCACTGTCTCTGACTGTGCAGGCAGACACAACCCTCTCTGCTGTTCTGCCTGCACACTACAACCAGAGCGATACACTTCTCACCTCCACCTCCACATTAGTCCAAGTCATGTGCCCGTCTCTCCTACACTACAGCTATGGTCTCCGTTCTCCTTGCTTCCACTCTTGCCCACCTGCAGATTAAGTGATGCCCTTACAATATTCAGTTGAATTGCATTATTTTGTTTTGACTCCTGCAGTGACTTTGTATCATGTGTAGGGTATAATCCACACTCTTTGGCTTCTGGTAGCCTTATGATTTGGTGGTCTGGATCTTGAAACTAGTGAGTTCATTTGGTTTTAAAGCCAAGTGCTCATTTTGCTGCTCTTTAAATTAAGTTTTTTGTTAGCAAGGAAATATATTCTCTCTTTAGAAATTGTAGTTCTGCCTGTAAGAAAAAATCATCTATTTTTATCAGTTTTTCTGTATCTTCTCTTAAGTGATTACTTTTTTTAGATGAGGGACTGCCCTTTTAAAAATTAATATAAAGAGAACAGATTTCATGTCTTTGATAAAATTCTAAGAACAAAGCAATACTTACCTTCCTTCCTCCCTCCCTTCATCCTTCCTTCTTTTAATTTTTGTGATAACATACTTTCAGTTTACTTCATAATCACAGGCTTAATGTTCCGCTAAATACAGTGTTCAACAAGTAAATAGTAGAAAGACCACTACTTCACAGGAGTATAGACAAGAGCTATAAACAAGTCACTCTTAAACCTTCAGGGTTTTTGTTAGTGTTTTGTTGTAATGGAAGAGTAATTGGCCGCAGATCTGAGGCAGAGGCAATCACAGGGCCTGGCGGCATCATCTCTCCTGTGTTGTCCCGCCAGGACCTTGGCAGATGCCCTGAGCAGTGACAGGGGATCAGTGAGGCCAACCCTGAGGGCTCAGAATCCTTTTACTAGAAATTGGGAGAGCAGGGAACTATGTAGAACAAACATCCGAAATCCATCCTGAGCCCTGGGCTAGACAGTGGCTGGGGGAAGGTAAAGGGAGGTCAACAGAAAAATCAGCAGAAAATGAGAAGAGGCCTATGGAGAGAGGAGAAAAACCAGCTAGAAGAGAGTGAAAGTAGCTGACGCAACGTAATGTTACTTTCTAGAAAATATGGAATGAGATTAAAGTCTACCAAAAAAGCCAGCCAAATCCATTATTCCTCATACAGCCAGCTTCAGTTTGTGGATTCAAAAAGCGGCTTGTGATATTTTCCTAGTGAATATGAAGTTTGACTTTAATTTTCCTTCAATTGAAAAAATGAATTCAGCTATACCATATCCTCTTTGATCATTTATGTGGTTAGTTCTTCTTGAGGTTTTATTTTTCCTTCTAAGATAATAGTACTGAACTCTGAATTAATTTAAAAATATTCAATTTGTACTTTCCTTTCTTGCTAAAACCTCCCTTTTTGGAATGATTCCATCCAGTGCATACATTGGCACCTTTAGAAGAAGAGAATAAAGAGAAGGAACTATGAAATCTACACCTAGATTTTTTTTTTAAAGATTTATTTATTTATTTGAAAAAGTTACAGCAAGAGATGGAGAGAGAGGAGAGGGAGAGCGGGGAGATAGAGTTTCCATCTGCTGATTCACTCCCAAAATGGCTGCAATGGCTGGGGCTGGGCAAAGCCAAAGCCAGGATCCAGGAGCTTTATTCGGGTCTCCTACATGGGTGCAGGGGCCCAAGCACTTGTGCCATCTTCCACTGCTTTCCCAGGTGCAGTGGCAGGAAGCTGAATCAGAAGTGGAGTGGCTGGGATTTGAACTGGCATTCACATGGGAAGTTGGCGCTGCAGATGGCAGACAGCTCTGGCCTGTATGCCTAGATTTATTTCCATAGCCTCTAGCTGTAGGAAGAAGGCCAATAACCATATTAGTTTAGATTCCAAATGTTCAAATATACTTTAGTCATATAAAACCAAAAATCTCAGGGAAGGGAAGAACTAGTATGCCACTCTTATTTGTTGTATTCTTCTAATTTATCAGGTAACCCAGAAATTTTAAATAACATATGTATTTTTGTCTGATGATAACTTAAACAGTAAAAAATAAAATGTATTTCATGAACAAATGGCATCCTTTTTAGATTATCTTTTCCTACTAGACCATCTGTAATGAGAAATACAGACAGGTAAAAACACTGCAACTAAAAATGCCTTAGATTTTGCATTTTGTGAAGTCTGGAGAAATTGTCTCTCATCATTATATATATTATATATATCAAATATAAATTCATATGAAAATGGATTAAAAAGATATGCACCAAATTGACATTTTGAGATTTGATTATTGATACAGCTTATCTATACTCCTGAGGAACAGTGGTTTTTCTACTCACTACTTGTTGAATTCTTTATTTAGGGATGAGTTAAGCTTGTGATTATAAATTGAAAGTATGTCATTATAAAAATTAAAAGACAAATAAGAAAGGAAGAAGGAAAATGTGAGGTGGAAAGTATCATTATGCTCTTAAAACCGTATATATGAAATACATGAAATTTGTTCACTTATTTAAATTTATTTTTAAAAAGTAAAATAAATGTTTTAAGAATGCGAGAAACTTTTGGTTAAAAGTTATGAAATAATTAAATAAGAAATAAATCTTTTTTTATCTGATTTTTCAAGTTTCTATAAAATCATACCTTCAGATATGTTAATCTAGGCTATTAGTAAAAAAAATCATTCTCTGAATCAAAACTGTCTATAATCTGTGATCTTCTAAGGAATAATCACATAGTTATGGGAAAAATTACTGTATTCTGTCTGAAAATTTGGTTAGTGTTCAGAGGAAAAAAATGTTAAACTTTACCATTTAAATTTAAAATATAAATTTAAAATATTATTTTCTATTTTTGAAGGTAAATAAATATGGGAAAATTACATTTTATCCTGTATTTTGGGGGAGGGAGGTATAGATTTTTCCAGTGGTCTGTTATTTAAAATTTCAGTGAACATTTGAAAAAGTAACCTAGCTCATAAGCAATTTTGTCAAATATATCCAAGAAAGTGGGATTAAAAAGATGTAAAGGCATCTCTGCTTCTTTCCCCCAAGTACAAAACCCAACTATTAGTAAATCTTCATATTTTCCGTGATTTTCCTATATTTGTTTCTTGCCCCCCAAATTATATAGTCAACCAAATAAGTGTTGCAGTTGTCATCTGTTGAGCTCTCCTAGGAGAAACCTCAGTGAAGCTGCAGCAATACAGCATGCAATGCTTTGAGTGGTTTTTCTGTAGATTTCTGGTTGGAATTTATGACGGTAACATTCCTTCCAGGCTCTTCAGTAGCCATCATCTTCTAACTGAACCCTGGTTTATGTGCTCTAGCTATCAGTATTTTTCATAGGTAAGTCTGTCAGCCATAAACATACCGGGCACTGTTTTAAAGACCTACAGATAATTCAGAATTTCTCTTTGACTTTTTTTCTCAGAATTGTTTCGACTTATTTTTTTCTTGAATATATATATAATTAAATGTCCTGTGTTTTACTCTCCTTTTTATCCCTCTTTCTTTCACTTAGTTGATTTCTGAATGTTTCCCTTTATCCCTGTGATCTTGTCTTCATAGCGGCACTCTCTGGGTGAAGCTTTGCATAAATCTATCAACAATGTAAGTGAGCGGCACTTACAGTTTGCACTGAAGGGCATGTTGCACATTTTGCGTAAACTGAATCACTGCTTTCAAGCTGTTACATTACAGAAATCTTTGGCATTTGGTAGGATATGTTTGTACATGGGTAGTAAAAGCTTCTAATGTCTAGCCATTAATTTGTGTTTGTGCTTACATGTTCCACATTGTATTAATAAGCATATATTTTACTATAAAACCAAGCAAGGTTTTATGCCTCAAACATGATATTTACAGTTTTAATGTTTGCTTTTAAGAATATAGCAATCTTTTAAAAAAACATTAATTAATTGACTATCATAAAGATATTTCTTATGTTTAACTAGTTTATGTTGTGAGAAAGTAATATCAAGACTTCTTTAAAGTATCAAATAGGAAGATGTATGAGATTTTGAATATATTTTGCATTTTATTGTTATAGTTAACGGATGAAACCAAATGGAGTAGCCCTTCCCTAAGAATTGACAAAGCTGTTGTCTTTTATGTATGTATACTGAAGTATGCAGAATCTAAGCTTCAAGATAATGTGCCATATAACACTGATTTAAAGTTTTTTTCTTTAAGCATGATGAGAAAAACTGAGATTTATGCTTATAAAAATCTATATATCTAACTTGTCCTTTAAAATAACAAGAGAATTTGACATCTTTGGGTATTTTTCTTGTAGCCTGGGACAGTGTCAGAAGACTTTTTCTGCAAAGACCCAGGTAGTAAGTGCCCTTGGCACTGTGGACTGTCCAGGTTCTGTGGCAGCTACTCACCTCTGCTGCTACACTCAGAGACAGCTTGGAAATAAATAGCTCTGGGTGTGTTCCAATATGATTTAATTTTTCTGTAGTTTGCCAGCCCAGATCTGGAGAAATGAAAGCTTTGAGACTAGTAATGTGCTATGAAATTTCAGTTATTTTTGAGTGAAACTATTTCTACATACCCCTCTAATTTCACTCTATAAGAAAATAACAAAAAATTATCTAACTTTCATATGCAGCTTTTCTTTCCACATAAAAAATAGAAATACATAAATATATTTAACAGCATTTTCTTTAATACCTTTAAAAATAAGCACCAACCATTTTTATCCTGGTGTTTATCAAAATAAGGCTACATTTAGGAATTCTTTTTAGTAGTAGCATAGAACATAGTAAGAATTTTGAATGATAATTTTTTTTTTTTTTTTGACAGGAAGAGTGGACAGTGAGAGAGACAGAGAGAAAGGTCTTCCTTTTGCCGTTGGTTCACCCTCCAATGGCCGCCGCGGCCAGCGCGCTGGGCCGGCGCACTGCACTGATCCGATGGCAGGAGCCAGGAGCCAGGTGCTTTTCCTGGTCTCCCATGGGGTGCAGGGCCCAAGCACCTGGGCCATCCTCCACTGCACTCCCTGGCCACAGCAGAGAGCTGGCCTGGAAGAGGGGCAAGCGGGACAGAATCCGGCGCCCCGACCGGGACTAGAACCCGGTGTGCCGGCACCGCTAGGCGGAGGATTAGCCTAGTGAGCCGCGGCGCCGGCCGATAATTTTCATTTTTGGTATAACACCAGTGTAGACTTTGTTGTACATGCTATTTGGAATAGAAATAACTCAAATAAGATATGATTATGTTTTCAGTTAATTGAATTAACTTCGGAATATTTGCAACAGCATGGTCATTTTCCCTCAGTAGTTATAAATAAAAGATATTCATTAAATAAAAATTGCCTTGTTGAAAGTGTCTCTTAGTAATTGGATAAGGATGCCTTGATTTATCTGTCTGATTAATCAGAGACACTAAGAAGACAAACTGAGGGAGAATGTGAGAGAGATACAGATGGACAGACAGGTAGACAGGGGTGAGAGAGAGAGACTGGGAAAGAGACAGACAGTGAGTTGGACCGAAAGAGAAACATACAGGAGGACAGACATTCAGACTGAAAGAAAGTGAGAGAGAATAAGGGACAGAGTTAGACAAAGAGACATATATTCATAACAGATACAGACATATAGAGAGACCCGAGACTAAGACAAATAGACAGAGACCAACAGGTAGATTCTCAGAGAGATAGCCAGAGAGAGAGAGAGAGAGAGAGAGAGAGAAGGACAGACAGTAGACAAGAGACAGAGAGACAAGAGACAGATTGGTAGGCAAAAAGTAAGAGAGTAAGACTGAGAGACAACTGAGAGAGCAAGACAGACTGAAAGAAATAAAGACAGCAAGACAGAGAAGTAGACAGACATACATAGAGACAGGCAGAGTAAGAGGCAGAGAATGACAGGCAGAGACAGACACATCATATACAGATTGAGACAGGACAGAAATAGACATTTGAACAGGCAGGGAGCCAAAGGGAAAGTGAGAGACAGAAATAGAGTGAGACAAACTGAGAGACAGACTGACACAGAGAGTGACAGATAGACAAAAAGAAATATACACAGAAAAATGTGCAGAGAGACACAGAAGCAAAATAGATTGACAGACACAGAGAGACAGACGAATAGGGACACAGACACACACACTCAGAGAGACAGAGAGAAACAGAGACAGAAAGAGATAGAAACATACAGAGAGACAAAGGTAAAGCCATATAGATGAAAACAGAGTCAAAGAGAAAGATGTATAGGCAGAGAGTATGAAAGAGATAGAAACTGAGATACAGGTACAGACTGAGACAGAAATAATTTAAGAAACAAAGAGTGAGACAGAAAAATACAGATATAAGAGTCACACAAGAGAGAAGTTTTTAAATGAGGATTTTTTTTTTCTAAAATAAGAACTCTCTGGTTTATTTAGCATGGATAAAAATAAGAAACATTAACAGTCATAACTAATGTATAGGATCTACCATGCACTACATAATTTGAATATAATTCAAAGCAACTACTGTTTTACATTTATTCATCAAATGCCTTTTTAGATATAATTCTAAAATAAAAGTGATAACTAAGATTGCCCAATTCTTTGTAAAGTCCATTGTTCTCTTGTTTTTAATTAATGAATTTTTATATTAATATGTATGTCCATAACATAAATTCAACTATTTAAATTATAGCCATAAAACATTAGTTCATTTTCCATTGCTTTGCTCATTATTTCTCTTTTAAAGTGACATATAATTTCCATGCTGAATAAAGGCTGATTAATTATTGTAATTCTACTGATTTATTTATAAAAATAAGTGAGTATTGATGCTTCATTGCATGATTAAGGCTTTCTGCATATAATTCATGTTACTGTCTTGAGCATGAATCTAAACATTTTAGAAAGCCTTAATAATTTGGTGTGCTTTCAAAGTTAAGAATACAAAACATCTAAGTATATTTGAACACTAAATTGCATGATAATTTCTTAATGTACATAGTTTATATTATTTTCTTGAGTGTAGATTAATCATATATCCTAGGTTGGAAAATACTATTTTGGAGTTCTTTCAAGGTAATGTATATTATAATGTAAAATATTTAAGTGTTTTTTTTTAAGCTAGAGAAATTTAAAACTGTACTTAGGTTTTAAATACATAACTATTATTTTACTGTTGAACATAATTCATTTTAAACTTTATATTTCTTCATAAAAACTTCATCCTTAAGTAGTTCAAATTTTTGTCAAATTGTAGTCAAATTAACACATGGGAGATCTACTGCAGTGAACTTTTGAAAAACGGTATTTCAGAAAATAAAGATATGCTCACTGCTGTGAACTGATTGGCTTCTTACTAACCTAAGTGCACACTCATTGGATAAGATCAAGGGCCACCGCTAGCCTATGTGGTGCCTTTTGTGCAAATTGGAAAGATATGCACATTCTTTGGGATAGATGCAGATCTTTACCAGGTACATAACGATATGTACCAGGTACATAATGTGGTGAGCAGAATGCTAAGTAGATTTTTGTCCCCACTTAGTGGCAAGTAGTCACTTTGAGAGTATGTATCAGAACTGTACATTAACACATTGCTTTTCCCAACTTTCCCATATATAACCTAACAGATTATCACCAGAAATAAACAAGCCACGATCGGTCCCATGCTGAGGCTGGGGCTAGGGTTGAACTTGGGAAGATAGTGGGTAGGTACCTTCTCTATTTCAAGAACTAGCTATCTGGGAAGAGAATGGCTGTAGCAATTACACATCAGTATCTACAGCTTTTTTTGTTGCCTGATAACCTTTTATGATTTACCTTTTCTGTCTGTGCTGTGATTAATATTTATTTCATCCTGATTCTCTTTGGATAAAAGATGAGATGTCACGTGTTAATTTATCTTATCCCACAAGTGTGACCTTAGCTGTAACCATGATATTCTCATGGTATTTTCAAATTTGCAGGGTTTATTTTGGTACAGCAGTTTGGCAGTTCTGTTGCCACAAGCCAGAAGTTTTTGTTTCTACCTTGACTCCAGACTTGTAAAATAACCCCTGTGTAGAAATTCATTGGTAGAATTCATAAACTTTCAACAAATTGTGTCTCTTTTTCAGAACTACATTTAAACAGATTGAAGAGATTGTCTATGTCAGTTCTGTCAGTTCTCCCCAGTGCTTGAATATTTCCATAAAGATATGTGCTTGACTATTTCCATAATGATTATTATACAAATGATCCTGATGTAACTAATCATCCACCCCAAGCTCACTACAGCCTGTGATTGTTTCCTGCTGCTTTACAGGGAGACAGCCATTTGTTTTTAACATTTCCTGTCTTCCAACCAGTGTGTTACATTTCTGGTGATTCCCCACACTTTTCCTTCTTTCCCAAGTACTTTTCTTTGTGAGAGATATGAGATAACCTATGTCTGCTTCTCACAGACCAAAAGGGAGTCTTTTGTACTTTGAGGTTTCTTCTTCATTGGCTTTGTTGGCCATAGAAACTGTTTCATTTGTGTGTAAGCACTTAGAGTATCTTATGTTGCTTATTGAAATATTTTGTAACATTTTTTCTGATTCTTTAAGTTTCTCTTAGCTTTTGACTTATTTTAGGATATGGGTGATTTATATAGTGTCAAGCTATAGTTATCCTATATATGAGAATAGAAATAGATAAAATTAAATGATGTCATCAAATGTTTATATGAATGTTTGTAATATACATTTTATGTGCTTATTCTTACAAAAAAAATTTTAAGTATATAAAACATACAGAAACAATGTAGGCATTTTAAGATTGATAATGTCTGTTTTCAGAAGGAATGACAGGTCTGTCTTCCATTGTGAAAGAAAAGCATCTCAAATTATTTTAAGTGCTAACTAAAGGATTGTGAGATGTTTGTGATTTTAAAAAAGTTTTTAAGTGTTTGAATCTCCTTTGAATTAAGTCAAAATTAATAAAAATATTATAAGGATTATAAATTATGAACTGGCTTTTTTTTTTTTTTTTCTTTCTCTATTTTTTTTGGACATGCTGTCTCGTAAGTGTCAGTGAGAGAGACATAGAGAAAGGTCTTCCTTTTGCTGTTGGTTCACCCTCCAATGGCCGCCGTGGCCGGCGCACTGCTGATCCGATGGCAGGAGCCAGGTACTTCTCCTGGTCTCCCATGGGGTGCAGGGCTCAAGTACTTGGGCCATCCTCCACTGCACTCCCTGGCCACAGCAGACAGCTGGCCTGGAAGAGGGGCAGCCGGGACAGAATCTGGTGCCCCGACCGGGACTAGAACCCGGTGTGCTGGCTCCGCAAGGCAGAGGGTTAGCCTGGTGAGCTGCGGCGCCGGCGCCTATTTTTAAGATTAGTTTTCGAGTTTTTGAATAATCAAATAATCTTAGCTAACGTTTTTGAGCATTACCTACATTTCAGGGACTGGTCTAAGTGAACTGTATGTAGTAACAGGCTTACTTCCCACTATAGCATGGTGATACAGTGACACTAACAAGTAAGTGGCAGAGCCCACAGTCTTAACTACTTCCCTTTACTGCCTCAAAAGTAAGCAGTGTAACTTTTTATACCACCCTCAGTTTTATTTTATAGTATGAGTTTTTATTGTAATATGATATGGGTGCTCCTTGTATTTCTGAATGTAGAGTGTTCTTTGGACAGTATGAATAACACAATAAAACTATTTTCAGGATAGTTACTGAATAGAGAATTTAAAATAGTCATATCTTATAAAACATTTAAGTGGAAAGTTTTGCCAAATATTATAGTCAGTATCCGTGAAATAATGTTTTCCCTTAGATGGGAAATTTATGAATTATGCCTTGTATTTATTCTTCACTGTGTACCATTCTGTGGCATAGATTTCCTTGCTGAAGCAGAATCTGGAGATACAGCTTTCCCAGTCCCAGACTTCTTTGCAGCAACTGCAGGCTCAGTTTACACAGGAACGACAACGGCTTACACAAGAGCTTGAAGAATTAGAGGAACAACATCAGCAAAGACATAAATCCTTGAAAGAAGCACATGTCCTTGCATTTCAAACAATGGAAGAAGAAAAGGAAAAGGAACAAAGAGTAAGTTTAATGTGACATATGCTCAAATTTATTTATTTTATTTTTCCCAGAAACCTTTTATTTAAGGAATATAAACTTCATGCATTTCATAAATACAACTTTAGGAACATAGTGATTCTTCCCACTGTACCCAATTGGACAAATTCTTCCAATTTCTGTTTGTTATTGAAGGATTTTATTTTCACCTTAGTTTGTAAATGAGAAATTTGCAGGGTACAGTGTTCTGGGTTGGCAATTTTTTTTCTCTTAAGATTTGGAGTATATCTCACCATTCTGTTCTAGCCTGTAGGGTTTCTGATGAGAAGTCCACTGTGAGTCTAATTGGAGATCTGAGAGTAATCTGGCGTTTCTCTCATGCACATTTTAGAATCTTTTCTTTATGTTTTACAGTGGATAGTTTGACTACAATATGTTGTGGTGAAGATCTTTTCTGGTCATGTCTATTAGGAGTTCTGTGTGCTTCCTGTACTTAGACATCACTTTCTTTCTCCAAATTGGGGAAGTTTTCTGTAATTATTTCACTAAAAAGGCCTTCTAATCTATTCTCTCTTTCCAAACCTTCAGGAACTCCTAAGATTCATATGTTGGGTCGTTTGATAATATCCCATAGATCTCCAACTCTGATTTCTTCTAATTTTTTTTGGTCTGACTATAAAATTTCCAGAGATTTTTTCTTCTATATTGGTTGTTATTTCTTCTGCCCTACTGAGTCTGTTGTTAAGGCTTTCCACCACATTTTTATTTGATCTTTTGAGTTCTTCATTTCCAATATTTCATTTTGACTTTTCTTTAAAATCTCAATTTCATGGGAAAATTTTTCATTCATGTCATGTACAGATTTCTTTAGTTTGTGAATTTGCTTCTGATTACTTCTAAGTAATCCTACAATCAATTTTTTGAATTCTGTTTCTGCAATTTCTTCAATCTTTTCTTCTTCATATTGTAGTATTGAATTTTTATGTTCTTTTGGGGGCATATGTTGTCTTGTCTTCCTTATTCTTTTTCTTGAATTGCTGCGTTTAATTTTAGGCATTTGTGGAGATACTTGTTTGTTGTTTTTTTTTCCTCCTGTAATGACTTTTGTCTTTGGACTATGCCTCCATGGCTAAGTAGAATGTTTGTTCTTTCATTGAATACCCTGAGGTATGTGCTGGGTATGGCCAGGGAGCTCTGTTCAGTGCTCCAGGGTGAGGAGAGTATCCAAAGTGCCACCCAAGTTGGGCGTGGTAAATTCTCCCCCCCTTTTTTTTTGTTTTAGTCAGAGGGGAGGTTTGTTCAGCTCAATTATAGTCTCATACTCACTCCCTCCCCTCCATGGAGACCAATGCCTGGGTGTTAGCCCTAGTGGGTACAGTATTAATCCCAGCTGCCACAAGAACCACACAAAGGAACTCTGCAGTCCTTAGTGTGAGCATGGATCTCGCAGCAATGACCCCCACTAGGAAATAAGGGAGCCCTGAGTGTTTGGAGCCACCCCCAGTGACTGCCCATAGTCCCAGCCACACCCTGCACCCTCCCACACAGCCACATTGTTTTTACAGTCCCAGCACACAAGGCTCCCACAATCACAAGTACCCAGCCCCCTGTCAGCTCGCTCTGCCAGACTCAGGCGTCTCTTCTCAGCTGGTTTCTGGGCACACAGACACAACTGGCACAGTTGTCACGTATGTCCAAAATGGCACCCGCCCCCTCTTGGCTAGTAATAGTGATTAAACATACATGCCAGTTATACACTATATGAGACAAATGAGACTTGCCTCAACATTTTAGTTCTGTTCCCCATCAATAATGTCAATTCCTGTATGAGGGTAGTATACTATCTAGCCTGTTATATAGGATACTTCAAAAAGTTTGTGGATACATGAAATTAAATATAACTTTATATTAGTCCAAAAAAATTGGGAGATTCCAAGATGGCTGAATAAGCAAAAGGTGCACTACTTTTGATCACGGGAGAATACCAGAAAAACAGGAGAGATTATGTGTTGCTGGGAGATAGTTGGAGGAATGTTTTTAGTGAAAAGTCTAAAAATAGATGAGAGACTCTATGGAGAAGCTAGGATTGTACAGGCATGCAGCAGCTTGTGCAACACCACCAGTGACTCCTTCAGCTAGCAGCTAAGTGGAAGGCCACCTACCCAGAGCAAGGGTCCCAGCACCCAGTGAGGAAAGCACCGTCTTTCCAGAATAAGGCAAGTGGAGACTGCAGTGGCCCGTGTGCTTCTGCAGGATTTTGTTAGTGGGAGAAATCTGTGGACCCGACTGGCCTTGAATCTAGGCAGACAAGCTGGGGGTGGGGTTGGGGGGCAAAGTCCCCTCTTAACTCTGTGAATGGAGGGTACATTGCTTCCCTCCTCTCCACCCACCAAGTCACCTGGCTCAGGGATGGGGTGGCACTCTCTCTTTGGACAGGGAGGCCTGCAGGGCAGAGAGTAGATCCCTTGCAGCTTGTGTCTGTGGAAATCCTATGATTGCATGATAAAGCAAAGAAACTGGCCAGCCCCGCGGCTCAATAGGCTAATCCTCTGCCTTGCGGCGCTGGCACACTGGGTTCTAGTCCCCGTCGGGGTGCTGGATTCTGTCCTGGTTGCCCCTCTTCCAGGCCAGCCCTCTGCTATGGCCCAGGAGTGCAGTGGAGGATGGCCCAAGTGCTTGGGCCCTGCACCCACATGGGAGACCAGGAGAAGCACCTGGCTCCTGGCTTCGGATCAGCGCGATGCGCCGGCCGCAGCGCACCAGCCGCGGCGGCCATTGGAAGGTGAACCAACGGCAAAAGGAAGACCTTTCTCTCTGTCTCTCTCTCTCTCTCACTCTCCACTCTGCCTGTCAAAAATTTAAAAAAAAAAAAAAAAAAAAAGCAAAGAAACTGATAAAGGCATAGGATGTGGCTGGATCTTTGGGCAATTATTGAGCTGAGCATCTACATTGCAGAAGATTGTATGTTCACATCATAAAGTGCAAAAGTTCGTTCTGCAGTTAATTCATCTGAGTGAATGGAGGTTAGGATATACAGGCACAGAGAGATTCAACTTGGCACCCTGCAGGGTGGAGGCAGTGATCATGCCAGCTAGGGCAGTTACCCACTCTCCCCTACTGACTACAGAGGAGAGCTACCATGCATAATTTGGGTGTTATCCTGGACTTTTGTGCCCCCCTCCCCTACAAATGCCACTTAGAGCTCCCTGGCCCAGTGAGCAGACACCTGTGGATATCGCTTGAAGACATCTTACTACAGCTAGATGCACATTTCGAAGAATAAAGACTTCAGAGGTGGCCAGCATAGAAGAATCAAGACTTCATTGCTGCCTGAGATGCTCACATCTTATATAGGCACTGGTTCGAGTCCTGACTGCTCCACTTCTGATCCAGCTCCCTACTAATGTACCAGGGAAAGCAACAGAAGATGGGCCAAGTCCTTGGGCCCAGCCACCCACAGGGGAAGCCATGAAGCTCCTGGCTACTGGCTTCAGTCTGGCGCAGTTCTGGCTGTTGTAGCCATTTTGAGAGTGAAATAGAGGATAGAAGATTCTCTTTTTCTCTCTTTCTCTCTCTAACTCTGCCTTTCAAAAAATGAATCTTTTATTTAAAAAAATGAAGACTTCAGAGGAGTTATCAACAGGTATTTATCCAGATACATAAAAATGAGCATAGAAATAAAATAAATATGAACGAGAAAGACAGTATGACTCCACAAAAAGAACACACGAATACTTTTCAGTTTTAGTTTGTGATGATGAGGAGATTGACAAAATGCCTGAAAAGGAATGTGAAAGATTGATTGTAAGATTACTCAAAAACACAGAGAGACAAATACATTAGTTAAATCTGTGAATGACATGGATGAGAAATTTTGCCAGAAAATAGAAATATTGAAGAAAAATCAAGCAGAAATATGAGATGTGGAGAATTCAATATGTTAAATAAAAAATACAGTGTAAAGCCTGAACAAAAGAATCAGTGAGGTAGAAAAAAGAATATCCACGCTGGAAGACAAAGCTTTTGAAATATCTCAGTCCTATTAATAGAAGAAAAAATTAGAAAAAAAATGAAAGCAGTGTTTAGGATATATAGGATTCAATCAGATCACAAAATATGCTTGTCATAGGCATTCCTGAAGGAGTGGAAAAGTGGAATGACCTGGAAAACTTATTCAGCAAAATAATTGCAGTAAATGTCCCTATTTAGGACAAATATATGCACACACAAGTACAGGAAGCAAATAGAACCCCAGATAGACATGATCAGGGGAGATGTGAATTATGGCACTTTATATTCAAACTTTGAAGAAGTAAAACACAAAGAAAAGATCCTAAAATTTGCACAAGAGAAATTACCTTTAAAGGATTTCCCATTAAGTTTACATCAGATTTCTCATCAGAAACCCTACAGGCAAGGATAACACGGAGAGGTATAGTCTAAATAATTTAAAAAAATGTCAGCCCAGAATACTATGCCCTGCTAAGTTTTCATTTATAAATGAAGGTAAAATAAAGACCTTCCAAACAAAAGTTGAAAGAATTTGTCACCACTCTTCCAGCCTTACAAATGATATTTAAGAATTGCTACATACAGAAACAGAAAAAGATAACTAGCATCATGAAAGAATGTGAAGGCAAAAAACCTCCTAATAATAGTACAAAGGAGAATCAAAACCGACAGTAGGAATATTCCTGGAAAAATGACAAGACCAAGTCATCAATTACCAATAATAACCTTTAATATAAATGGACGAAATTCTTCAATTAAAAGATACAGACTGCCTAAATGGGTTAAAAGCAAGACCCATGTATATACTGCTTACAAGAAACACAACTCACCAACAAAGATAAACACAGACTGAAACTGAAAGGTTGGAAAAAGATAGCCCATGCAAATGGACATAAAAAATGAGCAGGAGTAGCTAATATAGTGTCAGACAAAATAGACTTCAAGACAAAATCTGTTAAAAGAGACAAAAAGGTCTTTTTGTGATGATTAAGGGGTCAACTTATCAGGAAGATGTGACTATAGTAAATGTATGTGCAACAATACTAGAGCATCCAGTTATTTCAAACAAACGTTAATGGATCAAAAGGGAGACATATGCTCCAATACAATCATAATGGGAGGCATAAACACCCTGCTTTCATCAATGGACACAGATCAGCTAGGCCAAAAAAATCAACCAAGAGTTAATCTATGCTATCAACCAAATGGATCTAATTGATATCTATAGAACATTTCATCTCACAGTCTCAGAATACACAGTATTTACATCAGTACATGGAACTATCTTCAGGATAGACCATATGATAGGCCATAAAACAAGTCTCAAAAAATTCAAAAAAATTAAAATCATACCATGTATCTTTTCTGATCACAGTGTAATCAAGCTGGAAATTAATAACATTAAGAAACTCTAGAAAAGACGAACACATGGAGACTGAACAACATGCTCCTGAATGAACAGTGAATCATAGAAGAAATCAAAAGGGAAATTTAAAAATTCCCTGAAAGAAATGAAGATGACAACACAACATGTCAGAACTTACGGGATACAACAGAAGCAGTGTTAAGAGGAAAGTTTAGGGGCCAGTGTTGTATTGTGGAGTAGTGGGTAAAACTACTGCCAGTGATGCTGGCATCCTGTATGGGCACTGGTTCATGCCCCAGCTGCTCCATTTCCAATCCAGCTCTATGCTAATGGCCTAGGAAAAGCAGAGGAAAGTGACCTAAGTGCTTGGGTCCCTGCACACACATGGGAGAACCAGATGAACCTCCTGGGTCCTGGCCTTTACTTGGCCCAGCCATGGTTGTTGTGAGAGATTTTCCATCCACTAGTCCACTTCCCAAAGGCCCACAACAGCCAGAGCAAACCAGGCCAAAGTCAGGAACCTAGAACTCGATTCAGGTCTCCCTTGTGGATGGCAGAGACCCAAGTACATCTGTTGCCTCCCATGGTGTGCATTAGAAGGAAACTGTATCAACAGTAGCAGAGCAGGGACTCAAGCCAGATAACTCTGATATGGAATGCAGGCATCCCAATTGGTGTGTTAACAATTGCATCAAGTGACTGGCACTGTGGTGTAACAGGTAAAGTCACTGACTCTGGTGCCAGGATTCCATATGTGCTCCCATTTGAGTCCTGGCTGTTCCTCTTCCGATCCAGCTCTCTGCTATAACCTGGGAAAGCAGTGAACAGTGGCCCAAATGCTGGGTCCCCTGCACCCACATGGGAAACCTGGAAGAAGCTTCTGTGTCGGTCCTGGCGTCAGATCAGACCCCACGCTGGCTGTTGTGACCATTCAGCAGACAGAAGAACTTTTCCTCTCTCTCTCTCTGTCTCTCTGTAACTCTACCTGTCAAATAAATATTTTTAAAAATATTTTTTGATTAACATGTAATACTTGTCCATTTTTATGAGGTACAGTGCAATGTCTCAATACATGTATAGAGCATAAATTGATCAGATCTGGGCTTGGCACTGTGGCATAGCAGGTAAAGCCATCACCTGCAGTGCCGGTATCCCATATGGGCGCTGGTTTGAGTCCCAGCTGGTCCTCTTCCTGTCCAGTTCTGATATGGTATGGAAAAGCAGTTGAAGATAGTCCAAGTCCTTGGACCTCTGTACCCATGTGAGAGACACAGAGGAAGCTCCTGGCTCCTGGCTTCTGGCTTCAGCCTGGCACAGCCTCAGCTTTTGCAGCCATTTGAGAAGTGAACCAACAGATGGAAGACCTCTCTCTCTCTCTGCCCCTGCCTCCCTGTAGCTCTGCCTTTCAAGTAAATAAATCTTTTTAAAAATTAATTAAGTCTGATAATTAACATAATTAGCATTTCAATTTCCCAATCTTTACTTTTCTTGGAGCCTATGAGATTTTTAAAAACATTTCATCTACTTAGATAATAAGATGTATTCTTGTCCAGAAAGTTAATAAAGTTTGTTTGTTTTTTTTTTTTTTTTTTGGCTAAAAATTAGGGCTGATTACCTAGCTAAATAATCTGTTCATTAGGGGCCTGCACCATGGCTCATTGGTTAATCCTCCACCTGCAGTGCCGGCATCCCTTATGGGCGCCGGTTCTAGTCCTAGTTGTTCCTCTTCCAGTCCAGCTCTCTGCTGTAGCCCAGGAGGGCAGTGGAGAATCACTCAAGTGCTTGAGCCCCTGCACTCGCATGGGAGATCAGGAAGAAGCACCTGGTTCCTGGCTTCGGATCGGTGCAGCACCAACCATAGCAGCATTTGGGGAGTGAACCAATGGAAGGAAGACCTTTCTCTCTGTCTCTCTCTTTCTCTCTCTCTGTCTAAAACTCTACCTTTCAAATAAAAAAAAAAATCTGTTCATTAGATACCACTTACGAATTGAAATGACACGTGAGTTCTCATATCAGTATACTTTAATTTTGGACATTTAGTATTTTATAGAACTTTAATCATTTTTTTCAAAAACCTGCAATTTTATTATATTAACATTCTCGAAACTAAAAGTTTTATTTTTCCTATAGTCAAAGAAGCCATTTTTAGAGATAAAACACTTTCAAAACAATGAACATAATTAGCCAAATACTAATTGCAAAATATACCATTTTGGAGTAATGATTAAAGAAATATCATATGGCATATTTCTCATAAACATTTCATGTTACAAATTAGTTTTAAAAAAACACCTCTTGTTGGTACATTTAGTCACTAAGCTGTTAAGTACCTTGAGCTCTGTTTTCTCTTCTTACCATGTTTCTTCTCTTTAGTGTTGGTCACTGATAGTGTCTTTTCTCTGGCCAGGCTTTTTTTTTTTAAACTTTTATTTAATAAGTATAAATTTGCAAAGTACGGTGTTTGGATTATAGCAGCTTTTCCCCCCATAACCTTCCTCCCACCCGCAACCATTTCATCTCCCACTCCATCTCCCATCCCATTCTTCATTAAGATTCATTTTCAGTTATCTTTATATACAGAAGATCAACTTGATATATACTAAGTAAAGATTTCAACAGTTTGCACCCACGCAGATACACAAAGTATAAAGTGCTGTTTGAGTAGTAGTTTTACCATTAATTCACATAGTACAACACATTAAGGACAGAGATCCTATATGGGGAGCAGTGCACAGTGACTCCCGTTGTGGATTTAACAATTGACACTCTTATTTATGATGTCAGTAATCACCCGAGGCTCTTGTCATGAGCTGCCAAGGCTATGGAAGCCTCTTGAGTCCACAAACTCTGACCTTATTTAGTCAGGGCCATAATCAAAGTGGAAGTTCTCTCTTCCCTTCAGAAAAAAGGTACCTCTTTCTTTGATGGTCTGGCCAGGCTTTTTAAGCTAATCATACAAAAGCCTTTACAGTCTTGCACTAAGTAATGATGTTTTGGTCAATGGTAGACTGTGTAACAAATGGTGATCTCATAAGCTTCTGTCCCCCAGTGACTTGAAGCTATCTTTGTTTTTTAAGTATGCTCTATGATGTTTCTCTAATGATGCAATCAATCACCTGATGATGCGTTTCTAAGAACATATCCCTGTCATGTAAATGAGGCGTGACTGCTACCTCCTCTTAGAATTCTGCTTTTCACAAATGCAGGAACAAAGAATGACTGCAGAAAATAGCTACAAAATATGATGAGGTTGGGATTATAACATTTTTTTCTAATTGCAAGGTGACCTTATTATGGTAATGCTCTCCTCCTCTTTCCTAAATCTAAGTCTGTGCACACAGAATAAATATTCAGTAATTTTAGGTAGTTCACACCATTTAACAGCTTTAGAAAAAGCTTTTATTTTAAAACTGCTCTGGGAAAATGGTCCAGATTTCCAATTCAAGCAAAATATATTGAGTCAAATTGATTTCATGATGATTCATTGATTCTACTGAAATGACCCTACTAATTTGTTTTCCAATGGAAACGATCTTGTATTTATTTTTTTGAAACGGTACTGAAACACCTTGCATTTTTTTTTATTAAATTAACTAAATTTATTAGAGAGAGACAGATAGAGACCTCCTATCTGGTGATTCCCTACCCAGATGCCTGCAAGATTTGCAGAAGGGCCAGGTCAAAGCCAGAAGCTGGAAACGCAATTCCAGCTAAGTTGAGCCATTGTTTGCTACCTCCCAGGGTGTTCATTAATAGGAAACTGGAATTGGGAGCAGAGCCATGACTCAAACTCAGGCTCTGCCATGTGGGATTTTGGCTCCCAGGTGATGTCTTAACTACTACATGAAATAGCCACCCATTGCAACACTTTGTATCTCTTAAATAACAGTTGGGTTTTAGTAATTATTTTCTATTTTGTTCGCATTTTCCTTCTTATATTCAAGCATAATTTATTTGTTTCTTCCATTCTAGGCTCTTGAAAATCATTTACAACAAAAGCACTCTGCAGAGCTTCAGTCACTGAAAGATGCGCACAGAGAGTCAATGGAGGGCTTCCGGATAGAAATGGAACAGGAACTCCAGACTCTTCGGTTTGAATTAGAGGATGAAGGAAAGGCTATGCTTGGTATTTTGGAAGGATTATAGTTTTATCTCTCTCTCTTTTTTTTGGGTACATTCTTCCATTTTAAAATTCAACATCTAAATCACTTTTATTATTAAATTTTGAAACATTGAGATGAATAGCTAAGTGTGCTGCATATTTGATTGAAGATGGCAGATGTGGGGCGGGAGGTGGAGTAGAGTGGGTAAAATACAAAGTCTCCTCTGCTTTCTGTGTTTTCTGGCTGTGTAAGTAACACCCACATATGTGTCCATCTGTCCCTGTGGGAATACACAGAGTCAGGACATTTGGTAGACTTGGATATCAGTTCTTGTAAGACCTAAAGACCACGTCTTCAGATTATATGGTCATACTGGTTTTTCAACTTCAGAATTTTGTTTTAATGAGAAAAGTCACAATTGGGTATTTCTTTATTTTTTTAATAAAGCCTACTTGGATATATATCTTAAAAATGTATTTCTTTGTTTTGAATGTCAAAGTTACAGAGAGAAGAAGAGTTTTTCATCTATGTTAGGAGTCCTTTGGCAAGAGGACCCTTTTGTCTGCATCAGTCATCAGAACATTGAACTTGCATACTCAAAGTATTCTCACTTACCAGCTTTCTTATTTGCCCTGTACATAATATTTGACCCCTTTGACCATCTACTTCTTGGATCTTTTTTCCAGTTGCTTTCCATGAGAGTATGCTGTTCTCACTGTACTCCTGCTTTGCTGGCCTCTGCCCTTTAATTTCATTACCAGTCCCATTTCTACCTATTAAATATGGCTATTACATAGATATCTATTCAATAGTTCTATTTCCCAGAATTCAGTCACCAGCTTTCTGCTCTGTTTTTTTTTTTTTTTTTTTTTTTTTTTTATGTCTTAAGCCTATACTTGGTTAATTGGATGCACATTCATTGTTTCAACAGCTTTATACATAAGTGACTCCAAATATTGTTTCTAGACGAAACCTCTTTTCTTTTTTTAAAGATTTTTTTTTTTGACAGGCAGAGTGGACAGTGAGAGAGAGAGAGAGAGACAGAGAGAAAAGTCTTCCTTTTCCATTGGTTCACCCCACAATGGCCACTGCGGCTGGCGCACCACACTGATCAGAAGCCAGGAGCCAGGTGCCCCTCCTGGTCTCTCATGCAGGTGCAGGGCCCAAGAACTTGGGCCATCCTCCACTGCACTCCCAGGACACAGCAGAGAGCTGGACTGGAAGAGGAGCAACCAGAACAGAATCCGTCGCCCTGACCAGGACTAGAACCCAGGGTGCCGGCGCCACAGGCGGAGGATTAGCCCATTGAGCCATGGCGCCGGCTAAGATTTATATTTATTTATCTGACAAGTAGAGTTACAGACAGTGAGAGAGAGAGAGAGAGAGAGAGACAGGGAGAAAGGTCTGCCTTTCGTTGGTTCACCCCCCCAAATGGCCGCCACTGCCGGAGCTATGCCGATTCGAAGCCAGGAGCCAGAAGCTTCTTTCCTGGTCTCCCATGCGGGTGCAGGGCCCAAGCACTTGGGCCATCCTTCACTGCCTTCCCAGGCCACAGCAGAGAGCTGGACTGGAAGAGGAGCATCTGAAGCTAGAACCCGGCGCCCATATGGGATGCTGGCACTGCAGGCAGAGGATTAACCTAGTGCGCCACTGCGCCAACCCCAGAATCTCTTTTCTTGTACATTAGACTTGAATATCTGTCTGCATGTTGAACAGTTATATATTCTAACTTACACTCAGTATTTTTCACTGAGGGCTCATTTTATCCCCATAGCCCTAAATGTGTTTCTGTTCCCAAACCATCTCCTTTAATTAATGGTATCACTGGTTATTCAGTGTCAAAACCAGGAAAATGAGAGTCGTCATTGTTTCCATTCAGTGCTATATCCTTTCAATTAGTTCCTCATCTCAAATATTTTCTACATTTGTTTCCTCTTTTTTGGTCTCTCAACCATTCTTTTTAAATTTTTTTAAAAGATTTATTTATTTATTTGAAAGAGTTACACAGAGAAGGATGGGGGGGGCGGAGAGAGAGAGAGAGAGAGAGAGAGGGAGGTCTTCTATCCACTGGTTTACTCCCCAAATGACCACGACAACTGGAGCTGGGCTGACCCAAAGCTAAGAGCCAGGAGCTTCTTCCGGGTCTCCCACATAAGTGTAGGGGCCCAAGGACTTGGGTCATCTTCTACTGCTTTCAGGCCATAGCAGAGAGCTGAATTGGAAGTGGAGCAGCCGGGTCTTGAACTGGAGCCCATATGGGATGGCACCCACACAGATACACAAAGTATAAAGCACTGTTTGAGTAGTAGTTTTACCGTTAATTTGCATAGAACAATACATTAAGGAAAGAGATCCTACATGGGGAGCAAGTGCACAGTGACTCCTGTTGTTTAACAATTGACACTCTTATTTATGATGTCAGTAATCACCCGAGGCTCTTGTCATGAGCTGCCAAGGCTATGGAAGCCTCTTGAGTTCACAAACTCTGACCTTATTTAGACAAGGCCATAATCAAAGTGGAAGTTCTCTCTTCCCTTCAGAGAAAGGTACCTCCTTTGATGGCCTGTTCTTTCCACTGGGATCTTACTCACAGAGATCTCTCATTTAGGTGTTTTTTTGTTTGTTTGTTTGTTTGTTTTGCCACAGTGTCTTGGCTTTCCATGCCTGAGAAACTCATGGGCTTTTCAGCCAGATCCAAATGCCTTAAGGGCTGATTCTGAGGCCAGAGTGCTGTTTAGGACATCTGCCCATTCTATGAGTCTGCTGTGTATCCTGCTGTCCATGTTGGATCATTCTTTCCTTTTTAATTCTATCAGTTATTATTAGCAGTCACAAGTCTTGTTTATATGATCCCTTTGATACTTAATCTTATCTTTTTGATCAATTATGAACTTAAACTGATCACTTTGACTAGTAAAATGGCATTGGTACATGCCACCTTGATGGGATTGATTTGGAATCCCCTGGCACATTTCTAGCTCTACCACTAGGGGTAAGTCCAAGCAAGCATGTGCTGACCTGTTGATGTCCATTTTAGAGTCTTTTATTTATGTTTTACTGTGGAAAGTTTGACTACATTGTGTTATGGGGAAGGTCTTTTCTGTTCATGTCTGTTAGGAGTTCTGTTTGCTTCATGTACTTGGATATCCCTTTCTTTCTCCAATTTGAGGGAGTTTTCTGTAATTATTTCACTAAACAGGCCTTCTAATCTATTCTGTCTGTCTCTGCCTTCAAGAAGTTCTAAGACCCATATTTTGGGTCATATCATAGTATCTCATAAATATCCAACACTGTTTTTTGGTTTTCTAATTTCTTTTCTTTTTTTTTTTTTATTTCGGTGTCACTGTAAAATTTCCAGAGATTTTTCACCTAACTTCTGTATTCTTTACTCTGCCTCACTGAGTCTGTTGTTAAGACTTTCCATTGCATTTTTTAATCAATTGAGTTCTTCATTTCCAAAATTTCAATTTCTCTTTTAAATCTCAACCTCATGGGAAAAATGTTCATTCATGTCATGTATGGATTTAATTCATATATTTACTTTTGATTACTTCTAAGTAATCCCTTGATAAATTTTTTGAATTCTGTTTCTGGCTTTTCTTCAATCTCTTCATTTTCACATTCTAGTATTGAAGTGTTTTGTTCCTTTGAAGGTATCATGTTGTCTTCCTTATTCTTGAATTGCTATGTTTATTTTTAGGCATTTGAGGAGATTCTCATTGGTGTTTTTTTTTCCTCTTTTGGTGGATTTTATCTTTGAACTATGCCTCTCTGGATTAGTGGAGTGTCCGCTCTTTCAGGGAATACCCTAGACATGTGCTGGGTGTGGCAAGGGAGCCCTTTCCAGTGCTTCAGGTTGAGGGGAGTGTCCAAGGTGATGTCCAGCTTGGGCATGGTAAATCTTTTTAATCAAAGGGGAGGTTTAATCTGCTCTTTTGGCGTAGTTTTATGCTCACCTCCTCTCTTCCAAGAGCCCAGTGCCTAGGTGCTAGCCCCAGTGGGTATATTCGTTTGTACTGCCACAAGAACCACACAAAGGATCCGTGCAGTCCTCAGTGTGAGCACAGATCCTGCAACAAAAACCCTCACCAGGGAATCAGCAAACCCTGAGAGTGTGGAGCTGTGCACAGTGACTACCCAAGACCCAGCCACATGCTGTGCCCTCCCACACAGCCACAATGTTTTCACAGTCCCAGCACACAAGGCTCCCACAGTCACGAGCACCCAGCCCCCTGTCAGTTCTCCCAGCCAGACTCAGACCTGCAGATTGAAGACCTCTGTCTCTTGCCTTTCAAGCAAAAATGAAAATAAATAAATCAAAATAATAATAATAATAATAACAGTGGATTTTCCCCAAATATTCAAATACAATTTAAGTTTCAGAAGATGACCATGTGTATTCTCTGAGATTTCTTAGGCATATTGCCATACATATCCCACTTTGAGAGACACACAGCAAGCATTAAAGTGAAAAGGATTTTGTGCTAAAGCTTGCTTAGACTGGGTTCTACTTTCTCCCCAACTTCACCATGTGCATTGTGGACTTCTGCCTTATCAAACCTCTCATGGATTGGCAGATGGGCCAGATTCTTTCTGCTTTTGTAGAATTTATCCCTTCTTCCAGAGAGCTTTTATTTTTCTCTACTTGGAAAAGCATTGCTCAATATTTAAGTCTTTTTGAGAGTTATGGTTACAGCTCCTTTGTGACTACATCCCCAATTTCCCTCTCCCAGGAAATTTGGGTACTTCCACTACCATTCTTGCTGATATCCCACTTAATTCCTAGGCATAATGCTTTTCCCTCTGGCTTGTGCAATTGTAAGAACAGGGCCATATTACATTCTCCCTTAAAACGGTGCCTGGTGTTCAATAAATGTGTATGGATCATGAAAGAATTACTCCAAAACTCAAATGAAAGAGATGATCTCCAGCTCACTAAAAGAACTTATCAGCTATTCTCACATCTTTTGGGGATTATTTTGGAAGAATTCTCCCTTGGGTAGGACATTGCCTTGTAAGTAGTTATTATCCCACCGTTCAACTCCAAAATTGTATTATTCTACTAGTGAAAGAGAGGAGTTAAAAATATTTCATCTTTGTTAGCATTTTATCTGTAAACTGTGCATAGAAATAACCTTGATCCACTTAAGCATTTGAAATTTTTCATATCCTCATTAATCTATGTGAGTCTTAAATTCATGATGCTTTGTGATAGTTTATTATGTTTAAATTCATGGTATTTTATAACAATCTATTAAAACTTTAATAGGCATAAACAAATGTCCTAATATGTAAAATAACAGTCTGAATTTTACTGATTTTATGTAAACTATCAATATTTTTGAAATTTGCTAAACTCCTTTTCTTTGCATTTCAGCTTCCTTACGCTCAGAACTAAACCATCAACATGCAGCTGCAATTGATTTGTTACGGCATAATCATCATCAGGAGTTGGCAGCAGCTAAAATGGAATTAGAGAGAAGCATGGACATCAGCAGAAGACAGGTAAATGAGCATATTGAGGATTTGGCTGTGACAGTTTCTTGAATGTCGGTATTAAGTATTCACAGTTTTTTTCTGAGAATTATTCTGTAGTGACTATTATTTTCATTGGTGATTATTTACTATCTATCGAAGGGTTTTCTTTTTATTTTTTTAAAGATATATTTATTTATTTGAAAGTCAGAACTGCAAAGAGAAAGAGGGAGAGGCAGAAAGAAGGAAAAAGATCTTCCATATGCTGGTTCACTCCCCAAATGGCTGCAACAGCTGGGGCTGGACAATGCCAGAGCCAGGAGCTAGGAGCCAGGAGCTTCGTCCAGGTCTCCCACATTGTTAGCAGGGACTTGGGCCATCTTTCACTGCTTTTCCTGGGCCATTAGCAGGGAGCTGGATTAGAAGTAGAATAGCCGGGACTTAAACCGGCACCCATATAGGATTCCAGTGTTGCAGGCAGCTGCTTTACAGCACTGCATCACAAAGCCAGCCCCAAAGTGCTTTGTCTTTGAAAGGCAATAAGTCATTCTGCTTTAGTGTATTGTCCATACAATTATGTTTTATTTTATGAATTTTTAATTGAATATTTCAGATTTTATTTGCATCTAGGGAAGCAAGTAATGAAATATATATAATGTGAAGACTGATGTTAGCATTGTCTAATAAACTAGCCATTATAATGTACCTATTTTCTACTTACACTATCCACTATAGTAATTCTTGGCCATATTGGCCAAATATGTGAAGTGCAAACAAGAAACTATGTTTTCAGTTTCCTTAATTTTAATTTGAACATGAATTTTTTTTTTAAAGATTTTATTTGTTTATTTGAGAGGCAGAGTTACAGACAGAGGGAGAAACTGAAAGATCTTTCATCCACTGGTTCACTCTCCAAATGGCCACAAAAGTCATAGCTGGGTGATCGGAAGCCAGGAGCCTGGAGCTCCTTCTGGGTCTCCCACACAGGTGCAGGGGCCCAAGCGCTTGGGCCATTTTCTATTGCTTTCCTAGGGCATAAGCAAAGAGCTGGATTATAAGAGGAGTAACCAGGACCAGAACCAGTTCCATATAGGGTGCCAGTGCCTCAGGCAGAAGCTTAACCCACTACTCCACAGCACTGGACCCTTAAACTTGAGTTTAAACAGTCATGTTGGATAGTAAGCTGTGGATGAAGCAGGTCCCTGTATTTCCGCATCCTTCTGGTACAGCTGCTATTTACACTTTTAAAGTTTGCTCTCCAGAGGCCAGTGCTGTGGCGTAGTGGGTAAAGCTGCTGCTTGCAGTGCCAGCATCTCACGTTGGCGCTGGTTCAAGTCCCAGCTGCTCCACTTCGGATCCAGCTCTCTGCTGTGGCCTAGGAAAACAGTGGAAGATGGCCAAAGTCCTTGGGCTCCTGCCCCACGTGGGAGACCTAGAGGAAGCTCCTGGCTCCTGGCTCCTGGCTTCAGATTGGCGCAGCTCTAGCCATTGTGGCCAGTTGGAGAATGAGCCAGTGGATGGAAGAGCTCTCTCTCTGTCTCTCCTCCCTCTGTGTAACTCTGACTTTCAACTAATTAAATGAATCTTTGAAAAAAAGTTTACTCTTTGGACAAGTGTACTTTCCTTAAATTAGATCTTTGTGACCTTGTATGTATGTATGTATATATGTAAGGATGTATAGATAGATGGATAGATTTTTAGGTCTAATGCATTGAAAATTGGTATTTATTAGTTCATTATACTCAGTATTTTCAACTTATTGGTCTTTACATATGTTTTAAACAAGCTACCATATAACCATAGAGGGAAGTTGTATTCTGTGAAACTAGGATTACCCCAAAATTGACAATGTCTAGGCCTGCAGAATCTGTAGAAACAGTGACTTTTAGTAAAATGGAAGAGAGCTTATGTATCAGATAAGACAGCTGCTTGACCAGCACTAAGCAGACAAAGTCTTCATTCTCAGTACTGGAAAGGCCTCTGTGGGTAGACAAATGCCTTGTAGGTTAAAGGACACTGGTGTCAACATTTTACTGCAAGAGCATGGAAAACCTACTAAAGAGCCCTGTATTATACTCTCAACTTTGCCATTGATTGAAATTTGTCTTTGGACATAGCACTTCTTGGGTATTGGTTTCCTCACCTTTAAAGGAAGAAGATGAGCTTTTGTCACATTTGGGTCACTTATAGCCATGACATCATTGAAGTGCCATCCATATAAATACTTTTTTGTGTGGAAAAGAAGAGTGAAATTTTCTCATTTCTCAGGTTTGCTTTTGAAGCAATGTCAGAGTGATTTCATTTGACATTCTTATATATCATTTCCTATTCCTCATATAAACACAGAAAGAACATATGTAGAAAAGTCTAAGAATTATTTGTATTTTACAGAGTAAGGAACACATATGTAGAATAACAGATCTACAAGAAGAATTAAGGCACAGAGAGCGTCACATCTCTGACTTGGATAAGGAAGTGCAACACCTTCATGAGAACATAAGTGCCCTAACCAAAGAACTGGAATTTAAGGGGAAAGAAATTCTCAGAATACGAAGTGAATCTAACCAGCAGATGAGGTATGCCATTAATTACAAGAGAAGGAATGTGCAGTGTTTTTGTGGACTGTTGCCATAATATGTAGTAATACATGCCTATTTTTGTGACCTAGACTGCCATATATTGAAGACCACATTTTACTTTATTTGATTACTATATTATAACTCAGAACACAGAGTAGATGTTTGTATTTTGCATAATGTTCTCCTATGTGTTAACTTTGGAAATTGTACAAAATTAACTAAAATATTTTAAAACATTATGTGAGAAAGCATTAAAGGAGAAAACTTTAACACAAGCTAGAAGATTATAACAAAGTAAGTAGGCTAATTTGGGCCACTTATATTAATTTTTTATATATATTATACCAAAAATAATTTCAAATCTGGTAGAATGTAGGAAGTTATGAAAGCTTGATGTCAGAATAACATTTTCTTAACTAAAAATAAACAGGTTGCATGAACAAGATTTAAACAAGAGACTTGAAAAAGAGCTGGATGTCATGACAGCAGACCACCTCAGAGAGAAAAATATCATGCGGGCAGATTTTAATAAGACTAACGAGCTACTCAAGGAAATAAATGCAGCTTTACAAGTGTCGTAAGTCATATTACATTAAAGAAAATTCAAATGTGGATAATAAACTGAGGAGCACAGAGTCTAACCTAGGTTAACCACTATTTTAGTTATAGCAAAAATGATATTTAAAGACATAAGTGCTGCATTGCAAATTGTAAATGCAGTGTGATATGTTCTTTAATTTGGATAAAGCAGTTGAATGACTATTTCATCAGCTCTCACTGCTTTGATTCCACTGGGACAATATTTATCTAAAGAATATCCCTCCGCATCATGAACTGTCTGGCCATACTGAAAACTCAAATTATGTCCCTTATATATAATGTTAGTAAAAAGCATATTGTGAACAATAGGAGTATCATATTCATATATATGTACTTAATACCTGTTTTACAAAAATAACAACATTTCACAGCAAATACAAAACTTAATGATAGTAATTCCCTCTAGGGAGAAGTGTAGGAAGTATTGGGTATAGGAAAAAGCAGAAATGTTTCTTTTTTATTTTAGATCCTCTACTTTTTTGAGTTTGTACCATAAGCATTTAATTGTTTTAAGATTTTAGATATCAATTAAGGAAACATTACAGATAATACTACTACTCATGCATAGTTAATTCCAATCATTGCCTATTGTTTTAAAACATTTAATAGCCCTGCTTTTTCCTAGAGAGAGAAATTATAAATCTCTATAGTCAATACAACTAGTATTCAGTCCAAATTATGACCTAAACCTTGATCGAAAATTATCTCAGAATTAATCTACTCTGAATTGCTGTTAGTAGTTTATTCACTTTAGTCTCTCCCCTTCCAATCAAATGAAAAAGCTTCATTTTAAAATATTACACAAATGTGTGTGTATGTGTATCCATACACTTCAAACAAGTCACAATTTGTGACTAATCCCATTGGCCTCAGTGTCAGAGTCAAAACTTCTCAGCTCCAGTATGCCTTATTCTGCATTGTCCTATAGCAACCCTCACTCCTCTATTGTTTTTCTATAAGTAGAACTGACCTTCCTGGTTTCCTTCTCAGATTTTCCTGTGTTGTCCTCTATAGTCTAGAATAATCTCCTGTGCTGTTACTATCTAATTACCTTCCTGACATCTAAAAATCTTCTCTTCCCATTTCATCAGTGTAACTGGTTCGGTCTCTCAGTAGACACTGTGGCATACATAGGCAAGAGCACACCTATACACACATTCACAAAATCCCAGACCTCATTGGCGTTTACTTGAGTGTCCCCTGAGGTGAGTTGCTCCTTCTGAAGAACACATTCAGAATCTTCACTGTGGGGAACACTCAAAGAATGTTTCCTGAGTGAGTTTTATAAGGATTCCCTATCATATTTACCACTTGTGAAGTTACCTTAGAAATCATTGAGTTTGGTGTTCACTATCATTAGAAGTCATTTTACAAATCCTTTTGAGCCACCATATGAGTCCAAGTATCTGCCTTGTGGAAGAGCTGGTAACCTCATATATTGTGCAGAAACAAGATACAGTAAATCTCAGTGGCTGTCATTCCTCCTGAACTCAGTATTATTTATTAATCAGAGGCTGCGGTCCGAGATTCCCTCCTCCTTAACACTCTGTAAGACAACATGCTCACAAGAAGAATAACCTGTCTGTCCATGTGTTATGCCCCCCAGGACTGTTGACAAAGAGTAAAGGTTATATCTTTGCTTCTACCTTATATGATTTTGCACATGGTAAATTGTCAGTAGGTAATAAACAATGACTTAGTTTTTTTACATTATGAGTGCTTTTAACAATTGAAGAAATAGCTTTACTGGTAAATAAGATATTTTGTCTGATTTTCTAGCGCCATCTTTCATTTGTTTTGTATTTCATGGTCTATGCTAACCAACCATATTTACTTTATCAGCAGAAACTACTGCCATCCTATAAGTAGCCTCTAGCTTTAGGTATTTACTGTCTCAGTTAAAAATGAACACACACCCAAATTTATCTGACCAGAGCTATCCTATAGATTTTCTGTGATAATCAAAACATTCTATATCTGCTCAAATCCAGTATTGTAGCTACTAGCCACTAATGGCTACTAAGTGCTTGAACTGTGGATAATGAGTCTAGCAAACTGAATTTTTAATTTCACTGAATTTTAATTAGTTCTACTGTCAGTAGCTACATAGAGACTAGTGGCTGTCATATTGGAAAGCATAGTTCTAGACCACTGGCCCACATCCTGAAATGCAGCCCGCTTGTATCTGTTCAGTGGTTTGGATTTGAACAGAAGTGATGGACAGGGAGGGTTTGTTCCAGCTCATGGAGCTGGAGAAGCAGTATCTGAACAATCCAGACCTGTTCCACAGGAGGGAAGTACTCTGTTGAATTTCCTATGGATTTTTTGAAACCGTTGGTGGTTGGTGACGTGAGGAAAATGGGTGAGCCTGCCAGACTAAACACTGGAGCCGAGGAAGCTCTGGAGCAGCCAGAAGCTTCTTGCTTCTGTTCCAGCCCTAAATCCTGTTGGAGTCCAGGGAAGAGGGTGGTGACACATCTACAGGAAGGAAAATGCCCTCTTCATCCCGTAGAAATAGTGATAAAATTTCTCTCTTACAGAATAACTATTGGAAATCTTCTTTAGTTCTGTGTATTAAAGCCTTAGATTTTCAGAGTTCTATACAAATTTTAATTTCTTTAATGATATATCTTAGCAAAAACCTTGTATCTAATAAAAATGCCATTTTTTCCATTTTAGAAATAAATGAAAGAATGGGATATTTGATTATACAAATGATTTGTGCCATATATACAGAAAGTGTAAGCAAAACTAAAATATACTGTAGAACTTGGGATCATGGCAGATCTTTATTATGTGAAAAAGATAGTTAAGAGATTATTATTGTTCACATTTACTTTACGTTAACTGCTGAATGTACTCAAGCAAAAAGGTCATTGGAGAATTGGAGAAGATTGAGTTTCTGTATTTGGACTTTAAATATCTCCGTAATCTCTCTCTCTCTCTCTCTCTTTTTTTTTTTTTTTTTTTTTTTTTTTTTTTTTTTTTTTGACAGGCAGAGTGGACAGTAAGAGAGAGAGAGAGAGAGAAAGGACTTCCTTTGCCATTGGTTCAACCTCCAATGGCTGCCGTGGCCACACATCGTGCTGATCCGAAGCCAGGAGCCAGGTGCTTCTCCTGGTCTCCCATGCGGGTGCAGGGCCCAAGGACCTGGGCCATCCTCCACTGCATTCCCGGGCCATAGCAGAGAGCTGGCCTGGAAGAGGGGCAACCCGGACAGAATCCGGCGCCCCAACCAGGACTAGAGACCAGTGTGCCGGTGCCGCAAGGCGGAGGATTAGCCTAGTGAGCTGCGGCGCCAGCTCCGTAATCTCTAAAAAGAAGCACTCTACCACACCAGAATGATTTGTTCTTTGAAATTTTTGTGACCTTTTATCCATAATGCCCCAAGCATTTTTTTATACAATCATTTGTTGATACTTGATTTTTAAATTCATAAGCTTTGTGTTGAAAATACATAGTCTTGTTGTCACAAATTAGAGTTGTGCTCAAAATTTATAGGAAAAGAAAATTTCCACATTAAAATGCTTCAATTACTACATTTCCTTTATATAAGACTGTATAGAAGGGTGGTATAACAAAATTCTTTCACCTTTATAAAGATTTGAAGTATATATGTGCCTAATAATACCCTTTTTTGGGTCTACAGTCTCAATTCATTGATTTTTTTGTCAAATTTTTTTTAAAGAACAGAATGAGGGTTGGTATTTGTAACTTAGAAACTTTTGCATACAATTTTATAGGCATTCATATTTAGGCCTGTGTTGTTCATGAACCGTAGACATTGACCTGTATATTTTCAGGGCCAAAAAAAAAAAAATCAGGGTATTGCATGCACACCTGGTGAGAATCCACCAGTGACCCTAATTAGTAATTTTATGTGTCCTACTTCTGTTCTCCCTTTGTATTACTCTGAGTAAGAATCTGTGTCTTGAATAAAAGGCCACATGTACTTGTGAGGGCCCCTAACGGCAGGGCTTCCCAGGCTTCAGTCATTCTTACACCATCTTTAGGAACTTGGTCAAGTCTGGTTACTTGTAACACTTTTATCTTAATATTTTTAATTGACTAATTTTAACATAAAATTTAACAGGAAAACTTGATATTGCTATAGTAAAACGATTATCACTACTGTTAAATGTCATCCCTCTTGAAATAGAAGCTAGGCTGTAATTATGTCAGCTGTGTAAAAATAAAACATTGCTGGATTCTACCTGTGCTCAAGATCTACATGAAATAGGTTTATAAGCATTTGTTATGAAGGCTGTTTCAGACAGAGTAAAGAAGAAGAAACTTAAGATCATTCCCCGTGTCAACAAGTTATTGACACACTGGCCTATGAGAAGCAGAGTGGATGGCAGCAGCCGCCCGGGGCAGCTGAAGAAAGGGGAGCCCACTGACTAGTGCTGGCTTTCTGCGGATACTGGAATAGGATCAGATTTACTTCCAATTAGAATTTTAAAAAATTAATAATTATAGAAATATATTTGGAAATTCAATGATAACATATTACTCTTAATTGTTTTCTCCTTTAATGCTTCCCCATTTGTATTTATTTGAATTATGCTTCTTCAATTTAATCAACTATTTTTCTTCTTTAATATCCAGGTATCTTTTTTATTAAATTTTTTTTAGTGATGTAAAGATATTTTTAGAGAAGATTATTTGATAATGATTCTGTGGGTAAAGAATGTGTAAGCTAAGTGAAAACACATATTAAAACTTGGATTCAGGCCAGCGCCGCGGCTCAATAGGCTAATCCTCCACCTAGCGGCGCTGGCACACCTGGTTCTAGTCCCTGTCCTGGTTGCCCCTGTTCCAGGCCAGCTCTCTGCTGTGGCCCGGGAAGGCAGTGGAGGATGGCCCAAGTGCTTGGGCCCTGCACCCCATGGGAGACCAGGAGAAGCACCTGGCTCCTGCCTTTGGATCAGCGCGGTGCGCCGACCGCAGCGCGCCAGCCGTGGCGGCCATTAGAGGGTGAACCAACGGCAAAAGGAAGACCTTTCTCTCTGTCTCTCTCTCTCACTGTCCGCTCTGCCTGTCCAAAAAAAAAAAAAAAACTTGGATTCAGGGCTGACCTCAATGCAAAACATAGGGTTCAGATATAACTGATTGTTTGACTCCCTTTAATTTTTCATTGGGCTAGAACAAAATGATAGAAATAATAGTTTTAAATAAGGCTTTAAATTTAGTTTTGTAGCTATCATTTATAAAAAAAATTCAGCTGTAGGAAACAGTTCAAAAATCTTGAACTGTGCTTTTAATGGTAAAAGGAAGAGCTCTAGTGACCTCATGTGGCTACTCTGGTGTAAAACCCAAATTCTTTTTTCCTTTGACTAGATCAGTATTTTACAGTATCTTAAAATCTTTTCCCACAAAATCGATGAGTAAACCCCACCATATCATGATAAAATGCAAGGTCAGTGTATCTGAGCCTAGTGAGTCAAATCATTTTTCATTTAGCCTGCATTGCTACAAAAGAGCATAAGTAAAGACAGTGAAACTTAACACATTGTACACCTACCTTTACCCTGACCTAAGTGTCTGTTGCTCCTGAGACAGTCACTTTTTAAAAACTTTTTAAAAAAGGTTTACTTTTATTTATTTATTTGAAATAGTTACAGAGAATGAGAGACACAGAAAGAGTACATCCAGTGGCTCCCTCCCCAGATAGCAACAGCCAGGGCTGAGCGAGGCTGAAGCCAGAAGCCAGGAGCTTCTTTCTTGTCTCCCATGTGAGTGGCAGGGGCACAACTACCTGGGTCATCTTCAGAGAAACAGCCACTTTTTTTTCTTTTTTAAACTTTTATGTAAGTTATGCAAGTTTCATGTATTTCATATATATTGATTTAGGAACATGTGATACTTCCCACCCTACTCTCCTGCCTGCCCATGCTCCAACCCTTCTTCCTCCTCCCTCTCCCATTCCCACTCTTAATTTTTATAAAGATCTACTTTCAGTTTACTTAATTATCGTAAAGTTAACCCTACACTAAGCAAAAGAGTTCAACAAATAGTATGAAGAAGAAAACACTGTTCCTCAAAGGAAGAGACAAGGGCTATAAAACAGTCAGCCACTTCTTACCCCATACTTCCTCATGACCCTACTGCCTACCTATGCCCTTGATTAGAATGGTAGCTCAGGGCTGCTGAGTAGGGAGCCAAATATTGTCATCTCCAAATCTCTAGACTAGGCTGGGTTACTGGAGGATTTTCATGTTGCTAAAATTATATGTGAAGATTTCTATGGTCCTTTTGGTACTGGCAATAAGAGGCCAGGGACAGATCATTGATTCCTGGAAGACAGATCTTCTAGAAGTTAGTATTTTTTGAGTGAATTAAATTTTCTGTCAGTCTTCATTAACTGTAGTTTTATTAAATTTAAATTCTAGTTTTTTTATTCTAAAGACATTAAGTTTTTAAAACTATTTTAATTTTTTATATTTTCTAAAACTGAAGGTGCTGGCCGGTGCTGCGGCTCACTTGGCTAATCCTCCACCTGCGGCGCTGGCACCCCAGATTCTAGTCCCAGTTGGGGTGCCGGATTCTGTCCTGGTTGCTTCTCTTCCATTCCAGCTCTCTGCAGTGGCCCTGGAAGGCAGTGGAGGATGGCCCAAGTGCTTGGGCCCTGCACCCGCATGGGAGACCAGGAGGAAGCGCCTGGCTCCTGGCTTCGGATCGGCACAGCGCGCCAGCCATAGCGGCCATCTGGGGGGAGAACTAACAGAAGGAAGACCTTTCTCTCTGTCTCTAGCCCTTACTAACTCTGCCTGTCAAAAAAATAAAATAAAAAAATAAAATAAAACTGAAGGTGCATTTTTTTTTTTTTCAAATGAAGCCACAGTTTCTATTTGCATTTTCTCATTGTCTTCAGTTTGCCCTGCCCTAGTTCTTGGACTTCATGGCTGTGTCGCATCTGTTCATCAGAAGAGGCCTCTGTTTCAGTCCTCAGGGGCATTCCATCTTAATACCACCGCATCTCATTTGGGTCAGAACAGGCCTAGAAGCAAATTTCATGCTTTACCTGATGAGCCTTTCCTACAGTTTATATGAATTGCATGGAAATAATGGGTTGTTAAATGGCATTTCTCATGATCCAGGAAAGAATGGTGTCATCCATGTGTGTCCTCTGTCCCCTTTTCCTCTGCATGTCTTCTCATTCCTTTCATATATGTTACCAAGCCTTGTGTTACACAGTAGCATATTTGTGGCGAGGGCTACTTACTAACAGTAAGTCAACATTTCTAGCATTAAATCTTTATTAGTATCATTCAACACATCAGTTCTTCTGCAGAGTTTGCCTCACCTCATCTCTAATACCTTGAATACCTTAAAATGAGTGAATTGTTAAAAAAAGTAACATGCAAAGCCCTTAAGAATATATGCTACTCCTGTAAAGCCTTTATTGTAACACTATAGCTCTTGGAGTAATCTGTCATCATGCTTGAAAGTTTGAAAAAAACTCTTTTAAAATTTTTTGTGTGTTAATTGGACTAATTTGGAAAATACAGGAATTACAAAAGAATGTGTCTAAGGATATCAACGAGCTAAAGGAATTTTTTTGTTGTTTTTAGACTAGAAGAAATGGAAGAAAAATATCTAATGAGAGAATCAAAACCAGAAGATATACAGATGATTACAGAATTAAAAGCCATGCTTACAGAAAGAGACCATGTCATAAAGAAACTAATTGTAAGATATTTTGTTTCTGCTGCAACTATGTTATTAATCAATAGACAAAAATTAATGAGGAAAACATGGAAAAATATTTTGGAGTTATGCTAAAGGAAAATAGAAAGTAAAAATATGGGCATTATAATTAAAAGTTTATTAAAATGCTTATGAATGTAAGACATATAAAGTAATTTTAAAATTTAAATTTGGCATGAGGGTAGGGAATTTTTGCTATTTTCTTCAGTATTTTTTTAAAAAGTCCTTTTTATACATATCCTATGTTTAATAACATATAAGTCATTGCTGAGACACAATTAACATACTATTGAATGTGTGTGTGTACTTGTGTGTGTTGTATATGTAGAATCAGAATTGTCTAGGAAAGAACATTAGCCTACATTGTACACTTCTAGGTTAACCATGTTAAATTCTTAAAATGTGTTCCACAAGACACTGATCGAAAGAGATACACTACAGAAAAAGGGTAACACTAAGGTGTTAAGGGCTCAGAGAAATCCATCAGTGAAGAAAATACACATTTAACAAAAAATACACAGCCTTCATTAAAGCCATTATTCCTCAAAAATAAAAAAAAAATGCAACTGTTTAAAATTTCATGAACCATTCCACTTTTTCCAAAATGATAGGCCCTGGTCAATCATTAAAATACTGCCTTTTACTGCCACTGTCAGATGAAAATCTTTCACAGTAAAACTAGAAATAGAACACTAATCACTCTGCATACTCACTGATCTCTGCAACTAGAACTTCAGTATTAGCATGCAGAGACAGCACAAGAATAACATTCATTTCTGAAGTCCTTTCTCCTTAGTGTATCTCTTTGCATGTAGGAAAGTTGACCTGTATTCTGGGACTGGAAGTTCTTGCAGAAAACAACAGAGTAGGTTGTGGTTCATGGATAAAGCCCAGGAGCAGACTTTGGAGACAAAGAGAATATGTTGTTCTACCACCAGCCACCCAGTTTTCCAAGCATTGTGAACATGCACACAGGCCTCAGGTCGTTCTGTCTGATAGCAGTAAACACATGGAAAATTACTCTCTTATGTCACACATGAAATTAACAAGTCTAGTAAGTGTATTTCTTTTGTGGTTCATAGAAATAGCTATTGATTTTCCAGTTTTTCCAGATGAAGTATTATAGATGTAATTGTAGTTTATCTTCATAACAGGATAGGTATTACACTTCAAAGAGCAAAGTCACTTTCCAAAGCAATACAGCTAGTTGATGACAGGACTAGGATATAGCCACAGGCAGTCCATACTCTTTCCATAACAACCTGATTCTGTGGACCCTGAGGCACATGGGATGAGATTAACGACTTAAATAACAGTCACCGATGACTAAAAGCGTGGTGAGGACTCGACTTGTGCATAGCCCTGCATCCTCACACGCACTGTTCTATCCACTTAAGGCCTTCCCACTTTCTGGTTGTTCAGTTAGCACAAACTGGGTGATGAAGCCAAGCACAGAGGTTTTATCTCTAGATGGACATTTGCCTTTCCCTGTTCTATGATTAATGTTGCTTTGTTGCATCAATGTCTCAGAGAGATTAGGCAAGATCAAGCCTATTTCCAGTACTAAGGAATAATAAGATTCCATAGTGGTGACTTCCTGTGTGGAAACATTGCAACCATGCCGTTTAGACCTGCTCAGAGTACACCGTTGGCCTTGGGAAACAGATGGGACCAAAAAGACATTTAGATCCAGTCCTAGAGGAAAACGTACAAGAGGGTAGAGTCCTCGCAGCCTAGGGCCTCAAAGATGTTGAAAACTCACCCACCAGCAACCTTTAAGACGCTGACAATCAGTTGAGGTTGAGAAATCTTTGAAGAATGTATATAAGCCTTCATTGAGGTTTTACATTAAATTTTGTATGAAATGGCACACAATTAAGGTTTTAAATATTCAGGAGAAAATGTTGAAAAGATGTTTATAATTCTTTTGCATAGGAGGATAATAAATTTTATCAGCTGGAATTAGTCAATCGAGAAACTAACTTCAACAAAGTGTTTAACTCAAGCCCTACTGTTGGTGTTATTAATCCTTTGACTAAGGTATGTGCTGTAGACATATAATAGGAATGTGGTTTAAAACTTGATTAAAAATTTGTAAAATATTTGGAGCAGCATAGGATAAAGCTCCCCCAAAATGTTTTAAATAAATAATTTAGCACTAAGATTTATGAATTCTGTCTTCATAATGAAAACTGTTAATAATATTCATTTATCAAATTCATACTCCTTAAATAATATTTTGTTAACATCAAACCTTGGTTTTATCTTTTTATGTTTTTACTGCATTTCTAAAGAAAACTAAACCTGTAACTCTCCTTCAGTTAATTTCTTGTTATTTCCTTACTGTTCATAATTCTTTATGGGGTACAGAAAGATACTCCAACCCTGGATACCCAATATCTATCCCTAGCTTAGGGCCTGCCATCCTAATGGACTTAGGGGTGGACATGTGCAGATATTTGTTGCTTGCCAATAGAGAAGGGTTTTACTTCTCACAGTCTTATGACTGTTCTTGACAATCAAAATTGAATATGACATATTCTGATACTTTGTTACTCTCTTAGGACAAATAGAAGAGCCTTGACATGGAATGGCTAAGTCACACATCTTTGTATCCCAGTTTCCATGGCTCCAGTATAGTGCTTTGGGTATAGTGGGTATTCAGTTAATATTTGTTCAATTGCAGAATTTCATCACATTTTATATAAGTTATCACAAATTTTTCTGTGAATAAAGCAAGTAATATAGAATAAATAATTACATATACATTGGCTTCATAGGGATTATGAATCTTTTGACAGAAATCAGTAGTAGCACACATTAAAGTGCTAGTGCTAAAGCTGTTCTGTTGGTTTATATTTTATTTTCACATCAAGCCTAATTTCTGTTCTTACTTTTACCCAGAAATTTTGCTTTCAAAGCTTATAAAACTTCTCTACTGGGAACCCTTAATCTAGCCTTCCTTTTCAGGCTAAAATGCTCCAAATTTTAAACTTGAATATTCTGTGAAGTAGAAGGAAAAAACAGTAGAAACAATATGCTCTATAAATGTTTTATTTTCACTTATTATTCAATTAGCATTAGACTTTTTAGTTACAAAACCATTACTATAGAACTGCATCAGTGATGCTTGTGATTTCTTAAAATAAAAACATTAACTAGGTTTAATTATGCCCTCTGGTGACTAGAACAAGAAAAAGCAAAAGGCACATCTTTGTAAGAACTTATAGGCTACTGTAGACCTTGATAGGAACTTAAGTTTTCACAAATAATTCTGAAGATCTTATCCTACTTTTCTTTTCCTGAGTATGCTGTGAGTCACAGAATATGGGGTCCTCCATATTGGAGGGAAATGTCTAGATAGTGAGAAAGTTACTTCATAAGTAAAGGAAAAGTTCTATTTTGTGTATTACTTTTTGTCAAACCCTGGAATTTACAAAGAAAAATTTAATAAATGTAATTAATGTATGTCTAATGAGAAAAAGATGAGGAATTTATAAATATTTTACATCATGTTAGTTTTTATTCCACACAAGATGTTGCTAATTGATTCTAGAGGTATGACTAAAGTACTTTTGAGACTAAAGTTAATGATTTGCAAGGTGATAAATTTCAACAATCTATAATTGTATTGCAATTTGTAATCTCTTTATTTTAAAGACTGATTAAAAATAAATACTGATTACTTATGTTTTATAACCTTTACTTTTTTAAAAAAAATATAAGCCAATTAATGATACTGCCAGTTAATTGGAAAATTAGATTTAATTGTACACATTTAATTTCCTCCCTTCAGGTAGATGTCACAGTGTACTTAATATCAAATTATTTTCTCTAATTTTAAATCTTAAATCTTAAGTAGAAATGCAAAATTTGTTTCAAACTATATTGCCAAGCATTTTCTCATTCCTTTTTTTTCCAGGCAAGAACTGCCTCCCTTTGACAGATGGCTAAAGTTCATGGACTTCTCTTAAAATTATATTTAACTTTATCCCTTCTCCTAATTTAGCCTAAATCCATTTAACCTCATGGTATTTGCAAGAACTCCTCTCTCCCCCTCAGTTTTCCCTTCTCCTTCCAGTATTCTCTTTACTCTCTGGCACTCCACCTCCCCTCTCCCAACCTGTGATTTCACAGTTACTGATTCACAGTTACAAATGACCCACCCCTAACGTTGCTCCTCATTCCTTCTGTGTTGGTAGCATGACTGTCTCTGAGGATTCCATGTAGATACAGAACACCTCCAAGGATCCCCAGAATACACTTTGGGTAACACTAGTTAATTTTTTTTTTTTTTTCAATATTGATTGATTTAAAAGGCAGAGTTACAGGGAGACAGAGTCAGAGAGAAAGAGAAAAAGGTCTTTCATCTGCTGGTTCACTCCCAAAATGGCCACAATGGCCGGAGCTGGGCCCATCCAAAACCAGGAGCCACAAATTTCTTCCAGGCCCCCCACACATGTGCAGGGGCCCAAGGACTTAAGCCATCTTCTGCTGCTTTCTCACGCCATAGCAGAGAGCTAGATCAGAAATAGAGCAGCCAGTACTTGAACCAGCACCCATATGGGATGCCAGCACTACAGGCAGCGACTTTAGCCACTGGACTACAGTGCTGGCCTTGCCACTAGTTAATTTTAACAGCCTAACTTAACATAAAACTCCCCAAATTTTCCCATGCCAAATTTGTATCTTGTGCTATTCCTTTTGTTGCAATTGTCCTCATGCAGGGACTATCCTCACATGTATTATTTTTAATGCAGCAAAAGAAGAAGAATGATAAATCATCAACAAACAGGTTTGTGAGTGTTCCCAATCTAAGTGCTCTGGAATCCAGTGGAGTGGGCAATGGACATCCTAACCGCCTGGATCCCATTCCTAATTCTCCAGTCCACGACATTGAGTTCAACAACAGCAAACCACTTCCACAGCCAGTGCCACCCAAAGAGCCCAAGACATTTTTGAGGTGAGCCCCGTCTCACCAATGAGTTTTTTCTTTTCTTTTTTATCTTGAGAAATATATCTTCTTTCATTGCATAAATCTGTTCAGAGAACAACCGAGAAAAATAGTACAATGAAATATTTTCAAAATATTTTTATCACCTCTTTAGACAATTCCCTTTGTCTCTGTTAAAAAGATTTTTTCTAATTTCTTGTCATCAATCAATTTTCCAAATACTTGAAGAGATTCCAATGTAATCCATATGTGTAGAATTTTCAAATATATGCACAATTGCTTCATTTTTAGCATTATCACAATTTTTCATTAATAATCCATCCTTATGGAAGAACTATAAAATAACTATTTATTAAATGGTTTTTCTGTTTCTTAAATTATTTAGCTTTTCCTCTTTTTGTTTATGAGGCTTATTTATAAATAAATAAATATATATGTGCACACACACACATACATATACATATGTGTGTGTACTACCAAAATAAAAGATATATAAGTTCTGGGAACTTAATGATTTTACTTAAGCAAAAAAATTAATTTAGGCAAAAAAATAAGTTTTAAAATTGGCATTCCAATTTTGTTACCTCAGATTTGTTGACTAAATGTATTAACAAGTAAGTTTTGAGTGAAATGCAGTTGTTTAGCTATCAGATAGTAAGGGGGCACTGTTATTTTATGCTCACCATACTAATATTTATATTTTACTGCTTTAACTTTTTTATTCTTACTTAATCTCAGCAGTAGCACTAATAGCCTTATGAGTAGACAAGTCTTTTTTTTACACTAAGTGATCAATTATATAGTTAATGACTAATTATTTGAAATAGTAAAAATAAATAGTAAGTGAAAAATAGTGAAATACATATTTGAATGTGTCTCCTGCTAAATCTTTTGTGTTGCTTATTTTCCCCATGCATGGGTATGTTCAGGTATCAGTAAGATGCATGTGCATGAGCTCAAGGAACATGACTACTGGAGTTTCCATTACACATTGTTGCGTGCCTTGTAATTTCCCCCAAAGACGGTAGGGATTCTTTTGTTTTCTCAAGTAGTCCAAAGAATTTTTAGTTAGAGTTAAGATAAGTATAGATTATGTGACTTTGATGATGGAGGGGAAATTGGATTTTTCAATACACTCCTTTTCCTGGAGGATTTGCTTATGGAATTATGAAATGAAAGTCCTATATAAATATGTATGTAGTAAAAAATGCTATACCTCTATTTAGTTAATTTAGTTATATGTAAGGAGACTTCTGTCATAATCAAATGCTTGTGTCAGATTCTGAACTTTTAATTAACGGGAAATGGTGCTGAAAGAGAGGAACATAATCTTACTCTCTCTTATTTCCCACAATCCCTCCAGATTATTTTTATTCAAAGAAGGTGACATTATTTTCCTCAATAGTTTGTCTTTGGTTTTCTTGTAATTATTGTGATGTGGCTCCTGTTTAACTGAATTCATCTGAGCTGCTGATGCACTCTCATGCTCTCATGGGATAGAGAACTGGAGCTAGTATAGGTGTAGATGGAGTGCCAGATGTCTGAAACACAGCTTCTAACATGGGCACCCAGTTTTTGATGGTCTACACTGATGTGTTATGTGCTTTTTCCCTTCATTTTGCAAAACGGCTTAATGCTGGATTACATGTCTCTCTTTTTATGAATTTAGTCCTCCTCAGAGTGACGCTTCCCCGGTGGCTTCTCCAGATCCCCAGCGCCAGGAGTGGTTTGCCCGGTACTTCACATTCTGAAAGAACTATGTTGGCACAGCTCCGTGTGGACTGTGACTGAGAGCATGACTTTATACAAACCATTATGTGAACAGGCTTCCCCAAGTCAAACACTGTGAATGAGAAAGTACCTGTCTATCCAATTTCACAATGCACTCACTGTATTTCCTCTGATATTTATTGGAATCACTCCATAAGGTACTATATTATGTGTGTAATTATAACAGTTATTTTTATTTGAGATGGAAGAGTCTTTAACCTTTGTAATTACTGCATAATAAATTTTGTTAGAACAAATGATAATGCTTTTCATTTTCTTCTAGTAAAATTGCTTTAATTTTTAGATATGTTTTAACTCCGGTAAGACTTACTGAAAAAAAAAGTTTTACTTCACTAATAACCATCTGATATCAAATTTATATCAAATTTATTATTGATTTATTAGCATATGAAATAAGAAAAGGGAAATCTGTTATAATTTATTAACTTGTTCTATCACCATATATGATTCTCTTAAGTTTACTAGGTTAGAATGAAAGTACTTGTAGACTTTCAAGCATATAAAATATTGCTGGCTTATAGGTTTGTTCATTTATTTTGATAGTTGAAATCTAGAACTTCTAATACAGTTAGTACCTCTGATTAACATCCTTCATTGTCAAAAGTTACTGTGCAGAGAGTCAGTTCTGTGTCAATTTATCTTAAATTTGTTCATTTTCTTAGTGGGCAACTAAGTATTGATATAGGAACAGTCTAGAATTGACAATGGTATCTTTTATTTCTCTAAACTTTAGTCTCCCTGGGCAGGCTACTATATTGATTCTGTGGCCACAAAAAAGAAGGCATTCATTTCTAAGAGTACCGCATTTAGTTTGAGTCAGTAAAGCAGATTTTAGAAGAACTAGCTGAATGCAAATATCATACTCATACAAGATCAGTGATTATTATAATGTGTAAAAGACCAACTTTTAAAATGGCTACTATTTACCAGACACTATGCTAAGGGGAATGTACAATTACCTCATTTAATCTTCACAAAATCCTCTAGGAATAAATGACTGCAAATGAGTATGAGTATGCATATGAGTATGCACAGATGGTGGCATGTTATTTGTTAAGCTATCATCCTGAAAAAAAGATTTCTACAAATTACTTGCTTTTAGTCTTTTCCTTTCAATCATGAGATTGAATTTGCTAAGAGAAAATTGTTACATAATTCTTATTTCAGAAAAATAAGTCTTGTTATAGACATATTCTTGCCCCTCGTTTATATACCTCACAGTGTGGTCAGTTGTTAACAAGGATTGGTTGATTAGGACTGTGCAGGTGCCAGATGTGGACACAGAAGGATGAAAAAGCTCTGTCTTCAGGGAGCTAACTGGAACATTTGCTGCAAAAGTCCAAAACCAAACAGTTTTTAAGAAATTTCAGAAAATCAACAAAAGAGATTTATGGGGAATGCAACAGGAATAGGAAGGAGGAAGTAAACAGCTCAATTCAGAGTAGAGGCAGGTTCAACCTGACTTAGAAGTAGTATCCAAGTATAATATCGAATTATAAGGCAGGTGTATTCCAGACATAAGCTGAAACAGTCAAGAAAGAGGGATGCACGTTGTAGTGCAGCAGGTTAAGCTGGCTGTTAGGTTGCCGACATCTCATATTAGAGTGCCAGTTCCAGTCCCAGCTTCTTCATTTGGAATCCAGCATTCCTACTAAATCATCCTGGGGGCAGGAGATGATGACTCAAGTGCCTGGTCCCTTGTCACCCATGTGGGAGACCTGGGTGGAGTTCCAGGCTTCTGGCTTCAGTCTGGCCCTGCATTGGCTGCTGCAGGGATTCAGCAAATGAACTAGCAGATGGAAGACCGCTCTCTGCCTTTCAAAGGAAGGTAAGGAAGAAGGGAGGAAAGGAGAGCAAGCTGGTTGAGTCCAGGGGACTCATTCCCACATAAAGTATGTGTAGGACTCTATGTAGCCATTTCTTGAATACCTGCTTTGTATCAGACACTTCAGTTTTTCAATTTTACATTTCTTAAACATTCAGCACCCCAGCACACACAAACACATACAATCACAACTAGAAGGGTTGAAACTCTGTTCTTTCCAGAGATATAAAGAGCCTGGAAGTTTTCATAAAGCATTTATCTTGATCCTGTAGAATTTTGAACAGGTAATAGCATGATTAGATTAAAATGTAGGAAGTCACCATAATGATTGCAGTTGGTTCATAAGAGATGGGGACTTGACTGACATCAAGATCAATTAGTGGTTTATTGAATTGGCTAATATAAGAACTAAACTAAAGAATTGTTAATGGGAATGGAGATGAGAGGATAGACAGTGAAGATACAGAATTGATGATGGTTACTGGCCAATGCCGCAGCTCAATAGGCTAATCCTCCGCCTGTGGTGCCGGCACACTGGGTTCTAGTCCTGGTCGGGGCATCAGATTCTGTCCCAGTCGCTTCTCTTTCTGTTCAGCTCGCTGCTGTGGCCTGGGAGTGCAGTGGAGGATGGCCCAAGTGCTTGGGCCCTGCACCCGCATGGGAGACCAGAAGCACCTGGCTCCTGGCTTCAGATCAGCACGGTGTGTCGGCCGCAGCGTGCCGGCCACAGTGGCCACTGAGGGGTGAACCAACAGAAAAGGACGACCTTTCTCTCTGTCTCTCTCTCTCTCACTGTCCACTCTGCCTGTCGAAAAAAAAAAAAAAAAGAAAAGAATTGATGATGGTTAGTGACAAATACACATGGAATAGAAAGAAAGTGATGGATGGGCAAAAGATGATGTTTGATTTCAGACAGGTTGAATTAAATTTCTCTGGAATAATTTTTAGGCAGGTAAACATAAGCATATGGGAATGAAAAAAGTTATGAACTAGAGATATTTTGGAAGCATGGCATATATATGAGATAAAACCACAGATGTGGATGAGAACAAGGAATGTGGTTATGGCAAGAACTTCAGGAGATTAACAACATTTGGAGACAAGTAGGACCTGAGGAGGGGAGGTAGCTCTAGATCCAAGAAACAAGATGTTCTGGAAGAAGAAAGTTTCAAAGAGAGCGGACAACTCCAGAAGAAATGGAAGCTTAGCCATTCAGGGAGAAGGAAAGAGAAAATGAGGTGACAGACTAAGCTGTAAGCCAGAATGGGTTTTGTCTGTATTTTTCAGAGACCATTTTACTTTTATGCTGGAGAGGAAGTGAAGAGAGAAGTTAAAAGGACAGGAGAAAAAAATAAGTAAAAATTATAAAATAAACTTCACTGTCACTGTTACATGTGTTAATATTAAAGAAGGTTGGGGCTGGCGCTGTGGTGTGGTGGGTCAGGGCACCGCCTGCGACACTTGGTGTCCCATGTGGGTGCCAGTTCAAGTCCCAGCTGCACCACTTCTGATCCAGTTCTCTGCTGTGGCCTGGGAGGGCAGTGCAGGATGGCCCAATTCCTTGGGCTCCTGCACTGTTGTGGAGACCCGGAAGAGGTTCCTGGCTTTTGGCTTCAGATCAGTGCAGCCTCCAGCCATTGCAGCCATCTAGGGGGTGGACCAGCGATGGAAGACCTCTCTCTCTCTCTCTCTGCCTCTCAAATAATTAATAAATCTTAAAAAATATTAGAGGGGAAGGTTAAAAAATCTTATATAAATGGTTAACACTGTAATTGAAATATTCACTAAGACTTATTTTTAGATAATTTAAGAAGCAACCTAGAATCTTAAAATCTGAGGATTAGAAGAGGCCTTAATAGGCATTTCTTCCAGTCTCCATAAGGTGGCTTAAATCCCCTGTATAATTATATAATGCTTTGAATGTGGTCCCCAAAACAGCATGTGTTGGAAACCTCAGCCCCAGTATGGCAGTGTTGGGAGGTGTGGCCTGAAGGGAGATGTTCAGTTCATAAGGGCTCCACCCTCATGAAGGGGTGCATGTGGATACAAAGGCCTGAAGGTCACAAATTGCATCCCTCTCTCACTCCTCTCTGCCCTTCCCTCATGCATGACATAGCAAGAAGGCCATCACCTGAAGCCTGAGCACTGATACTGGACTTCTCAGCTTCTAGAACTGTAGGAAATAAATGTCTTCTTTGTAACATATCCAGTGTGTGGTATTCTGTTGCAGCAACATAAAACAGACTAGGACACCATCCCTGATTGAACTTGAATACCTCGAATGATGAGAAGGCTCCTTTCACTGAGCTACCTAGCATGGCTCTGCCTCCAACAACCAGCATCTTAATTTCAGTGACTCAATCACCTGGGCCATATAATAAAATGACACTCTGTACCCTATCTGCTAAAAGATATATGAAAGATGATCGATAAGAAAACAGTTGTCTTGGGGCTGACACTGTGGCATAGTGGGTAAAGCAATCACCTGCAGTGCCGGCATCACATATGGGTGCCAGTTCTAGTCCTGGCTGCTCCACTTCCAATCCAGCTTCTCGGTTGATGGCCTGGGAAAGCAGTGGAAGATGGCCCAAGCCCTTGGGCCCCTGCACCCATTTGGGACACCCAGAAGAAGCTCCTGGCTCCTGGCTTCGGATCTGTGCAGCTCTGGCCATTGTGGCCATCTCAGGAGTGAACCAGCAGATGGAAGACCCCCCCTCCCCCGCCCCTGCCTCTCTGTAACTCTGCCTTTCACATAAATAAATCTTTTTTATTTAATAATGTAAATTTACAAAGTGCAACTTTTGCATTGTTGTGGCTTTTTCCCCCATAACCTCCCTCCCACCCACAGCCATCCCATCTCCCACTCCCTCTCCCATCCCAGTCTTCATTGATTCATTTCCAGTCATCTTTATATACAGAAGATCAACAGTATATACTAAGCAAAGATTTCAACAGACTGCACCCACACAACTGCACAAGATATAGAGTGCTGTTCAACAAGTAGTTTTACCGTTAATTCTCATAGTAAAACACATTAAGGACAGAGATCCTATGTAGGGAGCAGGTGCACAGTGACTCCCGTTGTTGATTTAACAATTGACACTCTTATTTATGGATGTCAGTAATCACCCGAGGCTCTTGCCATGAGCTGTCAAGGCTATGGAAGCCTCTCGAGTTCACCAACTCTGAACTTAGTCTAGGCCATATCACAGTGGAGGTTCCTTCCTCTCTTCAGAGAAAGGTGCTTCCTTCTTTGATGGCCTGTTCTTTCTGCTGGGATCTTGTTCACCGAGATCTTTCATTCAGGTCATTTTTGCCACAGTGTCTTGGCTTTCCATGCCTGCAAGACTCTCATGGGCCTTTTAGCCAGATCTGAATGCCCCAAGGGTTGATTCTGAGGCTGGAGTGCTGTTTAGGGCATTTGCGATTCTATGAGTCTGCTGTGTATCCTGCTTCCCCTGCAGGATCATTCTCTTCCTTTTAATTCTATCCATTATCTGCAGACACCGGTCTTATTTGTGAAATCTCTTCGACACCTACCCTTTTTGATCAATTATGTACTTAAACTTATCACTTTAACAAGTGAGATGGCATTAGTACATGCCTCCTTGATAAGATTGAATTGCAATCCCCTGGCACATTTCTAGCTCTACCATTGGAGGTAAGTCCCAGTGAGCATGTGCTGACCTGTATATCTCCTCCTTCTCTTATTCCCACTGTTATATTTAACAAAGATCACTTTTCTGTTATTTTTAAACACCTAAGAATAATTGTGTATTAATTACAGAGTTCAACCAATGATATTAAGTAGAACAAAACAACAACAACATATTAAAAGGAATAAAAACAGTGCGTTGTTCCTCAACAGTCAAGACAAGGGCTCATCAAGTCATTATTTCTCATAGTGTCCATTTCACTTCAACAGGTTTCCTTTTAGGTGCTCGGTTAGTTGTCATCAGTCAGGGAGAACACATGATATTTGTCCCTTTTGGACTGGCTTATTTCACTCAGCATGATATTTTCCAGATTCCTCCATTTTGTTGCAAATGACCGGATTTCATTGTTTTTTACTTCTGTATAGTATTCTATAGAGTACATATCCCATAATTTCTTTATCCAGTCTACTGTTGATGGGCATTTAGGTTGATTCCATGTCTTAGCTATTGTGAATTGAGCTACAATAAACATTGAGGTGCAAACAGCTCTTTTTTTTTTTTTTTTCCAGTTTAATTTCCTTTGGGTAAATTCCAAGGAGTGGGATGGCTGGGTTGTATGGTAGGGCTATATTCAGGTTTCTGAGAACTCTCCAAACTGTCTTCCATAGTGGCTTTACCAGTTTGCATTCCCACCAACAGTGGATTAATGTCCCTTTTCCCCCACATCCTCGCGAGCATCTGTTGTTAGTTGATCTCTGTATGTAAGCCATTCTAACTGGGGTGAGGTGAAACCTCATTGTGGTTTTGATTTGCATTTCCCTGATGGCTAGAGATCCTGAGCATTTTTTCATGTGTCTGTTGGCCATTTGGATTTCCTCTTTCGAAAAATGTTTGTTAAAGCCCTTGGCCCCTCTTTTTATTGGGTTGTTTATTTTGTTTTTGTGGAGTTTCTTGATCATTTTATAGATTCTAATTGTTAATCCTTTATCAGCTGTGTAGTTTGCAAATAATGTCTCCCATTCTGTTGGTTGTCTCTTCACTTTCCTGACTGTTTCTTTTGCTGTAAAGAAACTTTTCAATTTGAGGTAATCCCATTTGTTTATTTTATCTTTGATTACCTTTGCCTCTGGGGTATTCTCCAGGAATTCTTTGCCTGTTCCAATGTCTCAAAGGGTTTCCCCTATGCTCTCAATTAATTTCATGGTGTTTTGGCGTATCTCTATTTCTTTGATCTATGTTGAGTGGATTTTTGTATATGGTGTAAGGTAGGGGTCTTGCTTCATACTTCAACATGTATGCAGCTTTCCCAGCACCATTTGTTGAAGAGGCTGTCCTTGTTCCAGGGGTTGATTTTTAGGCCCTTTGTCAAATATGAGTTGGTTATAGATGTTTGGATTGATTTCCAATGTTTCTGTTCTGTCCATTGGTCTATCCATCTGTTTTTGTACCTGTACCAGGCTGTTTTGATTATAACTTCCCTGTAGTATGTCTTGAAGTTTGGAATTGTGATGCCTCTGGCTTTGTTTTTATTGTAAAGGATTGCCTTAGCTATTTGCGGTCTCCTGTTTCTCCATATGAATTTCAGCATCATTTTTTTCTAGGTCTGTGAAGAATGACTTTGGTATTTCATTGGTATTGCAATTAACTTGTAAATTGCTTTTGAGAGAATGAACATTTTAATGCTATTGATTCTTCCAATCCATGAGCATGGCAGATTTTTCCATTTTTTGTGTCTAATTCTATTTCTTTAATGTTCTGTAATATTCATTGTGGAGGTCTTGGACATCCTTGGTTAAATTTATCCCAAGGTACTTGATTGTTTTTGTGGCTATTGTGAATGGGATTGATCTTAGAAGTTCTCCTCAGCTACAGCATTGTCTGTGTATACAAAGGCTGTTAATTTATGAGCGTTGACTTTGTATCCTGCTACTTTACCAAACTCTTCTATGAGTTCCAATAGTCTCTTATAGGAATTTATCAGATCCCCTATATAAAGGATCATGTCATCTGCAAATAGGGATAGTTTAACTTCTTCCTTTCCCATTTGTATCCCTTTAATTTCTTTTTCTTGCCTGATGGCTCTGGCTAAAACTTCTAGGACTATATTGAATAGCAATGGTGAGAGTGGGCATCCCTGTCTGGTGCCAGTTTTCAATGGAAATGCCTCCAACTTTTCCCCATTCAATATGATGCTGGCCATTGGTTTATCATAAATTGCCTTAATTGTGTTGAGGAATGTTCCTTCTAACCCCAATTTGCTTAGAGTTTTCATCATGAAAGGGTGTTGTATTGTCAAATGCTTTATCTGCATCTATTGAGATAATCATATGATTTTTGTTTCTCAATTTGTTAATGTGATGTATCACATTGATTGATTTTCAAATACTGAACCATGCCTGCATACCAGGGATAAATCCCACTTGGTCTGGGTGAATGATCTTTCTGATGTGCAGTTGGATTCGGTTTGCCAGAATTTTGTTGAGTATTTTTGCATCTATGTTCATCAGGGAGATAGGTATGTAGTTTTCTTTCTCTGTTGTGTCTTTTCCAGGCTTAGGAATTAAGGTGATATTGGCTTCATAGAAAGAATTTGGGAGGATTCTCTCCCTTTCAATTGTCTTTGAATAATTTGAGAAGAACTGGAGTTAGTTGTTCTTTAAATGTCTGGTAGAATTCAGCAGTGAAGCCTTCCGGTCCTGGGCTCTTATTTTTCAGTAGTGTGTTTATTACTGATTCAATTTCTTTCATGGTTATGGGTCTGTTTAGATTTTCTTTATCTTCATGGCTCAGTTTAGGAAGGTTGTATGTATCCAGGAATCTATCCATTTCTTCCATGTTAGCATACATCTCTTTGTAGTGGTTTCTGGTGATTCTTTTTATTTCTGTTGTGTCTGTTGTTACATTTCCATTACTATCTTTGATTTTACAGATTTGGGTCTTCTCTCTCCTTTTTTTGGTTAGTTGGGCCAATGTTGTGTCTATTTTGTTTATTTTTTCAAAGAACCAGCTCTTGGTTTTGTTGTTCTTTAGTGGTTTTTTGTTTGTTTCAATTCTGTTTATTTCTTCTCTAATCTTTAGTATTTCTTTCCTTTTGCTGGATTTGGGCTCGATTTGCTGCTGTTTCTCTAAATCCTTGAGGTGCACGGAAGGTCATTTGTTTGATTCCTTTCCAGTTTCTTGATATAGGCACCAATTGCTATAAACTTTCCTCTTAGCACTGCTTTTGCTGTATCTCACAGGTTTTGATAGCTTATGTTGTCATTTTCATTTGTTTCTAGAAATCTTTTGATTTTTTCTATGACTCACTGTTCATTCAAAATCATGTTGTCCATTCTCCTTGTGTTTGCATATGGTGTAGAGATTCTTGGGTTGTTGATTTCGAGTTTCACTGTGCTATGGTCTGAGAAGATGCATGGTATAGTTTCAATTTTTTTTTAATTTGTTGAGGCTCCCTTCAGGGCCTAGGATATGGTCAATCCTAGAGTACATTCCATGTACTGGGGAGAAATATGTGAACTCTGGCTGTGGGGTGGAAGGCTCTGAAGATATCTACTAGGTCTATTTGGTCTATAGCGTCAATTAGCTCTGTTGTCTCCTTTATTTTCTGTCTGGTTGACCTGTCCATTGGTGAGAGTTGGGTGTTGCAAGTCCCCTGTTACTATTGTATATGAATCTATATCTCACTTTAAGTCCTTTAGTAATTCTTTCAAGTAGCCAGGTGCCCTGTAATTAGGTGCATATACATTTATAATAGTAGTGTCTTCATGTTGGATTGATCCTTTAATCATTATATAATGCCCTTCTTTGTCTCTTTTAATAATTTTTTGTGTTAAAGTCTATTTTGTCTGCTATTAGGATGGCCACACCAGCTCTTTTTTGATTTTTGTTAGGTTGGAATATCTTTTTCCATCCTTTCACTTTCAGTCTGTGTGCATCTTTGCTGATAAGGTGTGTTTCCTGAAGGGAGCATATAGATGGATTCTCTTTTTTGATCCAATCAGCTAGTCTGTGTCTCTTGGTAGTAGAGTTAAGGCCATTCACATTCAGTGTGACTATTGTTAAGTACTGTCTTTTTCCATTCATGTTTCCTAAAACGAGCTGTTTATGTATTTTGAGATTTGTTTGTGGCTTAGTTGGGTCGTTTTCTACATTTGCTTTTTTTTTTTTTTTTTTGTAGTGAAGTACTTGTTTTTGTACTTCTGTGTGCAGCACGTCTTTGAGCCATTGTTGTAGGGTTGGACACAAGGATACACATTCTTTCAGTTTCTGTTGCAGAAGATGTTTATTTTCCCTTCATTCATAAATGATAGCTTTGCAGGATATTGTATTCTAGGTTGGAATTGTTTGTCTTTTAAAACTTGGAATATACCGTGCCATTGTCTCCTTGCCTGTAGTGTTTGCGATGAGAAGTCTGGGGTGAGTCTGATTAAATTACCCCTGCATGTGACTTGTCTTTTCTCTCTGGCATATTTTAGAATTTGTTCTTTGTGTTTCACTGACTGAATGTTGCCACAATGTGTCGCAGTGAATTTCTCTTCTGGTCTAACTTTTTGAGGCTCCTATTTGTTGAATTTGGTTGTTATTATCAATCTGCCTCTGTTGGAAGTTTTCTGATATTATTTCATTGAAAATGCCTTCCAATCCATTCTCTCTTTCCACACCCTCAGGGTCTCCTAGTATCTGAACATTACAATGCTTGATTGAATCTTTTAGGTCTCCAACCATATTTTTTAATTTTCTAAATTCTTCCTGTGTTTGATCTGACTGTATTATTTTTGGAAGTTTGTCTTCAAGTTCTGATACTTGCTCTTCTATTTCATCTGTTTGATTTCTGAGGGATTCCATGGTGTTTTTTATATGGTCAATTGAGTTTTTCATTTCCAGTATTTCATTCTGGCTTCTCTTTAGGATCTCTAATCCTTGGGTGTACTTTTCATTCAGAACTAGTCCCACAATAAATATATTAGAAGAAGAAGTAAATTAAAACATTAAAATTGAGTAAAGACAGCAGTATTTCCACATTCATTGTATACCTACATGTGCCGAGTATTGTTTTAGGACTAGGAGTATTCCAGCGGGAAAGAGATTCCTGCCTGTGGAGCTTACATTGTTGTGGGAGTATACAGAGATAGATCCCCATATAGACATGTTATCTGTCCATGAAATCTGTGTATGTGAATGACTGATGAAATAAGTAAGAATCACAGTTAAGTATTGTCAGTTGTTGTTGGTGATATACAATGGAGAGAAAAATAACAGTATAAGGCAGCGAGGGTAGTTGTGGAGTGGGTTACAATGGGGTAAACAATGGAGATTCTGGGCCATGGGGTTGGGTGTCCCAGGCAGGAATGGTGGCAAATGTGAAATGCTAAGGCAGGAGAGACCTGAAAATGTGAGTCCCGGCAATGCTGCCAGGTTGGAGTGAGCAGAGGAGACTGGTGGAATACACAGTGAATTGAAAGGTAAAAGCCAATACAAATTTATAAAAGCAAACACTTCAGTGTTATGAATATAATTCAATAGACAATATCCAGTGTTTCCTATGTGAACACTGTTTTTGGAGCTGCAAAATAATTCATGCTTAAATTTCAGTTGACTGAAAATTGTGAGACAAAGTGGAATAAAAGAGAAATATAAAATGGTAGTACAAAAATAGGACTTAAGAATGGGACCCAGCATTATGGTGCAACAATGGGTAAGCCACCACTATAAGAAAGCATCCCATATGTGTGCAGGTTTGCGATCCAGCTGCTTCATTTCTGATCCAGCTCTCTGCTTATGCACCTGGTAAAGCAGCAGAGGATGGCACAAGTACTTGGGCCCAATACCCATGTGGGAGACCCGGATGAAGCTCCTGGCTCTGGGTTTGGGCCTGCCCAGCCCTGGATATTTTGGTCATTTTGGGAGTGAACCAGTGGATGGAAGCTCTCTTTCTCTCTCCCTTTCTCTAACTCTGCTTTTCAATTAAATAAAATAAATCTTAAAAAAAAAAAAAAAAGAACAACAGTAGGGGCAGGCATTGGGAACAATGGTTAAGATGCTGCTTAGAACACCTACATCCTTTATCAAAGTGCCTGGTTCCAAGTCTTGGCTCGTCTACTTCCAATCCAGTTTCCTGCTAATGTCCACCCTGGGAGGCAGTAGATGATGGCTCAGGTACTTGGGTCCCTGGCACCTATGTGGGAGACCTGAATCAAGTTCCATGATCCTGGCTTCAGCTGGGCTGGACGTGACTTTTGCAGGCATGTGGGGAATGAACCAGTGGATGGAATATCTCTCTATGTCTCTCATTCTCTTCCTTTCATCAAAAATTATATTACTGTAAAACAATTTTAAATATAAAGTTAAAATTTTATAGAAATAAAGGTAAACGATTCAAAACTAAACAATATCAAAACGAAGTAGTAGAAGAACAGATCAGGTAAAACATGATAGAAATTTTTTTAAAGACCCAATATATAACTTAATTTATATGGGATACAGAGAGAGAGAGGGAGAATGTGCTGTCATCCATTGGTTCAGTTCCCAAATGCCCACACAGGTGGAGCTTGGTTGGGAAGCAGTACTCAACCCAAGTCTCCCACACAGAGGACAGGAACATTACTACTTGAGCCATCACCACTGCCTCCCAGAGTTTGCACTGTCAGGAAGCCAGGAATTAAATCCAGTTGTTCAGATATGAGACACTAGCATACTAACCAACAGCTTAAACTGCTAGGCCAAATGCCTGCCTCCAAATCTAATGTCTGTGGATGAAAACAACAAAGGATGAGATGTAAATTACATTGGATTGGACTAAACACAGATTAAACATTGAAGATAAAAGATTAGTGAACTTGCAGGCCCAGCAATAGGAATTACTCAAAATTAAGCACACAGAGAAAAAAACATAAGTCCAATAAATTCAACAGTTTTATCCTAAGTTCTGAAGGAGTGTCAAGACACCTAATATGCAGGTAAGTTGGGTCCCCTGGGGGAAAGGGATGGAGGAAGTAGAAAAAATAAAGAAGTAAAAGCCAAAATATTTTCCAAATTTGATGAAACTCTACCTCTATAATTAAATTACCTCTATAAAGTGGTAGATCTAGAAAAAAAATCCCAAATATAAGAAACATGAAGAAAAATATAGATAGGCAAGTCATAAACTGTTCAAACCAGTGATTTAAAAAAAAAAAAGTACCAAAGGTGGGAAATATTATATACAAAGATAAGAATGACAGCAGCTTTCTCACTGGACACAGTGCAAAAAGAAATACAGTGGAGCAAAATCTTTATGAGGAAGAAGAGGTTGAGGGGGTAGGGGGAGCAGTAGGAAGGATGAGAGGAGAGGGGAAAGTAAGGGGTAGAAAAAGAAGTTGTCAACGTGGTTAACAAGAAGACTTTGGACAGAAAAAAATATCAAAACAACAGTATATGTATTTGAAATCTAGGCAAGAATAGAAAAGATATTTTAAGATGTAACAGAAGAGCACTAAGATTGATAAATACAGGTTGTAAATATATTATTTTCTTACTATTTGAGTCTTTAAAAGTTAACTGATAGGAGGCTGGTGCAGTGACACAAAGGGTTAAGCCATGACCTGCAACGCCGGCATTCCATGAGTCCTGATGGCTTCACTTCGGATCCAGCTCCCTATTAATGTGCCTGGGAAAAGCAACAGAGGATGGCCCAAGTACCTAGGGCCCTGCATCCTGGTGGGAGTTTCAGAAGCTCCTGGCTCCTGGCTCCTGGCTCCTGGCTTTGGCCTGGCCCATTAGGGGAATGAACAGCAGATGGAAGATCTCTCTCTCTCCTCTAACTCTACCTTTCAAATAAATAAATCGTTTTTTTAAAAAAGTCAACTTTTAGTTTAAACAAAATAACAATGTAGCATGGAGCTTAGAACATGTATAAATAAGGTATAAACTATATGGCAACAGTAGCATAAATGTTGGGAAGGGAGATTTTAAGGTATCATTATAAGGTCTTGTATAGAAGTGTATAAAATAGTATGGGGGCCGGTGCTGTGGCATAGCAGGTAAAGCTGCTGACTGCAGTGCTGGCATCCCATATGAGTGCTGGTTCAAGTTCTGGCTGCTCCAATTCAGATCCAGCTCTCTGCTATGGCCTAGGAAAGCAGTAGAAGATGGCTGAAGTTCTGTGGGCCCCTGCATCCATGTGGGAGACCTGGAAGAAGCTCCTGGCTCCTGGCTTTGGGATCAGCGCAGCTCCAGCCATTGCGTTCATCTGGGGAGTGAACCAGCAGATGAAGGACCTCTTTTTCTGTCTCTGCCTCTCTGTAATTCTGCTTTTCAAATGCATAAATAAATCTTAAAAAAAAAAAAAAACAGTATGTAAGTTAATGTGTAGTCTACAAAGCAACCATTACAATAAGTAATCAGGGGCCGGCAGTGTGGCATAGCAGATTGATCCTTGGCTTATAGTACCAGTGCCAGTGTCTTGTATGGGTGCTGGTTCCTGTCCCAGCTGTTCCATTTCTGAGTTAGCTCCTGGGTGGTGCACCAGGGAAAGCAGCCAAAGATGGCCCAAGTCGTTGGGCCCCTGCACCCACTGGGAAGACCCAGAAGAAACTCCTGGCTTCTGGCTTCAGATCAGCCCAGCCTTGGCCATTGCAGCCATTTAGGGGAGTGAACTAGTGGATGGAAGATATCTTTCTCTTTCTTTCTATTTCTTTCCTTCTCTCTGTATCTCTCCCTTTCGAATAAATAAATAAGTCTTTTTAAAAATTAAAAAATAAATAACAAAGAATTATATTGCTCATAAACCAGCAAAGATACATCAGAATCCCAGAACATACTTAATAAAAAAAAAGTTAAGAGGAAGGAACACGGAACAGATGAGACAGAAAACAAAAAGTAAGAGAACAGACTTTAGGCTGGCGCTGTGGCGCAGGGAGTTAAAGCCCTGGCCTGCAGCACCAGCATCCCATATGAGTGCCAGTTCAAGTCTGGGTTGCTCTACTTCCTATCTGGCTCCCTGCTGATGTCCCTGGGAAAGCAGCAGAGGATGGCCCAAGTGCTTGGGCCCCTGCTCCCACATGGGAGACCTGAAAGAAGCTCCTACTCCTGGGTTTGGATGGGCTGGGGAAGTGAACTAGCAGATGGAAGACCTCTCTCTTTAACTCTTTCAAATAAATAAATCTTTAAAAAAAAAAAAAGACTTTAACCTATCAATAAACACATTAAATGTAAATGTCCTAAATATCCCAATTGAAGCAGAAACTCAACTATACGCTGTCTATTATAGACACTTAAAAGAAATGGGTAGCAAATTTTAAAAATATTTAAATGAAATTGATAAGTTAAAAATGAGGACAGAATGTATGGTGTCAGGTCAGATATGTAGAGACATGGAGAGAATGTTACTCCCATCCTACAAGATAAAAATTAGAACAAATTAAAGACTTTTCTTGAGCTCATTAGAGAGCTTCAGTCACAGACAACTCACCTGAAATCTGGGGGGAGACAGGGATTGCAAAAAGAACCCATAGTTTTGTTTACCTGAGATTGCTTCAAATGCAAAGTGGGAGGAAGATTAAACTAGAACATTTTAGTGAACTGCTAAACAGTGACAGGCTGGTATGAAGCATGGTGTCTCCAGGGCCCTCAGACATCTACAGGTTCTCAGCCTCATGCAAGCCTTTGCTCCAAGAAGCCTGCCAGCATCTCAGGAGGCCTCCATGTGGGAGATCCCGATGGAGCTCCCGGATCCCGCCTTCGGCCTGGCCCAACCCAGGCCATTGTGGGCGTCTGGGGAGTGACCCAGTGGGTGGAAGATCTTTCGCTCTCCCACTTTCTCTCCCTCTTGGTGTAACTCTGCTTTTCAGATAAATAAATTTTTAAAGAATGGTGAACCCTAACATTTTAAGGAGAATTACAAATTTTACAAAAATTCTTTCAGAAAATCAAAAAGAAGGGAGTATTTCTTAACTTGTTCCATGAGTCCAGCATTACCCTGATACCAAAACAAGATAAGACATTACCAAAAATGTTAGATCAGTATCCCAGGCATACATGCAGAAATTCCAAACAAAATGTTTGCAAATTAAATTCAACAATATATAAAAAGAATAGCACATCAAGACTAAGTCCTGGTTTCTTTAGAAAAGAGCAGTATGGGGATTTGGTTGGAGTTACACTGAAATCATGTATAGTGTTTTCTTAGTGATGTAGGCAGGCAGATAGGATAAGGATAAAAGTGATTAGATTTATGAGCTGGAAGACCATGCCTTCACCAAGCTCCCTCCCTGTGTGATCCCATGCCCCACCTGACCACACCTGTACACCCACCTTGCCAATCAGACTAATTAACCACACTCCCTTGGAAGTGGATAAAAGGCATGCTGGGCCCCTCCATTATTTTCCCTCTCTGCCCTAGATCCCCCTTGTTGACCATGAGGGGCATGTGGCCTGGGCGGGGGCGCCCTCTCTGCCTTCTCTTTGCTATTTGTGCTAAGCTGCTTGGAGCTGCTCATAACCAAATGCTGGCTGCACGTGGCTCCTGGCCTGCTCTCTGCTTGGTATGGCCCCAGCGTAATCCCCAGACTTCCTTTTCTCCCTTAGATAGGGCCCTCACTCTCTCATGCATTTCCCTCACTAAGTAAAAAGCTTTAATAAACTTACCATGCTGCCTGGTCTATTTCAGCCAGTGTTCAGAATCCTCCTCTGAAGTCTTGGCAAGAGCCCACACCTTCATTGATATGGGAATTATTGAAAAGCAGATCGGTTTCATTAGTACACATTGTCCACAAACTTTTTGACGACCTCTATGTCAGGAGTCAATAGCAGTGACTTTATCTTAACTACATCCTTATAGGCCCTATCTACATGTAGTCACACCAGGAGACGGCTTCAGCAGCTGAATTTGGGGAGAGGACACAATGCGATCCACAGCAGTGGTGACCTCCACTCCCCTGCTCCAGTTGCGGACAATTCCACTACCATCCCCCCAGGTATATTTCATCTGTAGTTGAGTTAGAGTCAGAGGCATTGAGGCTGACAGATTTCAGCAATGGCTGCGTTTCTCCCCCAACCAGCACCACTGGAGGCAGAGTAGCTTTCTCTGGATTCTCTCAAGTTTTCTCTCTGTGGGCCCGTAAAAGCCAGGGAGCCAGAAACTCAGTCCAGGCCCCAACTCTTGAGCCATCACCTGCTGCCTCCCAGGATCTACATTAGCAGGAAGCTGGAGTTAGGAGCTGAAAATGGAACCCAGGTGCTCTGAGACACCTTAGTCATAACCATTGGGCAAATGTCCATTGCCCTTGCCACTGATTTTTAAGAACTGAATTTCGACGTACGTGCAAAGGATATTCAGTGAAAATGAAAACTCTTGGAACACCAGCCATCCATATGCAAAAAAGCGACTTAGGATCCAGCCCATGCAAAAACTAGCTCTAATAGAGCTAAACAGAAACAGTAAAATCCTAAAATTTCTATCAGAAAACATACGAGAGAGCCTTTGTGACCGTGGGTTAGGCAGATTTCTAAGACGGACCAAAAATTCCACAGGAACAATCCTTCTTGCACGCCCTGCAGCCTCTCTCCTCTGCAGCTCTGAGCGGCTGCTCTGTCCCAGCCCCGCCCCCGAGCCCGCCCGCACGCCCCGCCCCGCCGCTCCCCGCCCCGCCCCTCCGGCCCGCAGCCCGTGGTGCTTGGCGGGACGCGCGCGCGCCCGCGTCCCCACCCGGAAGAAGCGCCAGGTCGGGAAGTTGAGGCGGTGCGCGGGCCGGGCGTCCACCGGTAACGCAGACTGGGCCCACGGGCAGCGCGAGGCCGGCTGGCCGGAGCCTGCGCGCCCCCGCGGGCGGCGGCCTCTTGAAAGGCCACGCGCACGCGCACGCCCCGCCCCCGCCGGCCTTGTGGCGCCCCGGGGGCCGCGGCGGGCACTCAAGTCAGCCGGAGCGCTCGGCGCCTCTCGGCCTCGGGAGCAACGCGTCCCGGGCGGCTTCTGACACTGCGTGCCCCCCCCGTAAGTGACAGCCGCCGACTCGCTCCACGCTGATGACTTTTTATCGCCCGCAGTGAGTCGCAAGTCTCACCCACGTCTTTTTACTTCAGAAACTACTTCCCCCTGGGACCTGGCAGGCGAGGGGGCCGCCCGCGAGCAGAGCCCGGCCAGGGGCGCAGCCCTCCCGAGGTGCCGTCGGGCGGGGGCTGCACGCAGGGCCCCTGCGGGTCCCCGGGAAACTTTGGGACGCGTCCCTCCGAGAACCGGCCGGCTGCACGTTTGCCGGGCGGCCGCAGGCTGAGGCGGCGGAGCGGGGCGGGCCTCCGGACGCAGCCCGGGGACGAGGAGGGGGCGTGGCTCCCGGCAGGTGAGGCGCGGGGCGGGGCTCGAGCACGCCCGGAGCCCGCGCCTGCTGTGTTTGGCGCTGGCTCTGGTCAGGTGTAAGAAACAGTTCTTTAAAAGAGTGGGAATAGGAGAGGGAGAAGGGAGAAGGGTGGGCGCGTGGCGGGGCGGCAGGGTCAGGTAGGAAGTACCTCTACGTTCCTGAAATTGTATATGAGAAATACGTGAAATTCGTATACTTTAAATACAGTATTTAAAAAATTACCTATTTTCACTCCAAATATTCAGCGAAGAGAGGGGACTTGAAAGTTGTAAACCTACCCTTCTCAAAACAGTACGTGCCCACAGTGTGTCTAGGCAGGCATGTTTACAGGGTTAGAGGGCTAAGAAAACAGCTTATTAGCCACTTTTGTACAGAAGTGCTATTTTCAAAGGAAGTGCTATTTTCAAAAAAAACCCCGTGTAAATATGTAAATTACGGTCTCATTCGGCAAAATTTAACTTGATGGTAATTTGAACCTTGAATTCTGCAGCTGCCCTCTTTCTGCCCCATGTGGAACTGTTTTTCAAGTTGCTTACTTCGTGTCTCTAATTTTAAGATGCATTTAGAGAATCTTAGCCATTCTCTTGTAGTGGCTCATGAGAATCTAGTTTTGTTTTGCAAAGACCAGTCTTACAAACTGTGTGGCTTTGAATTGGTGTTGCTTGTAACCAAAAACAGATTACATATCAGTTTTAACTTTCACTCTGCCTCTTGAATATACAGTTATTCATCTTTTAATCTTACACTGGCCTCCTGTGATTGTCAGGATTTATGGTCTAACTATGGTATACTCTCTTTAGAGTTTTCACACCTTCCAGAATATTTGGTTTTCAGAGAAGCCAGAATATTGCTAATAGATAGCAACTGTAACACATTGAGAATGCTAAACTTAACCTCATGAGAATCTTTAATCTGCATATTCATAGAGCCTTATATAATAAATGAGAGATAATTGAAGAAGACAAATTAAAGTACACCTCTTTTGTAATTGCTTTTTTCCCAAACCAAGTAAGTTTCTTATTTGGACAGCTCATTTGTAACTGCCTCTTGCCACCTCTGAGATTGTCACTTCATTCCAACTTAATCTTCCTCTCCTGTGTGTGCCTGTTCATGTTGCAGTTTGCCACTGACAGAGAGCCCTGTTGCATTTGATTTGTCTCCTGATTCTCTGAGAACATAAAGTACCTTTTCTGTGCCTTATCATTTGCTGGGAGAGTGCCTTCTATATAGTAAATATTAGGAAATGGACTTTTAATTGGGTTTAAACATAGGTGATTTGTGATCTGACTGTATACATGAAAAAAGAAAGAAGGTAGGCCCTTTTTATCTGCAGATACACATCCTTTTAAAGGTTGCCAGTGGGGGATGAAATAGGTAAGGTAATAGTATATGTTGTAAATGATTTTAGTCCTGGTTGTCATTCAAAGACTTAATGCTTCTTTCCTTGGTTTGCCTAGCTTTTTACACTCTTGACAGTGGTTTTTGCTGAAGCAGGTGATTTTGCTAGGTTAGGGAGAAAAATAGGAAAAAACTCATCTCCAAATATACGTTTCTAAAGCCAATCTGTTAAATTGTTCAAGTTAGAACTGGCTGTCAATCTGATTAATAGTATATGTTCTGTTTACATAACACAATACACATGAACGGATGTGTGTATAAAGCAGAGGTGGAGAACATTTGGCCCTTGGGCCATATAAGGCCTGCAAAATCATTTGGTCTGGCCCTGCCAAGGCAATTGCAGGCAGACTTGAAATTCAGTAAATCTATAGAGGGTAATTTTTAAGTTGATAATTCTGTATGGTCCACGAATGATCTTATAAATATTCAAAAGGCCCTGGCAGGAAAAAAGAATTCTGGTAGTTGCTTCAGTTGAAAAATCAGTGTTTAAGATTTTATAATTGAGAACAAATGTGTGTATATGGAGTATAGCCCAAGCAAAAGCAAGGACCTTTTTGCATGTATTATGTAAGCTGTAATATGTTAATATAAAGTTAATGGGGGAAAGGTTTAAAGAAAAGGTATAGAAGTGTTTGAATTTCAGTAATTGGTGCCAACAAGGTTCTTTGATTTAGATTTAATTTCTTATTTCTAAATGACTGTACCAGATAATTCAGGTCTAACTAATATATGAATTGTTACTATTGTAGTTACTATGTGACCCAAAACCAGGATGATTTATAACCAAGTGATCTTTCTTTGCTAAAGTGTGTGTATCTTGAATATCAAAGGTCTAATATGAGCTTTTCTTTTTCTTTAGTAGCCTACAGTCAGGATGAATAGTGATCAAGTTGCACTGGTTGGTCAAGTGTTCGAGTCCTACGTTTCAGAACACCACAAGAATGATATTCTCCTCATCCTAAAGGAGAGCGATGAAGATGCTCATTATTCTGTTGTAGTGAATGCCATGACTCTTTTTGAGACCAACATGGAAATTGGGGACTATTTCACTGTGTTCCCCAATGAAGTACTAACTGTTTTTGATAATGCACTCCGAAGGTCTGCCTTGGCAATTTTGCAGTCTCTTTCTCAGCCTGAGGGTGCTTCCATGAAGCAGAATCTTCATGCCAGGATATCAGGTAAATCACATAAGGAGTTCACTGCTATGTGGTTTTATAGGAAGATTTTCAGAAAATGTCACACATACTGGATTCAAAGCACCACAAATACTTGATATTTATGCTTAAGGTATATATCTATTATATAGTTGATGGTTTCTTACTGTCTTTTGATTATCTTCTCTGGGCCTGGGGTACTAGTATGCCACATGAGTGTTGGGGGAAGGGGTAGAGACAGCAACATATTTACATGTCTCTTTGCTAGTATTTTTTGTGTGTATACATAAAATTCTTATCCAAAGCAGCTTTAGAAGCTTTTGTGACTAGTATCAATAGAATAGTAGGAGATCCTGCCCATTGATTTCAAACCAATTTTAGGAAATTGTTTTTATATCAAGATTGTTGTGCTCCCTACATGTCAGACACTCAGTATATTTGTTTTGAGTTTATGATGGATTCAGCATCTTAATTTTTAAGAAACTACACTGGAGCAGCAAATTGGCAAAGCTGGGTCCTTAAATTGCTGCCTCTAAGTCTTTGCTTCTTGCTCCACACTATCTATTTTTTTTTTAAAGATTTATTTATTTATTTGAAAGTCAGAGTTACAGAGAGAAGGAGAGGCAGAGAGAGAGAGAGAGAGAGAGAGAGGTATTCCATCTGCTGGTTCACTCCCCAATTGGCCACAATGGCCGGAGCTATGCTGATCCGAAGCCAGGAGCCAGAAGCTTCTTCCTGGTCTCTCTCGTGGGTGCAGGGGCCCAAGGACTTGGGCCATCTTCTGCTTTCCCAGGCCATAGCAGACAGCTGGATTGGAAATAGAGCAGTTGTGTCTCAAACCAGTGCCCATATGGGATGCCAGCACTGCAGGCGGAGGCTTTACCCACCACGCCAAAGCACCGGCCCCCACACTTTTTATTCCAAGAGTGATTTTTAAGAGAGTGGATAGAGCTAAGAACTTTTTAGAGGGGCCAGCATTGTGGCATGGCGGATAAAGCTGCTGCTTGAGAAACCAGCATCCCATGTGGCGCCAGTAAGTCCCGGCTGCTCCACTTCCAATCCAGCTTCCTTCTGATGCACCTGGGAAAGCAGTGGAAGATGACCCAAGTCCTTGGGGCCCTGCACTGATGTGGGAGACCTGGAAGAAGCTCCTGGCTCCTGCCTAGGGTCTAGCCCAGCTCTGCTTGTTGTGGCCATTTGGGGAGTGAGCCAGTAGATGGACAATCTCTCTGTCTCTTCCTCTCTCACTCTGTAACTCTGCTTTTCAAATAAATAAATATAAACCTAAAGGAATTTTTGTAAAGGGGGCTGGCATTTGGCAAAATAGGTTAAGTAGCCACTTAGGATACTGGCATCTCACATTGCAGTGCTTTCTGAGTCCTGGCTACTCCTGATCTGACTTTTGGATAATCTGCATGGGAAAGCAGCATTAGATGACCCAAGTACTTGGGCCTCTGCCCCAACATGAAAGACCAGGGTGGAATTCCTGGCTCTTCACTTTGGCTTTGCCCAGTCTTGGCTTTTGCAGACATTTGTTGAGTGAACCTGTGGATGGAAGCTATTTCTTTCTCTCTCAGTGATGCTCTTTTGAATAAATAAATCTTTTTGAAAAGCAATAATAAAAAAAGAATTTTTGGAAAAGTGACACCACAATGTGGCAATTTTAATTTGTTCACTGCAAGGACATCATTTCTTGAAAGGCATAGTGCATGTCATTATTTTATAAACCAATGAAAACTGGTATAGCCTCAATCTGGTTATTTTGTGAAATTAAAATAGACTCCAGAATGTTTAAGGTAATCTGTGATTAAGTTGGAAAACACATATCCTTTTGTTTAAAAATATTTACTTTATAGTACATTTGAGAAGGATGAGGATTTATAATCAGTAAGAATGCTCACTATTATTCCAAAATATTAGAGGCTACTACAGTGGAACTCCTTGGAAGCAAGTTAAGATTCCAAAGAGACTGAACACTTGATTTAAATAAAGAGTGATATCAGCATTTATATTGGCTAGGATGTTCATCAGAGCACTTGGTAATCTCTTGCTCAGATCAAGAAGAAATGCTCCTTTGAAAATAAATTATTTGTTTATTTATTTGAAAGGCAGAGTTAGGACAGGACACAGAGAGATTTTCCATCGACTGGTTTACTCCCCAAGTGCCTGCAACAGTTGGGGCTAGGCAAGTCCAAATCCAGGAGCCAGAACTTGATCTGGATCTCCACATAGGTGGCAGGGGCCTAGGCACTTGGGCCATCTTCCACTCCCTTCCCAGTTGCATTAGCAGAAAAGTAGTTCAGAATATGGGATGCTGGCATTACAGGAGGCAGCTTAACCTACTGTACCATGATACCAGCTCCAGAAATGTTTGTTGCTAATATGTGCCTTTAATTAGTGTTATTGGAATGATATTTAAATCATTTAGATACCTGTCCATGCTCAACTTAAATACCAAAATCTTTGTAAGTGTGCCTATTGCTTTCAGGTATGTTTAGCCTATTTTTTCAGTTCTTCTCTGAAGAAGCAAATTGCAAATTTTGTTAGCACTTTTGTAACATTTACTCTACACACATAACATGTAAAGAAATTAGCTTGGGAAACCAAAAAGAATATGGTCTAGTGTGGTATCTATACATGATGAACTATTACTCAGTCATAAAAAAGAATGAAATTCTGTCTTTCGCAACAAAATGGATGCAACTGGAAACCATCTTGTTTTCCTTGATTTGCGATAACTAATATACAGAGTACCAAAACTGTATATTAATGATATTGACATTTGGAGATTTGATTATTGTTTATAGCTCTTACCTATACTCTTGAGGAACAGTGTTTTTTCTGCTTAATACTTGTTGAATTATTTATTTACTGGAGGGTTAAGATTGTGATTATAAAATAAATTGAAAGTATGTCATTGTAAAACTTAAAAGCAAAATAAGAAAAGGAGGAGGGTGGGAGTGAGGGAGGATGGAAGGGAGAGTTGTGTGGGAAGTATTATGTTGGTGAAACTGTATATATGAAATTTGTTCCCTTTATATAAATTTTCAAAAAGTAAACAAGGGAGCTCAAGGCTATAGGGGAAAGAACTATATGAATATTTACCTGATGGCATATGTATGCCTACAGATGTAAATGTTCAACATAATTGTAAAGGAGCTTAATGGCAGCTTTTATGTGATACAAAATTTCAAATTATGTAGAGGGTATGCATTATCTTATAGAACAGGGAGTGTATCCTGACCTAGGGGATCACCTGAGGTTTCTAGAAGAAGTGTGGGGTAGGCATTGTGGCACAGCAGGTTAAGCTACCACTTGGGGCTTCCACCTTCACTTCCAGTCTAGCTTCCTGTTTATGTACACCCTGGGAGGCAGCAGGTGATGTTTCAAGTACTTGTGTCTCTGCTGTATGCATGGGAGAACCAGATGGAATTCCTGGCTCCTGGGTTTAGCGTGGCCTATCCTTGGCTTTTATGGGCATTGGAGGAGTGAATCAGTGGGTGGACAGCATCTGTCTGCCGTCTCTCCATCTCTGTCCCTTTCCCTCTGCTATTCAAATAAATATAAATAAGTAACTAACCATTTAAAAATAAGGCTAGAGAGGGATAGGAGTGTCCCAAGCAGAATGAACATCTGTAAAAGGTCAGAAGATAGAAAGAGTCTGATTTTAGGTATGTTAAGTCCCCATCTTGGACTCTAGATGATACATTTAATCATTAAAACCCGGGGTGCCCTTGTGATTCAGTCTTAGGAACACAATAGAACCCCCCCACCCCACTCCTGAAATGCATTGAATTTCATTCTTGCATCTACCTTTACTACTTTGGATTTTAGAATTTTTTTTAGCCTAAAGTTTACTTGGTATTCCCAGTGGTTTAGATCAAAGATGTATAAATGCATGGTTAGCCCCAAAGTAAATGAGAACGAAAAATAGTATTCACATGTAATTTAAAGTAGAGATTCTTAAACGTTGCCTCAGAAGCCCTTGGAAGTCCTATTAAAACACTGATTGCAGCTGGGTATGCGGCCAGTGGTTAAGATGCCACTTGGAATGTCCATATCCTCTGTTGGAGTACCTGATTCTAGTCCTGGTCTTTTGCTTCCAACCCACTCCACTTCCACTGATGCTCACCCTGAGAACCTGTACTTGATGCTCAAGTACTTGGGTCCTTGGAGACCAGGATTGAGTTGCTGGCTCCTGGTTTCAGCCTGGCTTAGCCCTGGCTGTTGCAGGCATTTGGGGAGTAAACCAGTGGATGAAATGGAAGTAAGTACATTTTTAAAAATAAACTTTAAACAAAAATAAAAGCAAAACACTGGGCCCATCTCCAGAGTTTCTAAACTGGAGATCAGGACTGAGAACCAAGAATTTGCATTTGCAGTATCTGCCATGTAACACTTATGCTGCTGGGCCAGAGACTACACTCCGAGAACCATGGACTGGCAGTAATTTATGTGGGCATATCTATATTTCACAAACTTCTTTTTCTTTCTTTTTAAAGCTGTATTTATTTTTCTTTGTTTGAAAGGCAGAGTGATGGGAGAAGACAGAGATCTCCCATCTGCTGGTTCATTCTCCACATGGCCACAACAGTCAGATTCCAGCCAGGCTGAACCAGGAAGCCAGTACCTCCATCCTGGTTGCCCACATGAGTGGCAGGAACCTAAGAACCTGGACAGTGTTCTGCTGCCTTTCAAAATACATTAGCAGGAAGGTGGATCAGAAGTGGAGTAACCAGGACATGAATTGGCAATGTGATTTGGGATGCTATTTGGGATGCCATCATCTGAAGCAGCAGCTAAGCCACAGTAACACAATGCCCCCCTCCCCCCGCCTTTTTGGTTCTGTCATCAGTTCATGGATCAGAGAGTGATAAAGGTTTTTGTGTTCAGCACTAATGGTGGCTTAGTTCCTGATGTACTTCTCATGCTTCACTGGCACGGTGCAGGAGCATACATATAGATACAGATATAACACATATATACATACGTAATAGATACAGATATCTGTTAATTAAGATAAT